CGGTAAGACGTGCGTGAAGGCGTTCCCCCGTACGAAAGCTGATGGCGTCAACGGCCACACCAAAACTCGGCTTGCCGACGTTCAGGTCTGACATGTACGTGCGCTGGAAGATGGCGCAGAGGTTCATTTTCGAGTTGACGGCGTACGTGCCGGCCGAGAGCACGTAGATGTTTGGGTTGTTGGGGAGCACGAGGTTGGTGATGGTGTAGTTGGTCATGCGCTTGGCGACCTTGGAGAGGTCGGTGAGGCTCGCTCCGGTCGCAAAGCTGTACTGCGAGAGGAGGTCGTTGGCGTGGTTGGCATCTGCGATTGGTGTCAGAAACTGGTAGCCATTGCCAATGTAGTCGTTGATGGCCCAGTTGTTGGCGACCGAGTCGATGCAGACAAGACAGACGACGCAGAGGCCGACGGCGATCGCGAGGTACTCTTGCACCTGGCGTGCTCGCGCCCAGAAGCGTGCATACGGGTCGGGCGTGGCCGTCGAATCGGCAGAGTACGAAGCGCCCCGTGGCTTGACGACCACCGACATCGCTGGCTTGTCTAGGTGATCAGGTAGTCTTTAATTATAGCAAGCGAAACGCAACGGTACGTAACCCGTCGTTTGCCTAGGGTAACGAACTTGAGTTCACAGCCTGCAATTGCGTATGCATCAACACCACTCAGGGAATCGATTTTCGCTGTCAGGGACAGAGGCTGTAGCCACGGCGGCTCACAAGGGTCAATAGACTGCTGATTGACCCTTGCTCCCAGCGGCCCCGTCGAGGTCGCGGGTGATTCCAATGGCGCTCGGTCACCTGCAGTGGGCCTATTGCATTTGCAACACGAGCCCCATGGACTTGCAATCCATCAAAGCCCTTGCAAGGCCATCGTCGAACGACGGCGACGCTGGTACGGCGGTTCATGGACATGAAATCAGTGGTGCCAAGGCCAAAATGGAAAACTTATCGATTTCGACTATGAATCGAACAACTATAATACCGCACGAGTCACAGGGCAGATGGCGTCTCAATAGATGGACACATCGGTGTTTTTGAGAATCTTGATGTTGAACATGAGTGTCTTGACGTCGTGCAAGTCGGCGTCGAGCAAATGGATGTGGTGGGCTTTGTCTTGCACGACGAGGTGCCGGTCCTCGGTGTTCGGCTTTTCAATCGCTGACGCGAACCGGTCGTTGACCGACTGCAAGCGGTCGTGGCCGTCGGCTGTGTTGGATGGACTGACCAACGTCGTACTGTTGATGGTGGCGTTGTGCTGCGGAACGTTCTGCCGCTTGTTGCGGAGTTCCTTCTCGGGCAACCCAAACGTGGTCAAGTGCGACATGAAGAACCACTGCAGCGTGCAGAGCCGGCGCGCCTTGCAGCGCATGATGGCCATCGACCGCTGTAGCATCGGCGGATCAATGTCAGTGATATAGTCCATGAGGATCGACGTCGAGTTGTACATGGCTTGGCGTGCGAGCGAGTTGGTCGCCATCAATTTCCAAAACGACCGGTTGAGAAGCTGGTCGAGGCCGACGACCAAGAGAATGTTGAGAATCAAACCGCCAGCGATCGCGCCGCTGACACGGATGTAAAAGCTGCTGTAAAAGTTGATAAAGACACCGTCGAGCTTCTGGACGGCCATCGTGAGGTCTTGGCGCGTGCTGTTGTTGTACTCGATGAACGCGGGTACGTAAAAGAGCAACACCGCGCTCAGATACAAGGATGTGACGCTGGTGAAGTTGCACAAGCCCATGAGCTTGCTCTCGCCGCAGTAGCTCGCACTCGACACAAGGTTCACGAGCACCTTGAGCGCCTTGAGAAACGCGCAGTTGAGCCAGAGCAAGCGCGTACTCAGCGCAAACGTCTGGATCGACATCCACGGGTCTGCGTTGAGTTGGTTGAACCAGTTGACTTCGCGGATAAACATGATGCCATGACCCATATCAAAGATGACGCCGGCCGTATACAGCAGCACAAAGATGTCCGAGTTGTAGCAAAACATGTCAAAGCGGAGCGCGTTCGAGACGTACGGGTACTTCTCGGGCAGGACCGTCTTGACGAGGCCGCGCAGCACCGACTGGATCGAATGCACGTCGGCGTCTTGCCACTGGATCGTGCGTCGGCTCGCAATGTAGCCGCCGAGCGCAAAGAGCAGCGCGATGCACTTGAGGTAGTTGGAGAACAAGCTAAAGACGCTCTGCTGGAGCATGAGCCCGTTGGACCACGTCGCACCTTCGACGTGCGTCGTATTGGTGATCTTGAGCGTCTTGGCGGTCGTATTGTACACCATCGTAAGCTCGCACGACGCGTAGCCAAAGCTAGCGATCGGCACGCACCCGGTGCAAAAGCACTTTGGCTGGTACCGGTAAAAGGACACGTTCAACACCTGCGGCGTCGAGACGTTCTTGACCGGGATCGGCTCGGTGAGGCGCATATCGGTCTGTTGCCGCGTTGGGGTATACCCCAAGGCGCCGAGCTGGCGATGGCCCATCGAGCCGTTCGCGAGGTTGGCCGTGCTTTCGTCGGTGAACGCGATTGTAAATGCGTTGCCGCGCAAAAACGTGATGGCATCTTGCACGACACCGAGCTGCGGGTTGCCGTTCGCAAGGTCCACGGGGTACGTCTTCTTGAAGATGGTGCAAAACGTGGCAAATTTCGCGTCCATGATGAACGTGCCAGCGTCGAGGAGGTAGATGTTGGGGTTGCTCGGCGTTACGAGGTTCGCGAGCGTGTAGTTCATGTTCCAGGCGCCAATGTTGGAGACGTCGCGGAGGCTCCAGCCCTTGGGAAAGGCGTAGAGACTCGCGAGCTGACTCGAGCTCGTGATCGTGGCGACCGCCGTCAAGTACGTGTAGCCGTTGCCCACAAAGTTGTTGATGGCCCAGTTGTTGAAGAGGGCGTCGATGCAGACGAGCACGACGACGATGATACCGAGCACGTAGGCGCCAAAGATCCAGACCTGCTGTATATGGGCGCTCACCTTGGCGTAGAGCGTATGGCCCTGGCCAGCACCAGGGTGCGCCGCGTACATTTGGCTCTTGGACTGGACGAGCACGTTGTTGGAGGTCCGTCGGCCGGGCATGCTGGATGCTCTAACGCTAAATCCGCACTGGTCAACACATCGTGAACACACCTTAAAAAGGGCGCTCAATTTAGCTGCCAATGAGGTCCGTTGCACAGCACCGAAACCTCACTGGAGGTATCACATCAACACAAATCGAGCATCTTATCCGGGCAAAATCTTATTTTGGACACGGCGTTTCCGGCTAAATCCTTTCAAAGTCACCTCTCAGTAGTGTGGACGGCACCATGATCTGTAGCCCCGGAGAGCAGACAAGGAGGCTATCAGTCCTCAAATACGAGACGCGTTGGGATGCGCAGTGCTGCCGACAATGGCCGGTTTGCGCGACGAGGAAGTTGAAACGATCTTTCTTCCATCGGGTGACCCCGTTGAGCTAGCACAATAGATCGAAACAATTCTTCGAAGAGCACTCCAACCGAGGTCCTCGCGGTGATCGCAGCATTGCCCCTTGGCGCTGGAACGAGCAGCTCGCCACGCTGAGCTTCGTTGGGACTGACAAGGCCGTGAACAGGTATCTTATGGTTGGCACCAACCATCGGCGGAGAGCGACTCAAGAATCCGTCTTGTCGGTGGGTATCAAACAGAAGCAATCGCTTTCCTCTCTGGATACCGTTGCCGCTCGCTATCACCCGCAACGATTTCACGATGAGATTGAAATCCCACACAGGTTTCGACTAAATAAATGGGTGCATTAATCACGGTTGATTAAACTCGTAGAGGACTTTGGCGAGGTCGTCGTCGAAGTAACTCTCGTCCGAAACAGTGCACACTGGCGCCGGCACCATCGCCGTCGGCGGCGCGCACGCCGAGCGTATGACCATGGCGAGCACCGAAGTTTGCTGGACGAGCGCGTGGAGCTGGCGCTCGAGCCGGTCCATGGTGACGCGCAGGTCGTCGACCTCGTGCTTGGAGACGCCGTCGTCGGTGATGTGGTACGTCTTGCGTCGAATGGCCTTCATGGCCTCGGGCGCGTCCCGTCGAAAGTGCGGGTGCTGAAAGCAGAACTGGGCCTCGCCGCGCTTGCGCTGGCGGAACCGGGTCTTCTCAAAGCCGTAGAAGCGCAGTTGGCGCGAGAACGAAGCGAAGTTGTTGTGGTTAAAATAGCGCGCAAGGAAGCTTTCCTCGAGCGTCTTGACGTCGAAGACAAGAAACGCGTCGCCGGCCGACGACCAGGAAAGCACCGTCGACGGGCTCTGCGAGAGCATCAAGTGCGTCTTTTGTAAAAACACCGACGACGACGCCATCCCGAAATTCAAACTGGCCGACGTTTTTTCATTTTCGCATCCGAGCAGATGGTTCCCACTGGACACCCGTTCGACACAGATGGCGGTGGTAGGCGCACCAGATGGCCAACGGCAAGAGATGTTGACTCGGACATAACGCAACGGACACACCGGCGTCGCTGCCACTTGGCGTCCGCGAGCAGCGGGAAGACCTCGGAAAGAACCCCCTTCGTCGTCGGGCCATGTGCTCAGAAGCACTGCGCTCGTCCCACCGCGCATCGTCCGCGATCGCAGCCCGGTTAGTGAGCAATTCATCATATCGCCTCTCGTAACGCCACGTCATGGGTGTCTTCATCGGAACAGCGCGAGTGGCTGTTCGTGAAGTCAGCCCATGGGGTCAGCGAAGCAGTCGAGTGGATAGGTTGTGAGTCCGAGTTGCACCCCTCAAGCCCCTCCCGCGCGCCCAAGCAGCCAAGACCAAAATGAGTGGCCTTCGCCGCGTGAGACAAAAGAGAAGAGAGACCGAAGAGCTGAGCGCGCTCAGAGATACGGTCGCGATGTTGTTACGCTAGGTGTAGTGGTATCATCACATCGCGTTGGCTGCCGTTTGATTCGTTTCAGTCCGTTTTGGACACATCAATATGAGTTATAGGGGCGCGTAGCCGCATCGAACCGTGCCCCGAAGCTTCCGGAACCAGTGGACCACACGCAAGTGTGTGTGTTTGAAAGGTTTATGTCTTGTATTACCACAAGAAATAATTTGTGTCTTGACGCTTACGTCCACGACTTGCGCTGGCTCGCAGACGACGCTTTGGCCTTGGTCGCGCGTCCGATGCTGCTCTTTGTCGGTCGGCTGGCGCGACGCATGCGTGCGGCGTCGGCATTCGCAATCGACTTGGCCGTTTGCAGGATTTGTTGCGCCTTGACGCTCTCTTCGTAGACGCGCAGTGGGTCTTTGGTCGTCTTGACCGACGTCACGGCGCTGCGCAAGGATGCCGTGTCATTGTCATGGTCATAATCGTCCTGCGTCACATCGAAGCGTGTGTGCCATACGTCTCGCACCGTGGCTTCGAAGACGCTGTCGTCGTCGAGAGAGTTGCTGACCATCTCGTAGTAGGATTCAAATTCCGCCTGCGTCACGAGCCCTAATAGGACAGCCTTAGCGCTCCTGCAGGCGACGGAGGATGCGAGACCCGACGCCGGGAGCACGAACGCGTCGTGGAAATTGCTGTGGACTTGGGCCTCCGAGCACTTGCCGGATCGGACGTCCGGGTGGCTGCTCGGGTCGAAGCGCGCAATAAAGTCGCCATAGGCAAGACTGCCATGCTATCCGCACCATGAGGCGATCGCTAAAACCATAGAGTCGTGCCTTGTCTGCGTCCAACGCGCGGAAGGTTCGCCGCACGATCGCGCACCGGGCGTCGGGCAGGCGCTGGACGAGCAGCTGCTGCACGAGCGACGCAAAGCTCATCGTGCCCGTGTCTTTGGGGTCGTAGAGCTCAAAGAGAACGCGCCAGTCCTTGTCCGAGAGAATCACGCCGGCGTCCTTCATCGTCGTCTTGAAGTCGGCCAGCGACAAGGTTGGCGTGAGCTTGGCGCGCCGCAAAATGCAAGCATACGCGGGGACTCCGATCGCCTTCATTTGCGTCGTCACACGGGCGACCACCCCTTTTTTGCCAGCGTCCAGAGAGGCGATGTCGATGCCACCGGTCTCGCTTGTCGGTTCGGATCCTGAGCACGACGGGCTGGCGTTGTAGAGGAGAGAGCTCGCCGAGTCGGACGACATCCACGCAGTTGTCGTCCTCGGGAAATGACCTTTTGTGGCCGGAATGACCGGTGCAATGGCAACAGACTTGGTGGACTTGGCCGTGCCAGGCCGGGCAGAGCTCCACGCGGCGGCGACGGGCGCGCGGACGCGCCACGAGTTGATGACCATGCTCGCAAAGGCCTCGTCGCTCTCGATGACGTTGCTCAGATGCTCGTAGTACTGGGCAAAGTCATCCCACGTCACGACGCTACTCGTTTTGGCGCGCGACGGATCAAAGAACATGCTGAGAAACTCGGTGAGGACTTCAACGTCCGTCTTGAGACCGGACCGAACGTCCGGGTGCTTGCTCGTGTCGTACCGGCCCTTGATGTCTGCGGCAGAGAGCACCCCGTTGCCGTCCCGGTCCAAGGCCTCAAAGGCGCCGCGGACCACCGCGGTCCGCGCCGCGTTCATGGGCTCAGAGAGCGCCAAGAGAAACTCATTGAGGTCGATGCTGCCGCTGCGATCGACATCGAAGAGCTCAAAGAGGCGCCTGGCGTCCTTCTCGGAGACGTCGAGTTGGAGTTCCTTGAGCGCTTTTTTAAAAGCCGTACAATCGATGCTCCCGCCGTGACTTGCCATGAGGCGGAAGCGGCGCGAGAGGCCCTGGAGCCCGGACGCGCCCTTGGCCTTGAGCTGCGTCTTGATCTGCGACAGCACAAACGCCATGCCATGGTCAATGTCGTCGGCTTTTGGCTTGGGCGTCGTCGCCGATAAGGACGACGAGCTTCGCGCTTCGTTGACCTTGGAGGATCTGTGATGCATGCTAATAGTACCGCGCAGTAGTATGCAGCAGGCTCGTCGCCACGTACGACGATGTTGTTGTTGTTGTTGTTGGGCGCCGCAGTACCGAGGTCGTCGCGCGCCGGCCGCCATATTCATCGCCGGCATCGCCATGCTGGCGCAGCACTAGCACCGACGCTCAATGGCTCCAAGAAGATATGAGCGAAGCCCACCTTGGCCCGCGTTCTCCTTGTCGCGCTGGAGGGCCTTCCCAAAGCAAAAGGACTTTGGCGGCAGCGTGTACGACGCCTGCTTGGCCTCGCCGATGCCCGCCACGTGCTTGGACGCGACCGTCTTGAGCGGCTGACGCGGCTACAGACGCCATGAGCCAGCGTGACCAACACGCCATGGGCGGAGTACGAGAAAGTTGGCTTTGTAGTAGGCGGCAAAGTCGGCGAACGAGACCGTCCCGCGCTGGCCGACGTCCATGTCGACGATGGCGCTGACGATGTTCTGGTTCGTGGGCTCGACGCCGAGGGCCTGCAGGAGACCGCCCATCTCGCTGCGGTCGATGGCGCCATCCCGCGACGTGTCGAAGCGCTCAAAGATCTCGCGCGCCCGCTCCATGCTGCGCGTCGACTTGCCTGCTTAAGATACCACGACACTGGCATTTATTGGCGACATACAATAGCGTAGATGCACAAGATCTTCCGCCGACTGCCGTTTCTACGGCACAGATTTGGTATGTGTTTTCTACTGCTTACAAAAAGCAAGTATACATGTTTAAAACATCGAGTCGCTTAGGAAAACCGTAAACGGACATGCGAGCGTGACTGGGTTGCGCTGCCACTTCAACGGTTGACCGCCGACACAACTTGTGCAGTATTATGATACTATCAAGAGAACGTCGCTACACCATGCACCATGTAGGTAAACTCCTCATGTAGTATCTTGATGCGTAAATAGCTCACGAGCAGCTCCACCGTGTGTACCGGTACCCACAACGTTAAAGCCAGCCAGCGCACACAGCCCCATCAATGCACTGCAAGTACAAGCCATCGTGGTACACTTCGTGGTACCTAGGGCAGTTTAAAACCAAGCTAGAGAAGGCGGCTCACACGTCGTCGTCGCCCAGAAACGCCACGCTGATAGGAATCGTTCTGGATTTCGCGCCCCCTCAACTGCGTGGTTGCCATGCGCCGCGTCACGAGCCCTTTTCCATCCCATCTCGTACAGTACCCTAATCATAGACAAGTTGTCGTCACATCCTTGTCGAGCAGCCTGTGGCGGACCCTTCTATGGCCGTGCTGCAGAGTGCGCCACTCTCTGGCTCCGTAATGCCGACCCACATTCTCCATTTCACTCAATCGACCAATCCCATGCATGAAATCCCTGCATTTTGGCCAATCACTCCACAAGTACCATCACTCTGACATTGCACCTCAACCGGACGCCATCCGGTCGGCGGCCTTTCGTTGTGCATTGCGCGAGTTGCACCTTCGATGGCGGTCCTCGAGGACATCCGCGACCTGCTCCAGGCCATCTGCGAGGCGCCGACGCAGCTGCCATCACTCGACGAGTACGAAGCGCTGCTCGACGAATGGCGGCAGCAGGCGACGGCGGTGCTAAATACGCTCGACCAGCAGAGCGAGACGGAAACGATGCGGTCGGACCTCATGAGCGACACCATGAGCCTGTTCTCGCTGGACCCGTCGTCGCTCGCGAGCCACACGGACGCTGCGTCCATCACGCACTTGGACATTGCGGTACTGCACGCATCGCCGTTCCTACTGCGCCTGCCCGACCACCGGCTCCTGCCGCTGCCCGAGCTCAACATACGCCACGAGCAACGGAGCCTGCACAAGATCTTTCACGAGAGCAAGCGAGCGCTGCGGACGATGCAAGGCGTCATGACGGTCGACTCGCTCCGCGAAGTGCTCGACCGCGACGTCCAGGTGCTCCACTTTAGTGGCCATGGCGGCGTCGTGGCGTCCGGCCCCGACGCCCTCGTGTTTGAGGACCCGCACGCGACCGGTCTCGGGCAGCTCGTCGATGCGCGCCACCTCTCGTCGATCCTCCGTGCAGGCTGCGCCTCGACCAGCGTCAAGCTCGTCTTTGTCTCGTCGTGCCACTCGGCCGAGGTCGGCCGCGTCTTCATCAACGCTGGCGTCGAGCACGTGGTGTGCGCGCGCCAGGACGAGCGCGTTCTGGACGAGACGTCCATCTTGTTTGCGCAGTCCTTCTACCATGCGCTCGTGCATGGGAAGACCGTGCCGCAGGCGTTTGAGATCGCACAGACCCGCGTCCGCGCCGAGGTCGCCGACGAAAGCAACAAGTTCTTATTGCTGCAACACCCGCGTGTGCACGCCGATTGCGGCCACGCCGAGTACGCCCAGTGCGTCTCGACGCCGCTCTTTGCAGAGATCCCAATCGGGCCCTACGTGACGCTGACGCAGCATTTACACCACGCGAGCCGACCAAGCAGCAGTCTCCCGCCCATGCCATCGGTCTTTTTAGGTCGAGAGATGGAGCTCCATGCGCTCTGCAGTGCGCTCCCGTCGCAGCGCCTACTCACGATCCGCGGCTCGCCCGGTTCGGCGTCCAGTGGTTGATAATTTGATAGTTATATCACTTTGACTAGGCATTGGGAAAAGCACGTGTGCGCTCAAGGTCGGTCACTACCTCGCCGAGCGCCACGTGTACGAGCACGGCGTCTTCTTTGTGAGCGCGCGCGGGGTGCAAAGTGTCGAGTCGCTCGAGGCATCGATCCGGTCGGCCGTCAACGCCGATGACGCGTCGTCGTCGATGGTCCACGCGCCGCTCTCGTCGGTTCTCCACCACGTGCTCTTGATCTTGGACAACATGGAAGACCCGTACCAAGCCAACGGCGTGGCCGTCCAGAGCTTTTTGCGGCAGCTCCTCGACGCGTGCCCGCAGTTGCGACTCCTTCTGACATCGCGCGTCGCGATGCAACTGCCGGACGAAAAGATTATGAGTCTCAGCCGGCTCTCGAGCGTCCACGCCGTGCGTCTCTTTCTCAAGAAGGCGCCGCGGCGGCTGCAAGAAGCCACCGATTTCTACGCAGCGCCCGGTGTGCTGGAAGATCAGCTCCGCGACCACCCGCTCCTCGCGTTCCTCGACGGTCATCCCCAAGCCATCTCGCTCTGCGCCTCGCTGCTTCTGGACAAGACGCTGCCCGAGCTCACGCAAGCCATGGTGTCACCCGACGCGTCCGCGTCACTGCCACCGCTCATGGCCTCGCTGACTGTCTCGGTCGCGTCGCTGCCGAGCGACGACGTGCGCAACTTCTTCGCGCTGCAGGGTCTCTTCCCCGGCGGCGGGCTCGCCATGGACTTTAAAGCGATGCTCGGCGCCGACTTTGAGGCCCACGCGTCGCTCCTCGTGCGGTTTTCGCTGCTGCAGAAGCAGTACCCGCAGGCCAAAGTGGTGCGGGACCCGATCATGCTCAGCGCGTGGACGCACTACAGCGGGTACGTGGGCGGCCGCGACAAGTTCACGTCAGTGCACCGCAGTCGCAAGGCCCACCAAGAAGAAAAGGTCCAGACCACCGTGGCCCAAGCCTCGATGCTCTCGCTCTCGACCATCTACTCGACGTTTCCGTTCATTTCGAGCTTTGCGCGCCATTGGCTCTCGACCGAACCGACGATCGGCCACAACCTCGAGAAGCTCTGCGCCAAGCATTTTCAAAAAAGCATCCGGTGGATCTACCGCTACATTGGCACCTTTGGCCCGTTCTCGTCGGCCGCCTATGTGCTCTTTGACATTCAAGAGCCGAATCTCTGGATGTGCCTCGAGCGCTTTCTGGAGAAGCACCAAGATGCAGTCAACGACAGCAAGCGCGAGCTCGTGGCCGCGGCGCTGCCTGGCGCCTCCGATATGGATGTCAACTCGAGCGAGGACGCGCCGTCGTCCTCCTACACCCCGGCCGTGACGACGACGACGGACGATCCGAGCGCCGAGCTCAGCAGCGAAAGCAGCGACAAGGCGACGATCGGAGCCAGAAAGATTGTCCGCAAGAAGCACCGCAAGTCGGATCCGAAACTCGCGCTTGTCGTCGCCGACATGGCGTGTTACTTTGCCCACACGCTGTACCTCGCGGGCCGCCATGACGGCGCGACCCGGGCCGCGACGCTCGGCATCGGTCTCTGCAAGCAGTATGGCTTCCGCGGGGTGGAGGCCAATTTGCGCAAGCTTATGGGCGTCATCTTGGTAACGATTGTCTTGTGTTTCGTGAAAAAAGTTATATGGATGAGGACTAGATCAACGAAAAGAAGCTCGACGACGCCAAGGCGCAGTTTGGGATCGCGCTCATCCTCTACAAGTCGACCGTCTCCAAGATCGGCCATGCGACCGCCATGACGGGCGTGGGCCTCGTGCACTCGCGGCAAGGCAACCTGCGCGGTACCTCTCTTTTTCAAAAACGATTGTCAATAAGACACTATATGTTTCTAGGCGCACACGCGTGCTTTGTAAAGGCGCTAACCATGTACGAGTGGAGCCACCACGTTGTGGGGCAGCTCAACTGCCACCAGCGCCTCGGGCACCTCGAGAAGAAGCTCAAGCTCGGCGAAGAGAGCGACGTGACGCAGCATTATGCCGCGTGTCGACGGCTCCAAGGTGACCTCAACCTCCACCGCAAGGAAGATCAGGACGGACTCCGCTGGGTCGGCCACGAGATGAGCCTCCTCCTCGAGATCGCCGACACGCACGTCGCGTCGACAAAGAAGACCCACCCGGCGCGGTCGAGCAAGACGCCGGCCAGTCATACTATCGCGGCGCAGAGTACCGTCGAGAGCAGCGACGAGAGCAGTTTTGCCAAGCGAAAAACGTACGACAGCACGCGGCGCCGGTCCAGCGGCAACCAAAAACAACTCTTTCCGGACGCTACCCCGCCCGTCCCCTCACCGATCAGCTAGAATATAGTATCATTCAAGTATCAACTTGATCTTTATTTGTGTTCATTCCGCATGCGGCTTCAAGTAGGCAGGGGTGTACAGCGAGGACTTGGTGGGCGGCAACGACCTTCGCCGCTGGGGCTCGTCCCCGAGGACCACGTCGTGGTTCATGCTCTGGGGTGCGAGCACGCTAATCTCCTGGTCCAGCTCGAGCTCTTCGGCGACGTCTTCAATGTCGTCGTCCAGGTCACCCGACTTCTTCTTCGCACTCTTCCAGTCGCTCGCGGGCGTGGACGAAAAGTCCACTTGGTTGTCGGCGATCGGGATGCCGTCGAGCGTCGCGTTGTCCTGGATCGCCTTCATGACGCCTTGGGGCTTGAACTGCAACAGATTGCGGATCCCAAAGAGCTCGCCGTGTTGCTAGGACCGCGTCAGTGTTGGTGTTTCTATCAGTGTATCGAGTCCCGTACGCCTTTGACGCCGATGATGGCCTCGAAATACCGCGGCCCCATCTTGCCTTTGAGCGTCGTGTCGGTGAGCTGCTGCTTGTAAATCTACCCGTCTTGTGTACAACCTTATTGTCGTATGGGATATATATAAAAAGACGCACCTGGCGGGCGTAAATCATTTCTTCAATCGTGCCGAGCGTAATAAGCCGAAACACCTTGACGTCCCGCGTCTGCCCGATGCGGTACGCGCGGTCCTGCGCCTGGCAGTCATGCGCCGGGTTCCAGCTCGGATCAAAGATGACGACATTGGTTGCGCTTGTAATGTTGAGTCCGAGACCCCCGGCTTTGGTCGAAATGAGAAACACGCCGAGCGTCGGGTCGCGATTGAAGCGCTGGACGAGCGCGAGCCGCTCGTCGACCTTGGTGGACCCGTCCAGACGCACGTACGCGCACGCTTTCGAGATAAGAAACTAGTCCAGCACGCGTTTCTTAGCTGCGCGCATATACACTAGATGGCGCAGTACAGCTTGTAGAATGTCGAGCATGCGCACGCTGCGGCTAAACAGCAACACCTACGCCACCGACCATCTCAGCAACATTCAAGTCGTCTTCTTGGAAGACAAGATGTACACCTTTTCGTGCTTGCGCATCCAGATCGAGAGGAGCTTCTCGAGCACGACCATCTTGCCGCAGAGTGCCGTGTTCATCTTCTCAAAGAGGCCTTGTGCTTGGTAGAGCCCAATCGTGTCCTACTCCGTAGATATATATTGAGTTTCCTAAAACCTCCCAAAACGACAGACGAGGTCCTTGCCGAACGCGACGGTCGCAAAGGCTTTGGTCGCGGCTTGGACGTCGTCCGGGTCTCTTGGGTTGACGCGCAAGAGGTCGAGGTGGTTCGAGAGCTTGAGCAGCTACGTATCAAATCGCTGAAAATGGTGCTTCTTGTCGCCATATCTACCTGGGCGATGCAAGGAAATTGGATGCACGCCGGGCACGCTTGGCATGCTTCGTCGTCCGGATGGTGCTTTTGCCACAGGACGCCCCCCGAGACGTAGCAGCACCGCCGCCGGGTCTTCTTCCGGCCGCAGTCGCACAAGTCGTCGCCGCGAATGAGCACTTGAAAGTCGGGCGACGCAATGACGCGGTCGTACACGGCGCGCTGGAGCGGCGTGAGTTCGCAAAAGACAATCTTGTCGAATTTTTGAATGCGCGTAAAGTCGGGGTGGATCCTAGAAAACACGAAATTGTTGAAAATCCCATCAAACATGGCAAGAAAGGCAGACGATTTGTCGCGGCGGAGGTAGTATGGTACGAGGCAGTCGCGCAGCTGCTTCTCCTTGGCACGGGCACGCTCGATGGCTTCGGGCGCCGCCGATTTTTTCGCGCGAATTTGATGTCGTCGGCGTAGTATGACCGAAACTCACTCACACTGCCTAGCTGCCCACCACATTTTAAATGACATATTTGGAAGACGAGCCAGAAGAAGAAGAGGTACCGAGCCTTCGTGGATCGTGTTGAGGAGGCAGTGGAGCTCGTCCGTGTCGTTCTGCATGAGTGTGCCCGTGAGTCCGAGCCGCCGCTTGCAGAAAAGCGCCTGGACTGCTTTCGTGGCTTGCGATTCCGGGTTCTTCAAGCAGTGCATTTCATCCAGAACAACGAGGTACCATGGCACAGCCTGGATTTGCGGCAAGTTGGCCTTCAAAATGTCGTAGCTGCAAATGACAATATCGTGGGTCCCGCTAATCATCGCAAACGTTGAGACATGAGCGACGCGAACCGAAAAAAGACAATAAAAAGCATGTCGGTGCCAGACCCGGAGCAGACGCAATTGGCACATGCTCGGTGCCATCTGCGTCGTGACGTTGCTCCTAGCACCTCTCAAACCCTGGACTACTTCTTCGTCCGTGGACAGGTTGTCTCTTCCTCCCAGCCAAGATATGCTTCTTGGCGTGGTCCGACTTAAACTCGAGGGTTCGTTTAAAAGCTCGTTGCTTTTGGACACGCTGGGCGTCGCTGTCTGCACCACGCAAGGGATTCGTGCATCGTGGGCAGACGGGCGACGTGGTCCATAGATACGTAGCACATGCAAACACGCACACAGGACGGCGACGTACCGAGACAAGGACGTCAAGACGGCTTCGCGATCCTGCCGTTTGCCGTTCAGAATGACTGGGCGACAGCACATCCAGAGCTTTAGTTCGAGCTCCCAGTTCATGAGGAGCGACGCTGGCACGACAATCTAACGCGTCTCTCAGCCATAAGGTTTATAGGACTCTGTGTTCGTACAAGAATCGGCGGCGGGATCGTGTTGACGTCGAAGTCGAGCGGCTCGCGACGCGACACACTCCGGAGGCGGTTGCGGTACACCTCCTTGTCGCTCGCCGTGCCTACGTCATACATGTGTAGTACACGATAAGAATGCATAAGCTCGCACCTTCTTTGAAGAGCAGCGCCGACAAGAGACCAATCACCTGGATCGTCTTGCCGAGACCCATTTCGTCACCTATGAAAAGAGACATAGTGTCTTGTACAAGTCTTCAAGTCGCGAACCGAGAATCGCGCCGCGGTTCTCAACGACGGCTTGAAACATCCAAGAAACCCCGTCGCGCTGGTACGGTTGGAGAAACCGGTTGAGGCGACCGGGGACTTGGACGCGGCGCGAGAACATGTCGTTTGGGCCGTCGAGTAGCACGAGAGGCTCGTCGATTGCCCCCTACTCGACTCCAATGACAGCGTGCTTTCTGGGAATTCGTGGAGATACCGCGGGCGGTGAAAGCTTGGGCCACGTATTCTCATCATCATCCTCGTTGTCATCGTTGTTGTCATCGTCATCAAGTTTGGCCGGGCGATGGCTCGGGGGCCGGCGCTACGAAGCACCGTGTGCATCGATGGTGGGCGATGCATGGCTCTGGCGTCTACCTTGGGTGCAGGCGTCGTCGACGTCGGCTGGCTCTTTCGCTTGGGCGCCACGTCAATCGCAGAGGCAGCGCCTATCGGCTTGGTGCGCGCAGTGTTGGAGGCCATGGGCACGGCGTCGCTGAGCCAGTCGTCGTCGTCGCTCAGGCTGCCGTTGGGCGGTCCCGGTGCCGCCTCGGCGCGCTGCAAGGCAGCGAGCAGCGCGTTTTGCGTGATTAGCTGCGTGCGTGGCGCTGCGGCGTGGCGCTGCACGGGCTGAGTCGTATGGAGCCCGAACGGCGAGACGTATGTTGGCCGCCTGTCGACCTCCTGGACCGGCATGGACTCCGCGTCGGGCGTTGGGGGCACCGATGGGTACGTGATCGTCCACGCGTCTCTGTCTGAATCTATTGGCGGTGTCGGTCGCAAGGCCGCCGGCGGTGGCTCACGAGGACGGACTGTCGCTGGTCGCGCTGTCGACTGCAAGCGTGTCGTCATGTCGTAGGTGGCGCGGTCGACGGCTGCAGGTGCGGTTGACTCTTGCTTGGCCGCTACGGGATCACCTGTCGTTGGTGCTTTGGGCTCGGCTCGTGGCGGCGGGGCAGCCTTGGCTGCGTTCTGGAAGACCGGGAGGCTGCTGGCCCGTGGGTTGAGCGCCAGGAGCCGTTCGAAGACCGACATCATGGGCTTCTTCTCGGCGGGCGTCCATGGCGCGGAGGCGCTTGGCACTGCAGCTCGCGCCTGCGCGGTTGGTCGGTCGATCACGCCTTGCAATGCAGCGCTACGGGCCAGCGGCAGCCCGCCATCGCTCTCGTCGTCGCTACTCGGGAGCAAGTCCATCCACGTCAATGCCCCATTTCGTCCAAGTTTCGGAACTATCCTAGCTGTAGGATTTGAATTCGGTTCAAATCGGACCAGTCCGAAATGGAATGCTCAAGTGCGCGCCAAGAGCAACTTCAACAAGATCGGTATGACATGGGAGTTTTATGATGACTGGGAAAGGAGCGTGACGCCCACTCTTGTGCTGAAATCAGGACACGTGACGCCTTGACCAGGACACACGTATCCTTGGACTCGAGCTTACGCGATTGGCACACTTGGTCACAGACAGGCTGCCGTGCGTCGTGGTCATCCATGTACTCGCGTTACCTGAGGTATCACAACTAGGCTCTTCTTGACCGCCCGAGGCACAGAAAGCTTTCATTTACTGTACACTGGTAGTATCATCGATGCAACATCTCCAAGTGTCGAAACTGCTTTCCAGCTCGCAGCTTCTTGCATTTTTCGAAGCGTGCCTGGACGATGCGACCGCCAAAATGCCAGCAGCTTCGCGAACGCTCCGAGGCTGTGACGGATAACTCATGGGCCGGCCCACGAACCCACGTGGCGCTTGCGTGATCGCGGTCCCGTGATTCGTTATGTCCATGCTGGTGCGTCAGGTGCGAGTGAGTGAAGGTCGTACATTCACTCTTCTAAAGGCTGGTGACCAAACCGGTTTCTCAACCACAGAGACTATTTGCACGCCACTTGGCGCGCGTAAGCACGCAGTTTACGGCTGCAAGCCCTGCATCACCGTACGTTCCTGAAGCTATGCAAGGAGTCTGTCCTACGTCCTTTTTCCTTCTCTTCTTCCACGCGTGTGTTGAGGAGGTGGCCCTCTCCGTATCATCAATGCAGCCGTGCCTATTCACGACGCCGCCACATCCCAGCCACCTTCCGCAGTGCAGGGGACTACATGTGTAGCTACATTCGCGCCGCTATTGCGTGGGAGTCGAAATTTAATAATACAACAGAGTCAGGTTTAGCATATTAGGCAATGCAAAGTGTACACCTTGTAGACGACCTAGTCTTGGGGGAAGTAGGTCGGGTGGGCAGCCTCATATTCGGGATGAGATAGAAGGCCTGAAGGGTCGTCGTGTGCATCGTAGAGGTGTCGAGTGGTGTTTATGACTCGAGCGGGAGGCCCAGGGGCTCAAAGCCGAGTGCCTTGTCGGTCGCAAACGAGCCAAAAAAGTCGTAGTCGAACTCGGCGTAAAGGTCCGCGGCTTCAATCTCGAGCATGTCGTTGACCATCGACGCCGTGGCGTCCGCGACGGGCGTGGGCATCATCTGCATGTCCTCTTCGTCGACGGCCTCGGCGTACTCGTGCACCATGGACGTGAGGAGGCTGATCTGGTCCGACAGCGTCGAGAGCTGCGTCTGGAGCGTCGTCATCTTACTCTTGAGCATGTCGACGTCCTCCTTGTCCCACTTGGAGTTAGGCTCTGTGCACGTCTTGCGGCGAATGGATGCCATCTTCTCCGGGTCGTCGCGGCGGAACTTGGCGTGCGTGAACTCCCACATGCTAGAGCCGAGCTCGGACGCAGGGTGCACCTCGAGCTTCTTGGTCTTGTCGAAGCCATAGAAGCGCAGCTGGCGCGCAAACGAGGCGAAGTTGTTGTGCTTGAAGTAGAGCGGCAGCATCGTCTTCTCAAAGGCCTTGGGCGACTTGACGACGAAGGACCGGCCGTTGTTGCTCCAGGCGGCGACCTCGGGCGCGCAGCAGCCCAGCATGTCGAAGGTCTTCTGCAGAAAGACAGGGATGCTCATTGTGGTGGTAGTGGAAGGAATTGAATCTGAGCGTGACTCTGCAAACTCGGCAACGGTCAGCTGGTTCCATCGCCGTGCGCGGGTGATTCCTTACAAACAAAGGTGTGCAAAGTATTCGAAACGCCGCGGCGGTTGATAGCTTTGTGTTTGTATAGAACTCTGGGCAGGCCCATCATGCACCTCTGCATTCAAGGAGTTGCCCCCGAAACGTGTTGATGGGATTGATCATGAGATCAGTCGCCCATTTTGAATCGTTTTCATTGGCTATAATTGGCGATTACGAGCTCACTTTGCACCACCTGGAAGCCAGTGTGTGGTTAGTATTTCTCGACGACTGGTAAACACGTGTGGGCCGGCCCTTGTCCGTTTGGCGCGCCCAGCATGAGTTGCGCGTTCCCGCCACAAATCGGCCCGCGCACGCTCCTCACATGCGCGGGACGACCCGCGTCATCGCACGCGCGACGATGCGTGAGTAGGTCTATATTCGTGAGGTCATAAATTTAGGTCGGCGTTGCCACACGTCATCGCATCTTGATGGATTGTGTGACCTGAACGGGTGGTCGACGTTTTCGCCCGCGATCCTCATGTGGCTTAGTTAGTCGAAAGATCTACTACTCGAGTCGAAATGAGACTGCTACGATCGAGAGGTACACCGGTGACGTGCGCTTGGTGTGCGCGCGATGCACAGCGGCGGTGAGTGAGCTCGGACCAACGGCATGCGACACATGCACGCTTACGTGGGTGGGACCGCGTCAACTTGCAACATAACATAGAGCCAGCTGCCAACATAACGCTCGCCCGTCACGGCAATAATGAAGCCGAGGGTACCAACACGGGGTCGCGAGATCGCCACCCAGCGCCGCCGCCCAGCGCCGCCACCTCGCTGGCCGCCGATAAAAGAGCTTTGCCCGTCGTCATCGAAAATCGAATCTCGTCACGTGGAAACTCGGTGTGTTCAACTATCGCGCATGGTATCGACGCTTTCGATTCGTTGGAACTCCAACGCCAGAGGTGGAGGCCAGTAGTGTCCAGTAGCACGCGGTCAGCACACGCGATCAAGCGCAGGGAGTCACGGAAGTGCAAGCTCTGTCGAAGGGGCGCTGCATGGTCAGTTTGGGAGATGTTGATCTCGAGGGAGCCATGCCGGATCTTTTCGACACACGGGGTGTTGCTGATGCAGGTAATTGCTCTTTGATTGCATCTATAGGCGCGCGTTCTGTGCTTGAATGGGCGCGTCCTCTATCTCGGCTACCGTGCCAAGGCGTTCTTAGTTTGAAACACCGTTGCAGGATCAAGTCATGCTCGTTCGATCGGTCTGGTCGGTTGAACCCTGCACAGACTTGGCCAGAGAAACCGTCGTGCTTTTCATCGTGAGCAATGACCGAGGCGATCCGTGGAGGCGATCCTGCTCCTAGTACGTAGCCCCGTACGTAAAGACACAGTGCTGCAACCAATATCGCAATGCCTTCACTCGAACTACGTCGGCCGCTCATCCATTGCAGGGTCACAGTCATAGCACAAGAATTTTAGCGGAAGCGCTAAAGAAGAGCGTTTCATCATAGCCGTGCTTTCTACGAGGTGGGCGCCCACGGCTCGTCAAGCGCAAGGATCAATGGCCACGCGTGGGATGGACCTCTTGAGAGTAGTCATAAGTACGGTGCCTGGGATGGTTTGAGCGTCTTGCGACCCCACCACGGTACGCCGACGTGCCAAATGCTGTCTGATTCCCCAAGATAAGGCCTTCGTTGGCTCGCAGCGGCGCATATAAAGCACGGCGCTGGGATCAAGAGAGACTTTCAATGGTCTGAATTCAAATTCATTCGTAGTTCAATATAATTATACTTACACTTAGAGCTGCACGATGCTGTCGGTCTCGGCCATTTTTCTCCGCTTGGCCTGCGCGGCCAGGGCGGCAACGGCTGCAGGTGTGGCCGGTGCGCCCGGGCGCTTGCCACTGCGCGCCATGAGGGCCGAGACGACGGCTGTGAGGCTTGTGATCTGGCCCGTGAGCTGCTCGAGCTGGTTCTGGAACGAGACCACCTGACTCTTGAGCACTTCGACATCCTCCTTCTCGGTCGAGTCGTTCTCCGAGTACGTCTTGCGGCGGATCTGCGCCATGAGCTCGGGCCGGTGGCGCAGAAACTGGTCGTGGTAAAACTCCCACCAGTGCTTCGTCTTGTCGTCGTCGACAATGACAATGTCGTCCTTCTTGTACTTGCGGAAGCCGTAAAAGTTGAGCTGCCGTACGTACGAGGCAAAGTTGTTGTGTTTGAAGTACTTTGGCAGGACCGATCGCGCGAACTCCTCAGGGTCCTTGATGACGATGGTCGTTCCGTTGTTGGCCCAGGCGGCGACGCTGTCGGGCGAGTTCTCAAACATCGTGTACGTCTTCTGGAGGAAGATGGGCGCGTTGGCCGTGGCGGCCGTGGCCTTGGACTTGGCAGCGGCTGCGGCTTGCATGATCTTCTTGTGCACTGCGCCACGCGCGAGATAGTCTGCCACCTGGAACCCGAACGCAACCGAATTCCGTCGACCGCCCTCCTTTTTTAAATGCGATCGCGATGATGTTTCTATATAATTGATTGGCATTTGATACAAACACAATATATGAGATAAAAGATTGGAAATTAAAAAAGACAACGGACTACAAAAAATAAATGGGGCCCCCCCTGCGTCCACTTTGCTCCAGTACAAAGACATGGTTCACAGAGTATAGGGTGGGGCCCCAAAGATTGTTTTTTGGAGGACCCACGCCGCAGAAGCTTGAGCGCTGGTCTTCCCGAGAGTTCCGATCTGCGCATGGCGCAGGCCCCGCGGGGTCCACGCGCATCAACGAAAAGCAAACGATTATGATACCGACGAAGGCTCAAATCACAATTCAATTTCCTTTCGACTGCCCATGTGTCCAACACCTCCACCGTGCAAAGCGATTAGACCCGCGGCTGCAGGAACGAATCATGGCCATGGAAAAAAACCAATGAGAAAATAGAGTTTCAGCGCGTGCACAACGCCCTTCCGTGTGCCAGACTCTACGCCGCCGTGTGCGCCAGAGTCCGCGCCACCGTGTGCGCCAGAGTCTGCGCCACCCTGTGCACCAGAGCCGGCGGCGCTGCAGTGTCGCCAAGTCGCCGTCCGCTTCTCAGAGCTGACTTCCCGACTTTTCAGAGCGGTCGTCCTCGCGACCAGCGGTCGCAGCCACGTAAGCACGCCAGTTCATATGCGTGTGATTATTCCGAGGAGAGCCAGCGATTGCTGATCACACCTTTCGCGTAATCCGGCTCTTCGCGCCCAGCCACTGCATACAAACACCAAGTTCCTTTCCTGTTGTATACAAAATTTCACATATCCACATTAATCGAGGTCGGCCATGTCGCCAGCGGGCACCACCCATCTGGTTGGATACAAACACCAAGTCTATCCATCCACCTGGTCTCAAAGTTAACCACGAACCAATCAACGAGCGCCGTTCGACAGCTCGTATGGGGTGGGACAACCGGAAATATGGGTTTCAAAAGCCGTGCTCTGCGGTCTTAAAATGCATATTTCGAAACGTTGATACTTGTTTTAATAATACAAAAGAGGTATCCAAATTCAATTCAATTTAGATCTTTATTTCTATACCATTATCGAGTGGTACAAATAGAAAAAGGCGCAGAATACATGCATTATAATCTCTGACATAGGGCTGTCGCACCAATATTTTCGAGACCGGGCCGCGCGGAAGTAAATGACTCAGTGGGACTCGGGTACGACCCCTGCATCCTCCTCATTATTGAAATTACCACACTAGACCCAGCATGAGCCGACCGAACAACATGAGCGCCGCCCTCTTCCTCCAGAAGTCCTACGACATGATCATGAACTGCCCGGAAGACGTGGCCGCGTGGTCCAACAATGGCACGTCGTTCGTCGTCAACCAGATCAAGGACCTCGAGAGCACGTGGCTGCCGCGCTACTTCAAGCACAACAACTTTACCAGCTTTGCGCGCCAGCTCAAGTTCTACGGCTTTGACAAGTACAAGAAGCACAACCAGGGCGGCGACCTCGAAGCCGACTCGGTCTGGGAGTTCACGCACCCGCTCTTCCTCCGCGATGCGCCCGAGAAGATGGTGTCGATCCGCCGCAAGACCAACACGAGCTCGGACGTGTCCGAGAAGGTCGACAAGACCGAAGTCTCGGCGCTCAAGGAGAAGATGTCGTCGCTCGAGTCGCAGCTCTCGGCCTTGACCAACCAGATCTCGATCTTGACCAACTTCGTGCACTCGTACGTCGAGTCGAACGCGCTGGACGCGGAGCCCGACGCCGAGCCGCTCCGCAAGAAGGCCAAGCTCACGTCGTCGCCGCGCGATGTCTCGAGCTTCGTGCCCGTCGCCGACGAGATGGACCTCTCGGACATTGACGACGGTATCCTCGACACGCTCCTCTTCGGCACGGCCACGCCCGCCGAAGCCCTCACCTTTGACATGCAAATGCCGCTGCTATTGTAAATCGCACCCCTCGGCGCCGCACCCATCATGGCTCGTCCATTATGGCGCGTGCACTGCGCCGTTGAAGCATTCTGCATCGTATTGTATTCCGCTGCGTCGATCGAGTCGCCTCATGGCACGCTATTCCTATACTGTGCCGGTCGCCGCTGATGTCCCGTACCTTCACCAAAGACTACGACTCAAGCGACCACAGGACCGACGCATCTACTACGCTAATACATTCCTTGTGATCTTATATACTCTTCCGCCTCACCGCAAGCCACGTAGTTGGAGCATGCACAGAGCGCCTGGTGGCCATCAACCTAATACTAGTAGCCCGTATGAAACACAAGCGCATTACCGTCGTGTGATGCTTCGTGCGTCCGCCATGCCCGCAGGCTATCGTCTTGGACATGAAAGCGTCGTCAGCGGACGCATGTAGGGAGCGACGGGATGAGCTCATGGAGGTCGCTGCGGACCGCCCGAGCTTGAGCTTGGTCCGGATGCTCGACTTCCGAGCCATTTTTATTCGAGCTCGGATTGGTCCAAAACTCAGGAATATTAAAATAAAAGGTGTCGAATCATCGATATGAAGCACAAATGATATGCACTGAATTCAATTTCATTTTGCTGGAATATAATAATAATAGGAATATTGCCCCAGCTCTCGCAATATTTGCCAAGTGGGACCGCGCGAGACCGCGGGCATGGACGACCGGATCGATGGCGACGTCCCGGCATGGCGGCCTGCGTCGGCTGGGAAGCTCCGAGCGAGCTTCCTGCGGGATGTGGACCAAGTCGAGACCCCGGACAAGGGCTCCAAGAAGCGCTATGGGTTGGCTTCGCGCTCGACGACGACGACGGCAAGCCATATCCCCAAGAGTATGGCGTACGAGCCCTTGACGCGCAAGATGGTGCGAACCAAGCCGCTGCATGAAACGGAAGAGGCGAAGCTCAAGAAACGCGAGAGGCGCTGGGACAACGAGACGCCAACGTCCTGCTTTGACCCGTCGCCGGCGAAGCCCGACCGCCCTGTATACTCGACGACCAGAGCAATCATGAAGCCGCGACTGGCCATGGAGCAGGTGAACCGCCAGCGTAGCAAGACGGTGCCATCACGGATCGTGCCAGGCCAAGCCATCATGGGCTCGTCGACACCCTCGTCGGTACGTCATCATGATGTTGCAGCGCTCGAGCATGGGTCATCCTCGTGCGTGCATAGACGACACCCAAGTACTCTGGCAAGATCTCTGGATCACTCGCAGAGTACGCAACAAAACCAGCCATGCGTCCCGTCTTCTCGACAGCGACGACGTCGTCCGTCCTCGAGCGCGCGACCAACGGCTACTACGCGAGCATGCGCGACGAGCTCCAGGAGGATGCTCCGCCCAAGAAGCGGCCATGCTTGGACAACAAGCCCAAGGCAGCTGCGCCCGTCGACGAGTGGCGCAGCAAGCACAAGACGTCGGGGCTATATGAACGACGGCGTCCGCCGGTCGCTTCCTTCTCGAGCCCTCTCGCGTTAAAGTGCTTGCCAACCGTTAAACCGTTTGCCTCGACACGGGCACCGACCAAGTCGTCCGGATCGGCTGACAAGCCCATCAGCTTTTCATCCGACGAAGATGAGGAGGGGTACGACGCAGAGGCCAAGGCGCCGCCGGTGGTCCACGAGCTCGCGCCGCTGGCCTGCGCGTCACTGAACGTTGGCGCCAACGAGATTTTGTCGATTGAGCTTCGGCTCGAAGAGAAATACCTCACGTGGAGCGACAGCCAGTTGTACGTGAGCCAGATTGCACAGCTGCTGTACGTCCATACCTTCTTGCTCCCACATCGTTCCAGCTCCTCGTCGACGTAGCGTGTTTGTCTCGATGACGCCCGAGGTGCCTTCGTTCCTCGCCATCAGCGCCACGCGCAACAACGTGTTTCGCCTCGACGCGGCCAAGTACATTGTGGCCATTCCACGCGACGCAGACGACTTGCTGCCCTTTTACAATGCGTTCAAGCGGCGCTTTCCGCACGTCGTCGCAAGAAAGATGTACATCGATGCACGCTGCGTCATACCAAACGCTCACCTCTCTCTATTGACGTAGCCAGCTCATCAGCCAAGCGCAAAAGTGCCTCGTCGACGTGGCGGCGTGGCGCGATGGAGCGACGCCTCGTCGGCCCGAGCGCCAACAGCTGCGGTCCGCAACGCCTAGCAGCAAGCAGAGCGTTGCGAGTCTGCCACCGCAGACAACGACCAAGCCGCGCAAGACGCGCCAAAGTGGACGGCGGCCCCGTGTCGCCAGCAAAGTCGTCGTGGTGTACCCGCTGCCGCCGGCGAACCTTGATGTGATTTCCATCACCGAAGAGGACCTGGATCGCCTCGAGCCCGAGGTGTACCTGAACGACAACCTCATCGACTTTTACTTCAAGTACCCACTGGATATTCTGTCTGTTAGGACATGCTTGTATACATACATGCGTAGGTGGTTACAAGCGGGTCCGTGCGCGTCCACCAAGCCGTACTGTCTCTGCTTTGGCGCGCTCTTCTTTCCCGCGCTGACAACTGGCGGGTCGGTCACGTCGTGGTACAGCTACGACGACCTCTTTTCAAAGGAGGTGATTGTCGTGCCCATCAACATTCGGTACAGATGTCTGCTGTCCTCGCTCCCTTTTTTGACAAGTAAGGGTGTAGCAACCACTGGAGCCTCGTGGTCATATTCAACCCGGGGATGGCGGCCGTACCAAAAGTCGATCGACGCCTCCCACCCGTGCTCACGCTGCTCGACTCGATGAGTGGCGCGCACCGGCGAGGCGAAGTATGGTCCCCGCTCCTTTCGTACCTCGGCGCGGTCTTTACGAAGAAACACGGCAATGACGACGGCTGGGACCCGTCGGCGTTTGCACGCGTCGTTGTCAAGGCACCCCAGCAAATCAACTCGTATGATTGCGGTGTGCACATGCTACTGAGCGCGCACATGCTGCTCGACGCATACGACGGCCTGCGCGGCCAACGCACCGACTTTGGCGTGGACGACAGTATGGTCGAGGCCAAGCTCTCGAATCTCATTCGGAGCGATACGTACGACGCGGCGACGGTCGAGGCGACGCGGATGTCAATGCGGACCACCCTGGACGACCTCGCGCGTCAGTACGAGCAGATCAAGGCGACCAAGACACTCAACACGGAGGAGCTACAGCAGCTCTCGATCTCGTCGGTGGAAGAAGAAGCGAGCTCCGAGACGGACGTCGCCGACAAGGTGCCCGCCGAGACCGACGACGACGACGAGATCGCGTCGACGGCAGTCGCGGAGGATCCGGATGAAGAGTCGCAGATGGATCCGCCATCGGACGCCGCGAACGTTCCGGAGAGCCCAGACTCGGGGACAGAGGCGCCCAAGCCAGCCAACGCGCCCGATGTCATAAGCGATGTCGTGAGCCCTGTCGCAGTATCCCCCGCCTCGACGGCCGACAACCACGTTACGATAGACGACGATGACGACGACGACGACGACGACGACGAGGATACCACTAGTGTCACGAATGTCTAATCTATGACCCGATGTCATGACGAGGCGTCGTGCGCCAAGAGCGAGCGCATTTGGTGGTCGTGCGCCGTGTTGCGCGCGGGCATGCGCTTTCGGCCGCCTCCGAGACCAATCTTTTCGTGGGCGCCGTCGACGGCCTTGAGCTTCCATCGCGGTGCCACGTCACGGTCCACGCCAGCCTCCACCGTCGTTGTCGTCTCGACTTGGATGACACTGCAGCGGGTGTGAAAGCCCGTCGAGTCGAGGCCCGCCGTGTTTGAGGGCCCTGGGAACGGCCGTCGCATCGCAGCCACGTTGTCCCGTGGGCGCATGTCATGGCTCAAGAAAGCGGGATCGCTCGCCGCACGCGGACACGGCATCGCGCGGCAGCCCAAAAGCCGACCGTGAAAGTCGACTGGCGACGTTGCCTCTTGCGGCTCGGGTTTGACGGCGGCGTGCGCAGCTTGCAGCACTTGGCTGTAGGTGGCAACGGGCGGAATCAGCGCGGCGAGGCGCTCGGGCGGGATCTCGATGCCAAACGAGCTCTGGAGCGCGCCACTGAGCGCCGACGAGGTCTATCGGTTTCGTGTCACACCTAGAACGCGATGTGGAGGCGTCGCACGAGTGACGTGTGGACGACTTGGTTGGTCTTGTCTTCGTCCATCGTGCGGAAGAGCGCCCGAAGCTGTTTGGGATGCGTCTCCTCAAGACGCAAGAGGCGCTGGGCGTCTTTAAAGTGCAGCCGGGGTGCGACCGGGCTCACCTATGAAACATGGTGGTACACGCTTGCACCCGACAATGGTACATGTGAAGGCGAACGATAGACGCATGCGGCGAGATCGCGCTCCTCCATCTGTGACGGCATGTGACGCAGAAGCGTGTCGACTTGGTCTGGAGAGAGCTGTAGTTGGGCTTGCATCTCGTGCCGCAATCGCTCCTAGCCGCACGTCACATCATTCCGAGGCGGTATGGTTCAGGAGCGACGGCTACCTTGGAAAACACACCGACGGTGTCCGGATCGCACGCACGGTAGAGTGCTCGCAGCGCTTTGGACGACACCTTTGTCTTCTTCTGGAGCGCTTCAAGTGCCTGCGATCTTGTGAGCTGTGAGCCCTACCCCTTTTACCGACCTGGCTTTGGACCGCGTGCTCTTCGTGGGCGCGCGGCGACGTTGGTGGGATTTGAAGTGGGAACAAACTAGCCACTTTGTAAGAATCAATGACGCATCACGGAAGCCTTGCTTGTGCTGGAGTTTGGTTGGCGACGGCGACAAAGGCGCCAGTGGGCTCTGTGCAAAGCGATGAAACGGCACAGCGTCGCCGTCGCCCGCGAGATGCGCCCAGACGGCGGCAATGTCGTCGGGTTGCCCTCCGACACTCTTGAGGCACGCTTCAAAGGCGCGCCGATCGAGGCGACCGAGCTTCTTCTTGTCAAAGCTGCGAAACGCCATGCGCAGGTCACTGTGCTTGAGTCGAAGGCGCTCGAGGTAGTGCGCGTGCAGCGTCGCTTGCACCGACGTGGCAGATTCCGATGCGTGCAATGGACTTTTGTGAGAGTGTTTTGCGGGAAATTGCTTGACGCCGACCGTCTTTTCCGCCACCAAGTGCAGAGGGGCCCACTCGGCTGCCGTGTCGTGGTGGAGCACCGCGGCGCGGAATCGATTAAAGTCAATGACGCCCGTGTGGTTTGGATCGAACTTGGCGACAACGTTGGCCGCGTCAACGGGAAGCACTCCGAGGCGGCTCAAGCACGTATGAAATTCCGCCAAGTCGATCGTGCCTACGGGGATGCCACGTCAGATGACGTAATCACGCGACGAGGCACCATCGCCGTCGACGTCAAATCGCCGAAAGAGGTGGTGGATGTGCTTGGCCTTGGCAGCGAGCGTCTCGACGACGGTATTGAACGACGCGTCGACAGACTTGGTCGTGACGACGGGTGCGTCGATGGCCGATATGTTGTCGAAAAAGCTCGCGTATGCGACCACCCCCGCGCCGCGGGGATCGAGCACCCGTAGCAGCCCGTCTGTATCTTCCGTATTCCACCCAAGCGACGCGAGGCACGAGACAATCTCGCGCTGTTCGAGCAGTCCGTTGCCGTCGGCATCATACTTGCGAAAAAAATCCTTCGGGTTGGCCACCTTCGCGGTCGTGCGCAGGTGGTGCAGCAACTGCGCTTTGGATTTGGGACCGCTTTGCCCTGTCATAGTGGTATGTTTTGGCGCCGGTTCGATCCCCGGCTTGATGGCCTTTTTGCCCTTGTTCTGCCCGTGCTGCGGCAAGTGCAAATGCGCGAGCTCGGTGCGGTCACGATCGTCGCCAGCGACCACATGCAAGAAGCGCTTGTAGTCGATATCGCCGACGCCGTCCGGATCAAACGCCTTTTGCAGCGTCGCAACGTCCGTTGCGTGCACCCCCCACGTCGCCATGCACGTTTCGAACTCCATCTTGTCAATGCGTCCTAAGCATCGACATGGAGAGACCACCCTTCAACGACCGTGTACCGTCATGGTTGGCGTCGTACTGGAGAAACGCGCGGTGCAAATGCTCGTGCTTTGCAGTCACGAGCGACCGGACGCGGGCGAGCGCGGCGTCGGGCGATGTGTCGTTGCGCATCATGGCGGGCGCGGGCCCGTGGACAGCGTTGAACAAGTCGTGGTACCGGACGTGCCCTCGACCGTCTGGATCAAGCAGCTTGAGGATCGACGCGCTCTCGGATGGCGAAAAGCCTTGCTGTTGCAACATCCCATGCAGCTCATTCGGCTCGATCGTACCGCTGCCATCGAGATCCAGCGCCCGAAAGTGTTCCTTTAGGTTGCGAGGTGCCCGGCGCTTAAGCTTCTTGAGCAGTTTGCAAGCATCAAGCTTGGTCAAGTCCAACGAGAGACGACGTGGCGTCGCAGGAAGGGCTCGGACAAGGTCGATGTCGGCCTCGGTCGTCATTTACTTGAAATAGCGCATCGAGCGTTTCGTCGCGGACCCTAACCTCAAGGGTCGTTGCAACAGATAGGTAGACATGCAGTCGAGACATCCGCGCGCATTATTCGGAGGACGCTAAAGCGAGGGAGCATTTGCACTGCGTCGATGGACCACATGCGATGCCACGAGTCGATTGCGATCGGCATCCTGAGAACGTTGATTTCAAGTGTTTAAACGCGTTCAGATTTTAGTCGACTTGGTATTACCTACTGTAGCTAACATCGCGCCGTGCTGCACGACTGGGGGGTTGGGCTGAGCACGATCGTGGCGGCGCTCGTCGCCTTGAGCTGCAGCGCGCGTTCGCGGACCCGGAGAATGGACGCCGAGAGCGCGTTGAGCACTTGGTGGCGGTCCGGACTCGCGACGCCGAGCACCGTTCCTAGCTGCAGCGCCACCAGCGGCAGGAGCACCGTCGAAAGAAACGCGAGGACGAGGAGAAGCGACCCAAGCGCACAGCGGTACCACCACGGCGCTGACGCAAGCAGGAGGAGGCAGTCACACAGCATGGCAAGGAAGAGCACTGGCAGCACCATGCAGAGGCGAACGAGAAGCGACAGCGACGCCCGGCTCCACGACGGCATTTGCACGAGGCGGCTCGGTAGCACCTCTGGCGCCTCCATGAGCGACTCGGAGAGGTGTTCCATGGAAGTGAGCGCGGCGACCACGTCTTTGGCCGTGACGCTCCCCTCGTCCCCGCGCGACGCAAGCACCTGAAGCGACTCGATCTTGGAGGCCATGTTGAGCTCGTTGATGATGTCACAGGCTTGGAGAACGAGTCCAGACGTGACTTTGTAGAGGTACCATGCGACAGCCAACGTGAGCAGCAGCGCGACGCTCACAAAGACAACCAAAACGTAGAGGCGGGCGGCCGCGACATCCGGGCGATACACCGTCGGCGCGAGACGGGCCATCTCGTCGACTGTCGCTGCGGACCACGACGGATGCACGACGCCGTCTGCGATCCCGAGGAAGCTCGCGTAGACCGCGAGAAGGACGGGCCAGCTCCACCACGGAAGTGGCAGCAGCTCGACCGCCGTCGCGGCCTCCACGTGGTTGAGGTACACGTCAAACTGGAACGTTGTTGGCAGCGCATGCGCCGATAGGAAGAGGTGCCGGAGCAAGAAGAAGTCGACGCCTTCGCGGAACCGGCGTGGCACGCGATCGTCCGAGGTCACGAAGTTGCCGTTCGTGGCGACTGCGACAAACTCGGGGAGCGACCGAGCGGCCATTGCGCACCGACGGTGGTGCGCCGCAAAGACGCGCCAGCTCACGACTGCTGTCTGCGCGGCGTGGACGAGCACGACGAGCCAGAGCACGTCTTGGACGATGAGGAGGCCGTGGTGCGTCGGACTCTCCAGCGGAAGGATCTCCCAGAGGAGGCAGCGCTGCACGAGAAATGAAAAGACGCCGACAACAGCGACCTCTACGCACGAGGAGCATCCGCATGAGCACCATCGCAGACTGCAAGAGAAATACCGCGCAAGGTGGCGTCGTACAAGGCAGTCGCATACGGGTTGGCCTCGCACGCGCGCCGGACGAGCCAGAAAAGCGTCGCGACGCAGAGACAGACGACGACACCTTCCAGCAACAAGAGGAGGAACGGGCCTAGACCGAGGCTCGGGTCCATGCCCACATGGAGGAGTGCGTCGCTCGGATACGCTTTGTGCATGGCCGCGAGCGCCGGCGAGGCGTCGTACGACGGCGTGTACGCGACGTTGACGTACCCCAAGAGCCGCTCGACAAAGTCCTCAAAGTGACTGCCGCTGTAGCGTTCGCCATGCACGATATGAGACTTGATGGAGCACGGCGCGATGGCTGCGACGGCCGATGCGAACGCGGCCGCGAAACTCCGGCAGGCGGCCGTTCGATTGAAGGCTCGGACTTGGTCGCGCTCGAGGCGGCTCCCGTACAGCAGCGAGAGGATCGAGAGGTTGGACGCGGCCAAGCACGGCTGCGTCTCGGGCTGCGCCGTGAGTGCGTTCAGCAGCTGCACGCGGTCGCAGCGCGGAATGCGCCCATCCAGCGGGCCCGATGCGTTGGTCGAGACGACGATGCTTGGCTGGCGAAAGCAGTCGGGAAAGAGCGTCCTGCAGGCGTCGGCCTTGTGCTCCGACGGCGGGTTGCAAACGCGCGGCAGCTCGTGGCAGCGGTAGAGAGCGTCGTCGTCGTCGCTCGAGGTGGGCGGGCGCGTCCCGTACGTTGGTGCTGGCGTCTCGGAGCGGACCGGCGTCGTGAGCTGGTGCGAGCGCACGTGTGTCTCATTGCTGCCGCCGACCGCGAGGAGGCTGCTACCCACAAGCAGCATTGCCAGTCGCTGCATGGCGGCTTGCTCTTCAATACTGTTGCTGTTTGTAGGTGTCCCGTCTGACAGCTGAATTGCCAGATCCATGAACTAGCTATTCGCACGCAACTTGGTACAGCTGCATCGAGTCCCTTCTACCGCAATGACGGGTGTGTCCGTGAGCAGCATGAACATAGCCGTAGCATCCAAATGAGTTCATCTATACAAGAAGATTGCTACAAGCGTGTGCATCCCAGCACGCTGCTAGATTAGACCCATGGGTAAATGGCGTGTTTTTAGCCTCAAAACCTCTGAAAATAAATGGTATTTCGCCAAAACATTGTTTTTCACAGGTCATCCGGTAAAAGATACGCGGAATCCGGTTTTGTGCGCTTATTTGTGCCACTCATCATGCGCGCGCTTCTGGGCCAAGACCTCCGGACGTATGTCGACGTCATAACGATCGTCCGGCAGGTGCAAGCGCCGACCTCCGAGTTCGCAATGCTGCCATCGCGCTTCGTGGTACCGGCCGAGACGCCGTGGCCACCAGCGCTGCATGGGCGCGTGCTGGACGTGGCCAAGCTCCGAAAACACTACGCCGCCAACCTCCTACCTCGCAGCGTCATTGACGATTTGGAGGCGCTTCGATTTGTATGGGACCCCAAGGAGCACAGCTGGGTCCTGCGGCTCCTTGCGCTGCGCACGTACAAAGATCTCTTCGGGCATGTGGCCGTGCCGTACGAGTTTGTTGTGCCACAGACCTCGGACGCGTGGCCGCTCGACGTCCGAGGAACCAAGCTTGGCGTCGCCGTCACCAATCTGCGGTCGCGCGCCGCGTCACTGTCGGCCTCCCGAAAGAGAGCGCTGGACGATCTCGGCTTTGTCTGGGACAGCCAAGAGCTCGTGTTCCAGACCAAGCTGCAGGCGCTCAAAGCGTTCGCGTCCATCTTTCACCACGTCGCAGTGCCGTTCGAGTTCAAGGTGCCAGACGCGTCGTCGCTTTGGCCACCGCCGTGCTGGGGCCTCAAGCTCGGCCGGGCGGTGCATGATCTGCGGTGCCGTGCGGCCAGTCTCACGATCGACCGCCGGCGCCAGCTCGACGCTTTGGGGTACGCGGGCCGCATCCGTTTGCGATGCTGTCACGAAAGACGTATTCATTAGGTTTGTGTGGGACAGCCACGAGTCGAATTGGGAGATGAAAGTGCGTGCGATGGAGCTCTACAAGGCGCTGCACGGCAACCTGCTCGTGCCCCAAGACTTTGTCGTCCCGGCAGCGCTACCGTGGCCGCGATCCATGTGGGCACTCAAGCTAGGCCAAGCGATCACCAACATCCGGTTCCGAACAACGTCAAGTGACCGTCGCGCGCAGCTGGAACAACTCGGCTTTGTGTGGGATTACCCTGAGCTGCGCGGCGAGGCCAGGATGCTCCTCGCCTTGACAAAACCAACACCAACACCGTCTTCGTCGCGCCCAACCAGCTGCGCTCCGAGGCCAAGAAAACAGCGAATGGACGCGTGGCGACCGCCCGAAGTCGAGTCGTAATAGCTTCTTCTCCTCGCATGCAACATTTGAACGTGCCGCCGACATCAGCCAACACCTTGGTGCTGTCGAATCGAGCAAAGTAGCAGTACTCGCACGACCATGGATAGAAGGGATTGATATGCTTGGGCGCTGCAACGTATACAGCTCATTGCAACACGATTTACTGTCAATTGGGATGGACGACGACGTGGCACAAGGGCGTGGCAGGACCTTGTGCTTCGCGTTTGTTTGAAATACGTTGTTTTGATTGGCTATATTTATTCTATTTATTGGCCAATCGTGTCCGAACCATCCGGTGGCACGCCGCTCCATCGAGGCTGGCCCGGCCAGAGGACGGTGGAAAATGAAATCGCCCATAGTTGGCAAGGTGATAGCTACGGCTTTGGAGAGTACGAGATGACGCACCGCGTCGGCGTTCGAGCGCTGCAGCTCGAGTTATTCACCCCCATGTTTAATGTGGCATGTGCCACATTATACCATATTTACCTCAAATAATAGCCACGGAGCTTGATTACACCAGTGCGCGCACATTATTCACTCGAACGACAAGTTGACCACGTAAAAGGGAGACGACAATATCATTCATATCCTTTTATACTCATTCCGTGGAGGCATGCGACCTGCCGGCACGAATGGCTTACATTTGCATTGCATCAAAGATGTAGGCCGGCACGTGCGTGTGGAGCATGCTCGACTTGAGGTGCGACGCGCGCGCAAACTGCACGAGAAAGATAAGCACGTTGAGCACATCGGGGGGCAGCTCGCCGGTGGCGCCCGGGCGCTGCGCAATGTCGTTGATCTGCGACCGGACATACTGCCCGACATACGCGACAAACTGGTCGGTGAACGACGGGTGGAGTTGCTTGAAGATCGTGACGAGGCCCAAGACGAGCGGCGACCCGTCGAGCGGATTCTGTGCCACGCGCTTGAGCGACCCAAACGCCGCATCGTACTGCAATTTTGGCATGTAGGCGAGCACAAAGAGCAGAAAGAGGCTCGCGAGACCTTCGAGCGGCGCGTCCATCGTAATGTAGATCTTCTGGAACGGGTCGTTGGCGCCCATGTTCTCGAGGTACTTGTTGACCTCGACGAGCACGGCGGGATTCGGGTACGGGGTCGTGCCCGGCGACCGGTAGTGCAAGCGGATGTCCCCGAGAAGACTCTTGTCGAGCGTGTCGATCGAGCACGTGAGCAAATGCGCGTCGAGGCGCGAGCTGAACGCAAGCTCGCCCGCAATCGCCTTGCGAAGCAGCGCGGCCTGGCCAATGATCAAGACGGCCTTGAGCAGCTTGCTCTGGAGCTTCTCGACCTTCTTTTGCGCGGCCTCGTAGAGCTTGGTCGCGTTCTCGGGCATGCGCCAGTACGGCTCGAGACCCGTCGCGAGCTGGTCGAGCAGCGGCAAGTACGGCGTGACGGTTGAGCCCCAAAACTTGATCAAGTTGTTGAGCGTGTGCACCTAGTCCAACAGTAGTATAGTTTATAAAGCACGAAAAGACGAAAATGAAAGGCTACGTACGATGCGAAAGCTGAGCATACGATCAATGCCGACCAGCCCGAGGAGCCCAATGCTCTGGTGCAAAAGGCCAAACGTACTCATGCCAGCCACTTCGGTCCCGTCTTCCTGGAACCAGCTGAGGCACTGGAACGAAAAATCGTGTCGTGCGGGTCCGTCATCACAAAGAGCGCGTGGAGAAGCCTAGTCCCCTTGGCATCAGACAATATTGTCCACACATTGATGCAAGTCGCACCGGCCCATGAAATTGATGCTCGTGTCTTGGGGCGGCGGCGAGAAGCGCGGGATCGGGATCGCTCGCGACTGATACTGCGATGCGCGGTCGTAGATCTTCTTCTTGAGGTATCGGTTGCACTCGGCCTCGACGTTGTAGTTGATGACGCGGCTCAACTCCTCGTGCCACATGCGTAGCCCATAAATGCTAATGTACACCATTTGAAATAAGATTGGACGATCAGATACGAAAATGTACCCGACGTAGTCTTGGATGTACTCGAACGAGAGGCGGTACGCCTGCAGCGTGCTCGCCAGCGACTGGAAGATCGCGGTGCCTTCGGCGGCATTGAGCGCCGCAGGAAACTGCAGAATATCATGGTACGCGCGCGAGACCTGCCGACATCATGTGACTTTAACGCATATGAGCGAGCACATCGTAGTACGCGGTAGACAAGCTCCTTGCGCAAGCCTTCTTCGAGCACTTGGCGCGGGTCCACTTCAAGAATACCGAGCAGCGTCTTCTTCATGGCCAAGATACCTATCCTCTCGATCAACTATCAACTTGATAGTGGGGAGGCATCTACCTTCCGTGTACTTGGACACTTCGTTGGTCGCACGCGCGAGGCGGTAGCGCTCGTTGAGCTGCGCGTGGTTCTTGAGCAAGAGGGCTTCGATCTTGACCGGAATCGTCTTCATGTGGTCTACCAATGCGTCGTAATCCATGAGTTGATGCGAGGCGATGGCGCATCGTACCCGTCTGGAGCTTGACGATACCCGCCAAGATGCGAAAGACGCTCTGCGGAATGATCTCCATGACGCGCCGGACGTAGTCGACGAGCTCGCCCGAGTAATACTCGGCGACCGAGATGACGTCGGTCGAGTTGCACTGGTGGATACGCGTGAGGGGAATGTCCAAGATGGACGCCAGCTTCAAAAAGAGCGCCTAGCAACACATCTCTCTCAGCAGCCATGCAACCGACGGAGAATGGGATGCGGACACGTAGCAAGATGACGCAGCTCGGATCGCGCTTGACGCGTGTGTGCAGGATTGGCATAAAATCGTTGATGATCTCCCAGCCGTAGCTCAGGTCCGAGACCGTCTCGATGATACCCATGGCTTCTTGACGGACACGGACCGTCCGCACCTATGCCGTGACGCGGATGGTATCTTTCTTCGCTTTGAGACGCTCTACCATCTCGGTGAGGAACTGGCGCGACTCGGCCAAGAAGGCCTTGACTTGAAGCGACGTGTCGATTTGGTCAAACTGCTCGACCGACAGAAGCGCTTCAATGAGCCGCTTGATGCGTCGGCCCGCCTTGACATGGTCGACGTAGTCGAGGCTCTTGACCTAGTCGTCCATTTGCAGTCTCTACACGAGTCGAAAAACACCGAATACCTTCTCGGCCGTGTCCTTGAACCAGCCCATGAGGTCTTCGTTGCGCTCGACGCGCGTGAGGGGCTTCTCGCCCGTAAAGTAATCGCTCAGTTCTTCCAGCCGGTCGCTCGTCTCCTTCATGCAGTGCTGCCAGCGCTCTTCCTTCGACGCAAGCAGCGACTGGAAGATCTGCTTGAGCTTCCACTCGAGCTGCGACGCTTGCAGGAGCAGCGTGATGAGGCGGTCCGGGTCCGTGGCTACACTCCCTTTTTTACAAAACAAATCCAAAAGGTCATACGCACCCTTGTCAAAAACGGCGCGCTGCTCGCGGCTGTTGTTCATCATCGGGATCACTTCTTGCATGCGGCTGTGGAGGATCGTCCAGCGGATGACCACGTTGGCGCTGCGAATGCAATGCAGGAGCGGGTCGAGGTTCTCCAGAACAAACTGGTCGTTCAAGACGCCTTCGGTGAGGTAGTGCGAGAGCTGGTCGATCGACTTGACACTCTGCTTGGCCTTTGTCTTGACGATTTGCGTAATGTTGCCGATCTCGAGCGTATTGGCGAGCGCGACGCGCGCGGCAGGGTACGGCGCCCACTCCTACACACACCTCAAGCTGCTGCTCTCCCTTCCATCAAGCAGGCAAACACGAGGGTACCAGCGAGAGATCGACGACCGTGCCCATGTACGTCGCCAGGATAAAGTTGTCGTTGAAGTGCCGGTCCACGATTTCGCGCATGCTGGCTTTTTCGTGGATGAGGATGTCGGGCGCGAAATACAAGACTACGTAAAGCGCGCTGGCTTGGGCTGCGAGACGCGTGCTGCGGTGGTCGCGGTGCGGGAACGCCGGCTCTTGCAGGTACACGTCGTCGGTCTGGAGCTTCCCGATGACCATGCTCACGACCTCTTCCGGCGGCGCAAATCGCTTGAAGAAGCGCTCCGGGTACTGCGGCGGCTTGGCCATGCCCGGGAGGTACCCCGTGACGCGGCAGAGCTTGCACACTTCGTCAATATTTTCAAGCGCCGACTCGCCCTTGTTGCGGAAGAACGCAATGACCTACGCATGCATCGCATCTTGATGCGCAGCGACGTATCGTACCATGCGCTCGCGCGCGGGGCCTGGGATCTTTTGGTCGAGGAGGAGGAGCATGCACCCGTAGAGATAGAGCGACTCGCACATGAGCTGCGCGCCGTCCGTGTCGAGGAGGATGTTGGCGAGGTCGTGCTGGATGAAGAAGCCTTTCTCGAGGTTCTCGCAAAAGTCGAGGTAGTCCTTGATGTACTTGTAGATGCTGTCAAAGAGTTGGTAGAAGCGATCGAGGATGTCTTCATGGTTGTCCATAAACTCGTCGTCGACGTCCAGCAGCTCCTAGCCGCCGAGGTTTCGCCCATGCGCTTCAGGTCTCGCTGCGTACCGTGTTGCTGTTGACGACGTTTTCAAACTCCTCCGGGTTCTTGAGGTACGCAAAGTCGAAGAGGATGTCGAGGTACTTGCGCTGCTCCGGGTCCTCGACGAAGGACGACCCGAGAAAGATACTGGCCGATGCGCCATGAGCTCGCCGAGGCCATGGGCAGGTAGACGTACCCTGGGATGTTGTTGCTGAGGCGGAAGAGCTCGGCGATGATGGCGCTGCCGCGGCTCACGAGCCGAAGGAGCGTCTGCCCACACTCGTTCTCTTCGGCGAGGAACTCCATGTTGGCGATTAACTCTACAACACGATCGTGCTTGGTATGTGATTTGAGAGGTTTTTCAAAGTGGACACGTTTCTCACGCTGTGGCGCTGCCACGTGGGGCCGCCGCGGCCCCCACGCTTGCCACGCAACTTTCATGGCAACGCGCCATGCTTATATATTGTGGGTTGAGGATCATCTCAAGCAGGTCGCATCCAACGCTACATGACCCTTCGAGTGAGTCGACCCTTGGCGGCAAGAGCGCATCAACTATTGCACGCACAAGGGCGAAGTGCTAGCTCAATACATTTAGGATGGGTTGGAAACACCGCATCCCATTGCCGCAGCGGTGCGTGGCTATTGCAGGACCCCAAGCCGGCTCAGGTCCTGGTAGTCGCTACCTGTTGCCACCATGTAGCATTGCTTGCTCAATTCCGATCGCGCATTCTCAACTCTGCGTCTGCCGCAGCCGAGGGTTGTGGGAGATCGGCGTGGGAAACGTGCGATTCTGTAGCGTACACTTGGATTCGCTATGGCAGACAATGTGTGTTTTCACGCATTTCACGTGTGATTCACACGATGGTGCAATTCTCGGTGCTCGTCATCATCCAAGCGATCTTCTTGCATTTCGCATTTTGAGCACCATGGACGGCGTCCGTGTCCTCTTGCTGCTTGTGGCGATCGTCTTCAACGGACCCGGGGCTCTCTACTTCGTCCTCTCGTCCACCATCACGTTTGCCGAGCTCCTCCGCGTCCTCCACGCCAAGGTGCTGCGCCAACACTCGACGCGTTGGGCGCTACTTGCACGAGCCACGACGGTCTAGCCAGCTCCGCGAATCCTCGCAGTCATCACACACCTTATTTTACCACCCAACATCATCTGAGTTCCTGCCTTCTCGCATGGTCTTTAAACACTTGGAACAAGCGCCGCATCCGATCGCCTCGAACAAAAATAGTCGAACGTTCGAGATAGCTGTTCACGCGCGTTCAACACCTCTCACTGTGAAATCCATGTAGGAAGTGGGGTTATAGTAATAATAGGTTACGAGGTTATTAGGGTTGACCCCCAAGAGCCCGACGCGAAACCTCTGTCTCCATTCCTGCACCGAATCCATCGTCAAGCATGGTCGAAACATCTACATGGACAAATTCGTATCGACCAGCTATAACGATCATCTAGGTAGCTCTATATGCTGTCGCTATGCTAGCGTCATCTAGCCCGTGGTTTTCACCCACGAATACGCGTGCGTTGGTGGAAGAAAAGAGGACAGTTTTACACGGAGACGACTACTAGATTCCTAACGACGATATGGGACGACTTCTACGCGTAGTGCGTCGTGTTGGTAAAGACAATGTGTTCGTACTCGGCAGCGCAGAACGGGAACGGTGTCGTGTCGGGCGGCGTCAGCAGCGAAATCCCCGCGTTGATCGAGACGTACACTGCGAGCGCCGAGCAGACGGCCAGCACCACCACCGCGTACGCCTTCTCGTACAGCGGCATGGTCGTCCAAAACTTCATAAAGTAAAAAATCAGCGGCAAAATGAGGCACGTGAGCGACATGGTCGACGCGCCGACAAAGTCCTGGAGGTCCATGACATGGTCCTGGAAGGCAATCGCGACGGCGACGACGGCGCTGATGAGAATCAGACGCACGCCGAGCGACGACGCTTGACGCGACACCGTCATCGGCATGACCTCGACGCCTTCCTTGGGCGTCTCGACAACCTCTTCTTTCAGCTCGGCGGGCGTGCCGGCTTCGACAAAGTCCGCAGCCGTGTCACTCGACCGGTGGCGCTGGCTCCAGACCAGGCGCTCGAGAATGAAAAACGCAGGGTGCAACACGACGGTAAAGGCGATCGTAATGTGGACTTGCATGGCCAAGAACGCGGCGACCACCGACCCGCGCGACGCGGTGAAGCCGAGGTCGTGGCCTGCGATCGCAAACAAAAGGTTCCGGGGCATTTGGCACCCGAGCACCGAGTAGCCCAAGGACCCAATGATCGCAAAGAGGACCGTGATGAGCGAGAGCGTCACGGTGATGACGCGCTGCATGCGCTCGGGCTGGCTGTGCTGGCGCTGGAGCGTCGGGATGATGATGCCGGCACCATAGGCCAAACTGAGGTTGCCAAAGACAGTCGAGACTTGCTCAAACGATACGCTGGGCGACGGTGGCGTGATCGAGTGCGTGTCCATCTTGACCATGACCACAGCGAGTGCGACGGCGTCGGCCACGAGCGTCGCGAGGCAGCCGGCCATCGCCATACCCGGGCTCTCCTTCAGCGTCGGAATGAGGCTGCCAGGCACGGCTGTCATGGCCATGAGAAGGATCCACACGGTCGCGCTGAACGCGTTGGGGAAGAGCGCATCGAGAAGGACGCCGCCGAGGACGAGAAAGGCGCACGCTGTGAGGAGGCATGCGAGGAGCTGCGGAATCACGACCGTGTACCGGCCAAAGTACTTGCCGCCGATCCACTCGCCGAGGTCGCCGTAGTTTTGAACCCACGAGGGGGCTGCGACCATCGTCTTGCTCATGGCGACCGACGCATAGATGTTGGCCGACGCCATGAAGAGGAGGGCGATCGAGGCGTAGACAGGGCCGGCGCGCGCATAGTTGCCAGGAATCCCGAGCGTGCCGATGCCGTAAATGGAGCAAAATAGGTTGAGTGCGAGCGAGAGGTCTTCCTTGGTCATGTACGGCGCCATGGTGGTGGAAGGTGGGAAATTGCAAACTGACCAAGTTGCAGCGTGTCGTCGCGAAACCAGTTGGCGCCAAGATCGCCATAGACATGTTGACGGTGTTTTTCGTCGACGATTTCCGGGTTTTTGGAATGGTTTCGTATTTAAATCACTTGGGATTTGTATGCAATAGAATGGTAAACATTCGATACAACACAGACCCAAGAGGCATACACAAACCAAGAGAAGGACTGTCGCATGGGTGGGGAAGAACCGTTAACTAGTGGGAAATACGGTGTCAAAGTGGATGGTGACGCAACCATAGGAACGACGCCGGAACGCGCGGCGGTGTCGTTTGCGTCATGCCACCGTCGTTGCCAGCGCATACAAAGCGCGAGACAGCCAGCCACGCAGCGCGCACGAATAACCCACAAAAAACGTAGGTTTTTTGCCTCGTAGGGGCCTAAAACCCATTCGATTTGTAATCGATCGACTTCGACCGCCTTCCTGCTTTGTGCATTGGTGCATACATAACCTAGTGATGTTCCGGCCAGAGACGAGCTCCCGAGTAGTTGCAGCCGCGACGAGGCAACCGCGACGAGCCAGAAACACTCGCGTCTCTGTGTGGACAGCATTTCTGATCATGATCACGAAGGGTGGGACGAGACGCCGGGAGAAGCTCGCCGGGAGTTCGAGCTGGCCCGATTTGGTCTAGATTTGGGTCTTTACCACGGTAGCTGCTTCTGATGCGATCGATCGCACATACCCAGGAAGTGTACTCATATGCGTACAATACCAGGCTCAAGTAGTTATGCACGAAAAGCATTCTGTATATCGAAGCATTTTGCGCAGGAGAGTTAAAAATCGAGCGCCATGGCGCCAAGAAGCACGAGCGAGAGTGCGACCACGCCACTTGTGGCAGCGCTTGCAACTGGGGTCGTACGTGCGGGTGCCATAGAAGCTGGGGCCGTCGTCAGAAGAATCAACGGCATTGGTGTGATCGTGCTGTTGGTACCATCGAGATGTCCGGCGCCGGGGCTCTCGCCGGGGCACACCGCCACCTGCGTGTAGTTGGGACACTGCAGGTTCGGGGCGGCATCCGGAGCCCACGTGATCGACTTGAGGGCGGCGAAACCTGTGGGACACGAAGGCGGCTGCGTCCGAAGCGCCGTGTACTGGTCCTTGGACGCGAGTGCGTTGGTTGTGCGGGATGCGTACTGCTGCGCGAGACTCTTAAAGTTGGGCATGTCGTTGTAGACGCAGGGCACGCTGCCGTGGTTGCACGTGGCCGGCGAGAAGTACCCGAGCCCGTAGTTTTGTGCGCCGTGTGACGTGAAAGGGTACGGCGCGTCGGCCATCGAGTTGGCGTTCTCGGTCGAAAACTCAAACGCGACGCCGCCGGCCAGCGCATCCGGGTCCTTGCGAATCCACGGGACTTGAACCCACGTGCGCTGGGCCGCGTACCCGTCGATGGTCGGGAACCCTTTGTTCAAGCAGCCAAACTCGGTCAAAATGACGGGCGCCACCATCTTGTACGAGGCGAGCTGGGTCTTAAGCTCCGTGTACCCGGGCCCTTCAACGGCTGTCGTGGCTTTGGGGTCGCACTGCAAGTAGACGTTGAGGCCATACCCTAGTGCATATCGCATTCGGTCCGATGATTGTCTCCAATTTTGCTTACATTCGACATCTTCGAGGATGTCGGTCGGGTCAGTGCGGCAGCTGTAGTAGAGTGCGTTGGCCGACCGGTCGGCGTCGGCGACGGCAATGCCAATGGGCACTTGCCGCATCGAGCCCCGGCAGGCGGTTGTGAACGCGCGCATGTCACGAATGAACTTTTTTGGCACGGCGCGTTCGACTTGATGTCTTTGACGCGGTGGTTGATTTCGTTGCCAGCGCTAAACCCCTAGCCACCATGGTACTGAGTGTCGTGTATGGGATATTATTGTCTGGACGTACGAGGACGTTGTTGTACTTGGAGAACGCGGCGATGATTTCTTGCCCGCGCGCTTTGAGCGACGGTGGGTAGCACGCAGGGTAGGCCTCGGACGTGATCTCGCAGCCTCGACAGCTCGACGCGAGCTCAATCATCACGTAGATCCCGGCCGAGGCGAGCGCGCACATGAACTTGTCGTGGGGCTGTGTCGGATCCACCGAGTAGATGCGCACGACGTTGACGCCAAGGGCCTTGAACGCGGCCACGTGCGGCAGCCAAATCGCACTCTGATCGTCGGTGAAGAAGTCGACGCTGTTCTTGTCGTTGACGCCAGCGTTGGGCCGCGGGTAGTAGTTGACACCTTCCACAATAAACGGCGCGCCCGAGACGGCGCCGAAGAGACGCTGGCCCTTGATCACAATGGGCTCGAGCGCCGTCGCCGCCGTCGCCAGTACAAGCAGTAACGTTAGTCCAACGATCCCGATCATGGCAAAAGGCAAACTGAGCGGGTTCAAATTTTGATGCTTGTCACCTCGTGTAACTTCGATTGGTGCTGCTTCGATGTAGGCACCAGTGCAAGATTCGAATCGAAGCTGCACGGTATCTTCGGTTGTCACTAACCAGATCTTGTACAGACACCAGCAAGTGATGTGAACCCAGAAGCGGACGTCTCGTAGTACAAGGTACGAGTGCGCAGTAGTGGCAATTCTACATGTTCGTTTGTCCTGCGACTGGTCGCCCAGATTCCAGATTCTAGACAGGCGGGGCGGAATGGGAATTGCACATGCTGGCTGAACCCATCGCCACTGCAATTTGTGGCCACGAGATGTGTGCTGTCTGGTCACCTTCGAAATAACGTTATTCGAAAGAAATGGAGCGTTGGCTATGCGCGCGTTGACGCTGTCTGATTTCACTTGATTTCTCACGAGGCGGTCGTCGGTCGCCGCAGGCGATGGCGAGAAGGGCGATTCCGTGGGCTAATGCCTAGAAACACATGTGGTTCTCATGCAGTCTTGATAACGACATTAATTGCCTCGAGGTCGACCAACCGACTGCAACCGGTAACCGCCTTTTTTTCTGCGCAACCAAGCATGGGCGCGGCTGCCACGGTCGCGCGCAAGTACCGCGTGCGTCAGCGCACGGCGCAAGGCTGGCATCTCGCCCTCGACAAGTACCACGCGCTTCTCCAAGAAGCGGACCGCCGCGGCTTCAACAAGGCCGAGCTCGACGCGCTGCTCTTAACGCTGCGCCAGCGCCATCTGCAGCTCCTCGCTCGCGTCCACAGCTACACGGACCCGGCGATCGCAACCATGCAGCCGTACTACGACAAGTACGCACCGATCATTCAGCGCCATGCCAAGCAGACGTACAAGCGGGCCAAGGTCGTCGTCGACCACGTCGAGTACGTCATCACCACCACGACGCTGCAAGCCATCTACCAAGCGCGGCGACAGGTCGTCTCGCAGCTCTCGGACGCCACGATCGCATCGTACTTTGACATTCCACTCCACGAGTATCAAGACACCATCAATATATCAAGTGCACTCATCGTCTCGCCAATAGCATCGCGTCGCTGCACGTGTCCAAGCGGCGCTTTTCCATTGCCAATGCCGGCTGCGACTTTCGCGAACACGAGATTGAACACACCTTTTCGATCACCGACCATGCCGTACTACGTTTGGTGACACGACAATATTGACCACTTTGCACTTTCTGTTTGATAGTTTATCCGAAAACTCCTCACGCTGCAGTGGGTGCCGTGGCAGCCCATCCCAAGCGTCGCCATGAAGCTAGTCGAGACGTTCATTCTCGACATTTCGTTTGCGTCCCGGAACGAGTTTGCGATCAAGGTACCTGCCCGCGTCGTGCTCCGGGTCGGGCCAAAATGGATCGGCGAAGACGTGCGACACGAGTCGTCCGCCAGCTTTGCGCACCCGCGCTGGCTCCAGCGCATCGACTTTCAGGAGCGCGAGTCCCGCAGCACGCTCTTCTACGATCTGCTTCGGCAGGCGTACGACCTCATGCACACAGAGCACAAGCACAAGGAAGCGATGGCGGCGGCGGCCGCCGAGGCCGCTGCCCGCGCCAAGGCGGCCGACCAGACACAGGTGCGGGCCCCGGCATTGACGGTCTTGACGCCCGAGATGATTCGCCGAACGCTCCAGACGTGCGCCGAGCGGATTCTGGACGAAGACAAGTTTCAGTTTTACACGCTCTCGAGCTATGAGAACTGGCGCATGGAGCTCCAGGACACGCGTCTCTGCGGCCAGACGATCGAAGAGATTTGCGAAGAAGAGGCCATGATGCGCGAAGACGACCTCCTCCGACTGTACGCAGCGCGGGTTCTCGAAGGTGCCGAGCGCGTGCACATGGAAAACGAAGACGTCAACCGTGCGCTCTCGCGCGAAGAGCTGGCGGCCGCTGCCATGGCCGCCAACGACATCGACGTCGAAAGCGACTGGGAAAACGACGGCTCGGACGACGACGGGTTGTAGCAGTGACCAAGATCGAGCCCAACGGTCCGGGTGGTGAGGTGAACCAATGTCTAAACCGTGAAACGAAACAAAACATCGACAGGATCTTGAGTGTACTAGGGATGTACATACGATACCACTACCATCGCCTCTATACCTTTTTGTTGCGAGAGTGCTAACGTGGTTGATGCAAGCTCGACCTAGCGGGTGCTGCTACAAGACGAGTATCCGAGCCATCATCTTGAACTCTTCTATGCAAGTACGAGATGGACGTGGGCAGGTGCTGGCGCCAGAGCCGTTGCACGACATGGCCATCGACACGGTGGCATTCGAGGAGCCGGACGCACGTGAGGTGCGCACCTTTCAGCAGCGACTGCCGCTGGTGCATGAACGCAAGGACCTTGTCTGTCGTGAGCCACGGACACCCAAGAAGCGACAGCGACTGCAGCGACATGGGCAACAAGAGCAACAGATTCGCGTCGATCGCATCAAACTCCGAGTTGCCGACAAGTGCAAAGTGCTCGAGCGCGGGAAACGCCCTGTCCGCAAACCATCAGACAATATTGAACACAAGAAGGAAGACATTGTACTCGAAGACGTCGCCTGTGATGGACCGGCACTGTACAAGCTCGAGCGATCGCAGCCGCGGGCAGCCGTGCCACGTCACTGAAATATCGGTCGCGTCCTCCCAGGACGCGTCGTCGTCGACTGTCATGTCGCTACGGGGCATAAGCAGCGGCAACACCGCTTGCAGAGAGAGCGAGCTAAGGCAGAGCGACTCAATGGTCGGTGCTGCGAGAAGCGACACTTGCGCGGCGTGCGTCCAGCGCCGGTACCACGTGGCGAGGACCGCGAGCCGCGCGAGCTGCGCCGGCGGCAGCATAAACAGCGCCGCTCGCGTGACGTCGCAGGTCTCGTCAAGGCAGTCGAATTGGTCGGCGATTGCGTGGAGGCAGCTAGAACAAGTAGTCAAGACGACGCAAGCCAGATCCAACGCACATGTCGGCGAGCGATGGCAGGGCGTCGTGGATCACATGGGTCTTGGCGAACAAGAGCGCGACGTCCGGCGTGCGGTCCATCGCCAAGCTGGCTGCCGCTAGTGCTGGCACGGGCAAGGCGATGACAGAGCGCGGGCGAAGGCGCAGTGGCACGCGAACACTGTCCTGCGATGACGTAGCCGTCGCCTCGCGCCGAAGCTCCGCCACGGTCGCCGCCACCTCGGCGCGCAGCGCCAGGCTGGACTGATAGCTACATACATGGCACGAGCGTTCTACACGTATAGCGTCACGGTAGTAGGCTACCTGGCGAGCTTGGAGGCGCCGCTCTGCCGCCGGCGCCGAGCCCGGACCATGCTGTCTCACTTGTGTATGATTGGCCCAAAAAGATTAGACTATCATCCAATCCATACTCTTGATTTCGCCACTCAACAACCGACCGCCTCCCGACCGGCACGAATCAAACGGTGCAGTCCCCTCGCAGTCGTCGTGTCGAGCAGGCGACACATTACAGCAGTGTCTTGGCGCCGATTGTTACGAACTGCAAAAAGGCGCCAAAAACCAATGGAATAAAACAATTGTTTTATTCGATAGCACGAAACGGTCTGTGCGCTCGACTCTGGACTGGATGGGTTACCTCGACAGCGCGCGACCACGTGCCAAGCGCGTGCTTGGCCTCATGTATCTCGGCGCTTCCATGGGTGCGAGTCTCTATTTCCTCGATATTGTCGGTCCTGGCCTCTCCAACGATCTCTTCTGGCCCAACTTTGACCCAACGTCAGCCCAGACGTACCTCATCGACGTCTTCAACCGCCACCTCAGCGTCACCAACGCCTCGGAGATCGACCTCTTCGACCCGAGTCAAGCCATTCTCAAGACGTACGGTCTACCATCAACAACAGCATTTGCTAAGCCCACGTATCCTCGTATGCGAACTCTGGTCGAGTACACGTCGGTGGCCGATGCGATCGTTGGTTTTCAGTCGCTCGACCCTGGCTACGTCTTCAACTTGATGACGTTGTACTGCTGGGCGGACTTTGAGAAGCGCTGGGAGCTGGCTCATACAGCAGCCCGTCAAGCACGATGCGCCTCTGGGATGGCAGACAATGGCGCCGTGTACCTCGAGGCATACCTCCGCAACGTCCGCTGGGATGCGTGGTATGCTGTCTATGGTGCCAGTTTTGAATTTGGCGTCTCGGATGCGATTGTGGTCACATCCGAGGGCCGTGACTGGTACAAAAGTCTCCAGAACGCGTACCAGTCTCTCGACGATGAAGAAGCGTACTGGACGTCGCACCAGATTTCGCACTTTCAGCTACAGTGGAGTAACGACTATCAGTTTGGCGTCAAAGAGTCGATCTCGGTGGTCAATATGCTTGGGTGGCAACAAGATCTAACGATTCAGTCGATTGCATTTACTGCTCGCATCTCCAAATGGACATCTTTCCAGCTCAATTGGGCCTTCTTGAGTGACCTCTGGGGCGCCGTGGCCCTAAACGCCAGTCTCGTGCGCAGCGCACCAAACTTTATGGGCGACACAACCATGGAAGCCATCCTCTTCTTGTATCCCTTCACGCCCGCAAGCGTCATTATCCACAACACGCTCGGACCCTTTCTCAACATTGACATGGTGCTCCTGGCACCACCAACACCACTTATGGCTACCTTTCGCAGCCTACAAGCCGCACTCATCTTGGCTCTTCAAGCCGACTTGACTCTTCTACACCTCTACTCGGTCTTGCCAGCGCCATTGCTCGATCCCGTGCCGCTGTCGTGGCAGAGATCCAACTGCACCTTCTTTGGGGGTAGTCCGCTCTGCCCGTTTGGCACGAATGCGACGTTTGTGCAGCCATCCTTTTCTTTTGATGATACGTGCGGCAGTCAAGTGCCGAGCCGCCTCCTTGTGGAGCCTTCGCCAGCGGTGATTGCGGCAATGACCATGAAGCTGCTGCATCAATCCGATCGTAGCAGCTGCGCACCTTGCAGCTCTGCGACCGATGACGTCTGCAACCTACTCATCACCCAAGCGACAACCATTGCCCATCAATTGCTGACCAACGCTACGCTATCTAGTCTCTTGACGCCAATGGCCCAAGCTGCTGCTCATGCCACCCAACATCTCAACGTGGAGATCATCCAGTTTGCACTGACGCCTACTGGCAACACGACTGTCTTGCGCCAGCCGCTGCTCGGGGATGACACGTGGTCGTTCATGGGCTACGTGGCGCTGCACGAGTGGGTCCGTGGCTACCGAGAGGTCGTCTCGTTCCAAGGTGACGTCGCGACGTTCAACTTGATGTCGGAGCGCATCGAGCCGATTCCATTTCGCGCCAAAGCGATCGAAGTGCCTAAAAGCACGTGCAACTACCTCTACAGCATCGCCATCGTAACATCGGTCGTGCTGGTGGGCGTTGCTTGCATCACGGCAGCGTACGCGGTTTTCCAACCATCTCAAGGTGCCGACGGTCTCCATCTCTTGATGTACAACCGTGTCGCTGGGCTTGTGTGGATTGGTCGACCTCTGCTGCTGCTCCGTGCGGCCGCTGCCATCACCATGCTGAGTACAACGTCGCTGGACTTTCTCAATGACGATGGCGTGGCAAGCTTCCGCTTTGTGCCTCGTCCGTTGATGCACATTGGGATTCTCGCAGGCGAAGCCACGTGGGTGACGTATGTCCTCAACGACATTTTGCTGGTCGTCGCCAACCAGAGCTCACGGTCGGCAGCGCCTCTCAGCAGCGCGTTGGTCTGGCTCAGCCTTGTTGCACTTGAGATCTTCGATCCGATTCGAGCCACCGCTGCGATCGATCGTGAGTGCACGCGAGTCAATATGGATGCTGTTGTGACCTGTCACAGTGGCGTTGTCCACCTGGGGTCACCGGACCGCGCGTGGCTCATTTTGGTCATTAACGTCTGTGTGGTGCTCGTGTCGTACATTGGTAATGGAGCCTATCTGTGCTTTCATCACCGCTCGCGCGTTGGGGAGACCGTCCAGACGCCGTACTTGGTCTCGGCCGGCGCTGACGTTTTCTTGGCGCCAAAAGAAGACATTTGGGCCATGGATGCAGCGACGGCGGCGATGAGCGGCTTCTTTCGCACTCCATTTGGCTCGCAAGAAGCCATCGTTGACACCAAGCTTTGGACTGTCTTTTACTGCGAGAACCTTGGGCCGGCATTCGATGTTACGGGTCCCAGACGAAGGGTCGCAGTAAGCTCCAAGCCCATTGCCGTCAACGCGCATTTTGCTGCACGGATGAAAATCGTGTTTGGGCTTCTCTACCTGGTTGCGAGTGTCATCGGTAGCATCTCGTATCTTCGGCTCTCGACAGTCAATTTGGCCAACGACCTGTGGTGGGCCACCTACAACACGACGGGAATGCAGACATTTCTTTCCAACTGGTTCAACCAAAATCTCTTCTACCATAACTCCCAACCCTCCACGCGCCTCGACCTTTTGGAGTTTGCCGATTTGACCGACTACTCAGCACGCGACACGTTGATCTCGTTTAGTCCGATCTACGCAAGGCTCGTCCAGTACGAGTCGGGCAGCGACCTTCCATGATGATCCGAGGGCTTCGCTCCATGGACGCCTGCAACGCGCCGTGGATCGCTACCAGCTACTGCTGGCTCGACTTTGATCGACAAATTGAGATGGCCAACACACTCGCCCGTCAAGCTCGATGCAAACGCCAGTATCGTAGCAACGGCGCCGTCTACTTGGAGTCCATTTTGAGAAACGTTGACTGGCCCACTTTTGAGTCGTGCTGGAAAACGTCGTTTGAGATTGGGATCGCGCGAGACATTGCCTCCGTCAAGCCCAACGGAGGTGCCTGGCTCACATCGCGAATCACTGGCGACCGTCTTCCCGTGGCGGATGAAGCCAAGCTGTGGCAATCACTGGGTCTCTTGACGTATACGACGCAGTGGCAAAACTACAAGGCGCTCGGACTCCACGACGTCTTCTCGATTGAGAATGCATTTGGTTTGAGATACGACATGGCGCTGCAGTCCAAGAATGGTTCGTACCACACGGCCATGTCGACGTCGTGGAAGACGTACTGGACGTTTGCGAGCGATCTCTGGGCGATCGCCACGAATGGTTCTGGGATCGCCGGCAAGTCGCTCTTGCGGCAAAGTCCCCACTTTGCCTTTGCAAATATGTCCCTGGCATCTGTCATGGTCGTGAATTTGACCCTCCAAGCCCCGCTCGACGGCGTCCTGAGCGCTTTCCAAAATGGCATTGGCCCGTTTGGAGCCGTGGACATCTACCACGTTCGATACCCGCCGTCGCTCGCTCGTTTGGTGCGAGACATACGCCACGCTGTGGCTCGTATTCTTGCCAACACAAGCTCCAACGCCCAGTTCGAGTACGCAAATCTCATTCTAATGAACTCGATGAGTCCCGTGCCCCGCCGCCTGGATCGACACTCGTACCTCTGCGGAAGCGGCAACCTATTGTGCGGCCAAGTGCCTCGGGACTTGAACTTTTCCTACGGTCTTTTGGAGTTTACGGGCGTTGACACCATGTGCCACACGAGTTTCAACGAGTGGGTCGCGGTCTCGCCGATGCAAGCCATCTTTAGCGTCATTGGTGCTGGTATCCCACTGAACCCGACGACGCTGATACCGCAGGCGTGTACCGCTGAGATTGTGGCGCCAACACAGTGCCTGGCCTTTTTAGCCAGCGTGTCTACCTTTGTCTCGACGTACTTTTCAACGAGCGCGCTTCAGACGCTTCGAGCTCAAGCGTTCGTCGTCGAGGCCGACGTCTTGGAAAAACCGATCGGCTTTATGCAGTACGCCCGACACGTGGCGACGCATCACATGGAGCTCTTCCACCAAGCGCTTTTTGACCCGTCCGACGCAACCATGATGTATACAAGCTACACGCTTGCCTACGACTGGGCCGTTGGTGGGCGCGAAGGCATCCGCGTGGAGGGTGACGCGTCGTCCATGTCACTTGTGTCCGCTACGTCGTACTCGGCCACGGTGACGGCCAGTAGCATGGAGGTGCCGCGCAATGTTGCCGCGTACCTCCGAGGTCTCTGCCAGTACATATCATCAGTTCTCGTGGCCCTCGCTTCGATCACCGCCATGTACACGCTTTTCGGTGGAAGCGCTGGCGAGGGTATGAACCTCTTCAAGATCAACCGCGTCGGTGGCATGGTCTGGGTCGGGCGGCCGCTGCTTTTAGCTCGAAGCATCACAGCGCTTTGTATTCTGAGCACGGCGACGCTTCAGCTTCAAAAGGCAGGCAGAACAACCATTCTGGTCACATCGCCAGATGTGTCGTCGTTCCGAGGGATCGCGACCCTCACGCAAATCCTTGCAGCCGGCGAAGTCGGCTGGCTCGTCTACATCTTTGATGACATTTGCATGCCATTGACAAGAGAGCTCAGTGCTGCGTATGCGACCAAGGCGTCGATCCTCACGTGGCTCATTGTCGCCACTCTGAGCTTTACAAGTCCAGTCTCGCACAGCGCCACGATCCAGCGGTCGTGCACGCTGGTGGAAATGGACTTTGAGATGGTGTGCCACAGCGGCGTCGTCGCCATTGGCTCCATTGCGCGCTTCTATCTGCTTGTTTGTATTGCGCTTGGCGGCTCGACGCTACTGTACACGATCGAGCGACTTCGGCGGCCCCGTGTGCCGCTAAACGAGCGCGATTCGCACCTTCTCTCGTGCAGCGCCAAGTACCTCTTTAAACGGAAAGGCTGGGTTCACGATCGAATCTACTTTATCGATTTTGCGTCCGCGGCCTTGACGGGCCTCCTCGCCTGCCGCTACAAGGGCGACGTCTACGTCTTTGACATCAAGACGTGGCGCACGCTCGTGCTCACGCAAACGGCGATTGACGAGGCGGCGACGCTGCATCCGCCCGCGAACCGCCTGCGACGCGCCCTTCCTCTTCTTCAATGAATCGACTTTTTATTTATTTCAAGTGCCAAGTGTGGAAACTGGTTTGTACAGTTTATGAAAAAGAACGTGAACATGTGCGAATCCGTCGTTCCATTTGGCTTATTTTTTGCCATCGCTGAGTTTCTTGGGGACCTTGTCGAGCAAGACAGCGATGCGTGCGAGGTCGTACTTTTCGGCCGCGACGAGAATCGCAGACGCGGCAATGTCCTTGTGCTCGACGACGTCGCCTTGGGTCTCGCGCCGACGCTGGTCCTGCCCGACCTTGAGCACATTGCTCACTTCGGAGATGCCCACGTAAATATTGTAGTTGTGCAAGAGTCCCTCGTGCACCTAGTACGACATCCATGCATACGACGACAGCATCGAGATGCGGTACTTGCTTGGCAAGGCCGAACCGACGCTTCTCCCACTGCTCTTCCTGCGCCCGCTCGTTGGCCGCCGCGATCTTGGCATTGATCGCCACGCGCCAGGGCCGATCTCGCTCGCGATCGTGCACATCGCCTTCGGACGGGTTGAAATTGATCTTCCGACGCTGCTGGCTCCGAAGCGCGATCGTCGTCTCGAGGGCCGCGACGTCGCCCGCATCGAGGCTATCGAGGCTCGTCTCGGCGCCATCGCACGGTGTACCGTCGCCAAACGCGTCATGCTTGCGGTCGTTGGCTTGGTGGCGCGTCATGGTTGTTGCTGGCCTATTTGAGCACGGAAATATATGTCCTGGTCCTACCTATGGTGTTGCCCTAGCCCTACCCTAGCCCTTTCCGGTGGCAGGTGCGCCGTGCAAAAGGACGCGTCGTGCCGATGACGACAACAAGACAATAACGTATTCGCATGCGTCATACAATCAATCCTTCACATTCGTACTTCATGCGACCAAAGCGCAGAGATGTTGGAGGATGCGAGGAAATTTGTTTCTCGAGTCGCGGTACGGGGATCTACACAATGTTCTTTTCAAAAAATGGCTGGTTGGCGCGGACGCGCTCGAGGCCAAAACACGAGAGGTCGAGGCTCGTGTAGCCGCCGTCGAGGATGAGTTCGGCGATGCCTCGCCCGGCGGCCGGCGACTGCTGCAAGCCATGACCGCTAAAGCCGTTGATGCAGTAGAAATTCTTGCGGTCCGGGTGTTGGCCAATGATGGCGTTCTAGGTCGGATCCATGAGTCTCGCCACCATCGAGGGGACGCATCGTACGTGGTCGAACGTGTTGTAGTCGTAAAATCCCGCCCACGCGTTGACCATCTTGATGGCCTCGAACGCCGGCACGCGGTTCGCAATCGTGGGCCAAATGACGTCGTCGAAGAGCGCATAGTCGGGTTGGAGCACATCGTCGCTCTCGCAGTCCGGGTCGTTCGCGGCGTCGGGCGAAACGCCGCAGATAAACTGCCCCGAGCAGCCTTCCGGGCGAAAGTAGACGCCGGACGGATCCACCACGAGCGGCGAGCACGCGTCGCCCGTCCACGTGGCGGCTTCGGGGCACTGAAACACGAAAATGGTGCGTTTTCTAGCATGCTGGAGTGGAAGACTTGGACTCGAAGCGGACGCGGTACCTCGCTCGAACAGGCAGGTCGTTGACGCCGGCGGCCGAGGCGACCCATTGCGCCCATGCGCCACTGGCGTTGACGACGTGTCCCGGCGTGATGCTAACGCCGTCACCATTCGTTGTCTTGATCGTGACGCGCTCGATCGTGTCGTTGGCGACGGTCATCGGGCCATCGAGTTCGCCTTCGATAAACTCGACACCGAGGTGCGCACACTTGCGCTTGAGCCCGGTCAGGTAGGCCCAGGGATCGAACCAGCCTTCGTCGCGGACACCGAGGGCCCCTGCGACAATGTCGTTCGTGGCAAGCCACGGAAAGCGCTGTGAGAGCTTCTCGGGTGTGAAGAGTTCGACGGGCGCGCCCACCGATCTAGTGTTTCGCAAGCCGCCTGAGCGCCACCGAAGACTCGCAATTATGTATGGGTAGGTACCGCTGGACGGCGTGGTTGTTGCTCAAGGTCGCTTGGCCCTTCTCGGTCGCGAGGAAGAGGTACCCGTTCTGCACAAAGTTGACGTCGACGGGGTCGTGGCCAGGCACGGCGAGCGCCGTGGGTGCGTTGCGCAGAAACGAAAGGCCATATTGGCTCATCTCAATGTTGGGCTTCTCCGAAAACTGCATTCGGATGCCGCCGGCCGAGAGCACGGCTGACGTGCGCTTGTACTATGCGAGCGTGAGCAGGTAGAGACCATGTGTGATAGCACGCACCGCAAAGCTTCGCTCGAGGACCGTGATGCGCAGGGAGCCCGCGGCCTTGGCGGCCAAGTGGTAGGCGGTCGAGCAACCCATGACGCCGCCGCCGACGATAAGCACGTCGCGCACCTTGCTACTGGCCATCGTTGCGCAATGCTGGAAAGTGCAAACTGAGGACATCCTGCAAATCACGTCCGTGTCATGTCGGCAATCCAACTTCAACTGCTGCAATGAGGGAATCTCTCTCTTTTTGTATCATACGTCATGGGCACAATCTTTTTTACAGAGAAAACAACGTTGATTGGAGAGAATCGACCGTCAGATCAGAAAGGCGACCAAAGCGCGCGGACGAGCAACGAAGCGAGCCGATGATGCAAGGGTTGCAGGAAGGTGCTCAGTCTTGACGTAGGCTCCGGTGCTGGCGACCTTCGTTGAGCGTAAAGGTACCGCGCCATGGGTGCTGGAAGGCTGCGAGAATATCTCCACCGTCAATGTACGAGGCGCTGCCCGTGGCAATGAGCGCGGCGACCACGCAGAGTAGGCGGCGCATACGTCGAGTCGAAGGTTGGGAAATGACAACAGGTCGCACCAACAGCTTTGGAGGCGGATCAAGAGCCAGAGCCAGAGAGGAATTGACCGACTTGAAATGTACGGAGGCGTCGGATTATCTTGGATTTTAGCGGCAAAACCAGTCGATTTCGACGCCGATACTATACATGGGGCACACTCGAGTCCCGCGCAAAGGCCTGCTGTATGGTCTACTGCCGCGTGCCTCGGCCTTATCAAGACAAGCGTGCCAACCGTTGTCGATGCAACGGAGTATCTTGGATCGTGACCTGCTTTTTTGTATGCGCATTTGGTGTGATACTATGGCTTGAGTAAGGATTGGCTGCTTGTCGACGGTCGTCGTCTACAAGTCAATAGAGATGCACCTTCTACTACAGGCCCAACCGACTTCAGCATCGCGCAACATCCGAGATCAACTTCAAGACAGCATCCCGCGACCCGTTACGACGCTATTAACACGCGCCAGCCGCGTGCATTTTAGAAACGCCCGCGAATAGGACGAGATGACGGGTCTCGATCGACTTCCGATCGCCGCTACCACAAAGCGCGTGCTTGGCCTCACGTATCTCGGCGCTTCCATGGGTGCGAGTCTCTATTTCCTCGATATTGTCGGTCCTGGCCTCTCCAACGATCTCTTCTGGCCCAACTTTGACCCAACGTCAGCCCAGACGTACCTCATCGACGTCTTCAACCGCCACCTCAGCGTCACCAACGCCTCGGAGATCGACCTCTTCGACCCGAGCCAAGCCATTCTCAAGACGTACGGTCTACCATCAACAACAGCATTTGCTAAGCCCACGTATCCTCGTATGCGAACGCTGGTCGAGTACACGTCGGTGGCCGATGCGATCATTGGTTTTCAGTCGCTCGACCCTGGCTACGTCTTCAACTTGATGACGTTGTACTGCTGGGCGGACTTTGAGAAGCGCTGGGAGCTGGCTCATACAGCAGCCCGTCAAGCACGATGCGCCTCTGGGATGGCAGACAATGGCGCCGTGTACCTCGAGGCATACCTTCGCAACGTCCACTGGGATGCGTGGTATGCTGTCTATGGTGCCAGCGTCGATGCTGCGGTCGGCGACGCTATCGTGGTCACATCCGAGGGCCGTGATTGGTACAAGAGTCTCCAGAACGCGTACCAGTCTCTAGACGATGAAGAAGCGTACTGGACGTCGCACCAGATTTCGCACTTTCAGCTACAGTGGAGCAACGACGCTCAGTTTGGTGTTCAAGAGTCGATTTCGATTGTCAACGCTTTTGGCTGGTACCAAGATCTGACGATTCAGTCCATCTCATTCGGCAAACGGGGCTCGAAGTGGACGACATTTGTGCTCAACTGGGCTTTCTACAACAATCTCTGGGGCGCGGCGGTGACCAACGGTAGTCTCACGCGCAGCGCACCAAACTTTATGGGCGACACAAGCATGGAAGCCATCCTCTTCTTGTATCCCTTTACGCCCGCAAGCATCATCATCCACAACCAACTGGGGCCGTTCCAGTCAATTGACACATTTCTCATACCGCCACCAACACAGCTTGTCGCCGCACATGCAGAGCTCCAAGCCGCACTCATCTTGGCTCTTCAAGCCGACTTGACTCTTCTACATCTCTACTCGGTCTTGCCAGCGCCATTGCTCGATCCCGTGCCGCTGGCGTGGCAGAGATCCAACTGCACCTTCTTTGGGGGTAGTCCGCTCTGCCCGTTCGGCTCTGGTGCGACGTTTGTGCAGCCATCCTTTACCTTTGACGATACGTGCGGCAGTCAAGTGCCGAGCCGCCTCCTTGTGGAGCCTTCGCCAGCGGTGATTGCGGCAATGACCATGAAGCTGCTGCATCAATCCGATCGTAGCAGCTGCGCACCTTGCAGCTCTGCGACCGATGACGTCTGCAACCTACTCGTCACCCAAGCGACAACCATTGCCCATCAATTGCTGACCAACGCTACGCTATCTAGTCTCTTGACGCCAATGGTCCAAGCTGCTGCTCATGCCACCCAACGTCTCAACGTGGAGATCATCCAGTTTGCACTGACGCCTACTGGCAACACGACTGTCTTGCGCCAGCCGCTGCTCGGGGATGACACGTGGTCGTTCATGGGCTACGTGGCGCTGCACGAGTGGGTCCGTGGCTACCGAGAGGTCGTCTCGTTCCAAGGTGACGTCGCGACGTTCAACTTGATGTCGGAGCGCATCGAGCCGATTCCGTTTCGCGCCAAAGCGATCGAAGTGCCTAAAAGCACGTGCAACTACCTCTATATCGTCGCAATTCTAACGTCAGTGGTGCTGGTGGGCGTGGCTTGCATCACGGCAGCGTACGCGGTTTTCCAGCCATCTCAAGGTGCCGACGGTCTCCATCTCTTGATGTACAACCGTGTCGCTGGGCTTGTGTGGATTGGTCGACCTCTGCTGCTGCTCCGTGCGGCCGCTGCCATCACCATGCTGAGTACAACGTCGCTGGACTTTCTCAATGACGATGGCGTGGCAAGCTTCCGCTTTGTGCCTCGTCCGTTGATGCACATTGGGGTTCTCGCAGGCGAAGCCACGTGGGTGACGTATGTCCTCAACGACATTTTGCTGGTCGTCGCCAACCAGAACTCACGGTGGGCAGCGCCTCTCAGCAGCGCGTTAGTCTGGCTCAGCCTTGTTGCACTTGAGATCTTCGACCCGATTCGAGCCACCGCTGCGATCGATCGTGAGTGCACGCGAGTCAATATGGATGCTGTCGTGACGTGTCACAGTGGCGTTGTCCACCTCGGGTCACCGGACCGCGCGTGGCTCATCTTGGGCGTGAACGCTATGGCTATCGGACTCGCGTACAGCGGGATCTTGACCTATCGGTCGCTGCGACGATCGGCGCTAGTGACGTCGGGTGGCCAGCCAGCCCTCACGCACTTGGTGTCGGCAGGTGCCGAAGCGTTTTTACTGCCGAAAGAAGCAGACATGTGGAGACTGGATGCGTCGACAGCGGCCATGAGCGGCTTTCTTCGCTTCCGCTTTCGATCCCTTCGGTACATCTTCGACACAAAACTGTGGCTCTTCTTTTCTATTGCGACTGGGCCCGTCTTACTCAAGACACTTGTTGGGCCAAGCGCGTCGATGCGAAAGATACCTCGCACGGTCTCGGTTTCGAGCTCGGCGCTTGCAAGGCTGAAAGTGTGGTGTGGCCTTCTGTACCTCACTGCGACGGCAGTGGGTAGTATCTCGTATCTTCGGCTCTCGACAGTCAATTTGGCCAACGACCTGTGGTGGGCCACCTACAACACCACGGGCACCCAGACATTTCTTTCCAACTGGTTCAACCGATATCTCTTCTTCAATACCACACAGCCCGCCACACGCCTCGATCTCCCAGTCTTTGCCGATTGGACTGACTACTCAACGGCAAATTCGCTCGTCATGTATGCGCCGACGTACGCAAGGCTCGTCCAGTACGAGTCGGGCAGTGACCTTCCCATGATGATTCAAGGGCTTCGCTCCATGGACGCCTGCAACGCGCCGTGGATCGCTACCAGCTACTGCTGGCTCGACTTTGATCGACAAATTGAGATGGCCAACACACTCGCCCGTCAAGCTCGATGCAAACGTCAGTATTATAGCAACGGCGCCGTCTACTTGGAGTCCATTTTGAGAAACGTCGACTGGCCCACTTTTGAGTCGTGCTGGAAAACGTCGTTTGAGATTGGGATCGCGCGAGACATTGCCTCTGTCAAGCCCAACGGAGGTGCCTGGCTTGCGTCGCGAATCACCGGCGACCGTCTTCCCGTGGCGGATGAAGCCAAGTTGTGGCAATCACTGGGTCTCTTGACGTATACGACGCAGTGGCAAAACTACAAGGCGCTCGGTCTCCACGACGTCTTCTCGATTGAGAATGCATTTGGTTTGAGATACGACATGACGCTGCAGTCCAAGAATGGTTCGTACCACACGGCCATGTCGACGTCGTGGAAGACGTACTGGACGTTTGCGAGCGATCTCTGGGCGATCGCCACCAATGGTTCTGGGATCGCCGGCAAGTCGCTCTTGCGGCAAAGTCCCCACTTTGCCTTTGCAAATATGTCCCTGGCATCTGTCATGGTCGTGAATTTGACACTGCCGTCACCGCTCGGCGAGGTCTTGGATGCATTTCACAACGGCGTCGGGCCATTTGGTGCTGTGGATCTATTCCACGTGGCACTCCCTCCATCGATTGCCACATTGCAACGCGCGATTCGCGAAGATCTCATGCATCTCCTCACCAACACAACCGACCACATTCAAGAGGACTTTGCCAACCTCGTCTTGATGAGTTCGATGAGTCCTGTTCCAAAACGTCTGGATCGAAACACGTACCTATGTGCTGGTGGCAGTCTCTTTTGCAGCGAATTGCCCACGGACTTTAACTTTTCCATTGGTCTCTCGCAGCTGACCGGTGTCGATACGGTCTGCTACACGAGCTTCAACGAGTGGATCTTTGTCAACCCGATGCAAGCCATCTTTAGCGTCATTGGCTCTGGGATAGCACTGAGCCCGACAACATTGATTCCGCAGGCGTGCGCCGCTGAAGTCATTGCACCCTCGCAGTGCCTCACATTTCTTGAGAGTGTGTCCAGCTTTGTCTCGAAATACTTCTCGGCAAAGTCACTTGCACTGTACCGAGCTCAAGCGCTAGTCGTCGAGGCGGATGTGATATCGACCTCGGTCGGCATTTCGCAGTACGCCCGGCACGTGCCAACCAACCGCATCGAGCTCTTTCACCAAGTGCTCTTCGATCCATCCGATGCGACCATGATGTACACGAGCTACGCCCTCGCGTACGACTGGTCCATTGGCGTGCGAGAAGTTGTCGCAGCTCACGGCGACGTGGGTTCGGTGGCTGTGATCACAGCCGTATCGTCCATGTCTCGGTTTGCCACCAGCGGTATCGAAATGCCGCTCAACGTGGCCACGTACCTCCGAGGTCTCTGCCAGTATGTCTCGTTCGTCTTGGCCGCAATTGCCTTGATCGCGGGTCTCTACACGCTAGCCAATGGCTGCACGAGCGAGGGCTACAACCTCTTTGAAGTCAACCGCGTCGGTGGCTTGACCTGGATCGGCCGCCCGCTGCTCTTTGTGCGGAGCATCACAGCGCTTTGCATTCTCAGCACGGCGACCCTCCAGCTCCAGAAGACTGGGATCACGACGCGACCGATTTCGTCCAGAGACGACGTGACGTCCGTGGTCGCGTACGTCACCAAGATCCTCGCAGCAAGCGAACTCGGCTGGCTCGTCTACATCTTTGACGACCTGTGCATGGCCTGGACGCGCCAGTACAGTGCGAGCTACACGCCCAAGACAGCCCTCACGACGTGGTTGATGGCGGTCGTCTTGAGCTTTACGAGCCCCGTCTCACACAGCGCGACGATCCAGCGATCGTGTTCTCTGGTTGAAATGGACTTTGAGATGATGTGCCACAGCGGCGTCGTCGCCATCGGGTCAGTCTCTCGCCTGCTTTTGCTCGTCAGCATCGCGCTCGGTGCCTCGATGCTCCTCTATATACTGGATCGCGCCAGCCACAAGCTTCCCCGCTGGACGAGCGCGACTCGTTCTTGGTCTCGTGCAGTGCCAAGTACCTCTTTGAACGGCGAGGTTGGGTCCACGACCGAATCTACTACATCGACTTTGCATCCGCAGCCTTGACCGGCCTCCTCGTCTGCTCGTACAAAAGCGACCTCTATGTCTTTGACATCAAGACGTGGCGCACGCTGGTCCTTCTTCGCAGCGACATCCAAGCGGCCACGGCATCGCACCCGTCGGCGGCGCACCTCGCCCGCGCACTCCCGCTCATCACGTAGAGAGACTTTGACGACTCTCGCGCAAGCCTAGGTTGCTATTACTTGTACCTCAAGTAGCTTGAATATGAGTTGCAAAACATGACGTATGGTGTCAATTCTGTGGCCTGTACACGAGAGCCAAGAGTGTCTTGACGCGCTCGTGCAAGGGAATAGATGATTCCCTTGGTTGCGTCCATGGTCTAGATTATCTTGTGTGGATCGGTAGCTCAAGGGGCAAAACAGCGCGGCACAAGTGACTGAAAAGCATCTCTTGGTCCATCTCAGTATGACACAAGGTTGAGTACCCCCACCAAAGGAACCCACCAAAGCCGCATGCTGTTGACAAGTGCCATTTTAGGATGTACAAATACCTCAGAGAATCACGGGTCGTTTGCGGGTACTAGCATTGGCCACGCGACGGTTCTCTGGACAACTGCTCTTCAGGGAATTCCTCACCGGGTCCAACGGCGGTTGGCAAGGGACACACTTATGTATATGAACGTGTTTCGCGTTATCTTCGTTGTTATTAATCAAAGAGTTCGCATACGTAGAGACTAGCAATCGCCATCTTCTTCATTCACTCGCCAGGCCGTGGCTGCGCAGGCGGCGGAGGGACACACTTGACACATTGAAAGTTATGACGCAAATTACATTCTAATACATTCTATCGATCGACGGCAATCGACGTCGCGCGTGCGAGGACGTTGACGCCTTCGTTGGTGATCTTGTCGCAATACCAGAGGTTGATGGACGTCAAGTTGGTGAGCGCTGTCAGGTGCGATATGCCGGCGTCCGTGAGGTCGCCACACTCGGCCAAGTTGAGCGACTTGAGCGTCGAGATGCGGGCCAGCGCGACCATTCCGTCGTCGTTGATGAGGCAGCAGTTGCCGACGTCGAGGGACTCGAGTGGCAGCGTCTGCAACGCCACGAGCGCGTCGTTGGTCAAGAGGTTGCAGCTCGCGAGATCCAGCGACGTCAGCGATGAAAGCTCACCCAAGTGGCGAATGCCAGCGTCCGTGAGGAGGTGGCAGTACCAGAGCACGAGCGATTGCAGACGGGTGAGGTGCTTGCCCAGCACAGAGAGACTGACGTCCGTGAGGTCCCGGCAGTTGGCCATGTTGAGTGAGACCAGTGACGACAAGCGCGCGAGGTGCGCGACACCGGCGTCTGTGATGCTGCTGCAGCGCATCAGGTTGAGGGACGTGAGCTGCGCGAGCTGTCCGATGCCCTCGAGCGCCTTGTCGCCAAGCTGCCGGCAGTTGCTCAAATCCAGCGTCGTCAGCGATGAAAGCGACCGTAGCGCGTAGACACCAGCGTCCGAGATACCGCCGCAGGCACTCAAGTTGATGGACGAGAGGGCTGGCAGCGTCGCAAGGAGTGCGAGGCCGTCGTCGGTGATCTTGTCGCAGTTACTGAGGTCGAGGGTTCGGAGCGACCGCAGCTTGGCAAGTACGGTCATGGACGCATTCGTGAGCTGGATGCACTTCATCAGGTTCAAGTAGGCGAGGTCGTGGCAGCCGCCGAGCGCCATCACGGTCGCATCGGTAATGTTGGAGCAGTACCACAGGTTGCAGTGCGTGAGCGCAGGCCACGACCGGAACACGCACGTGCCCGCGTCCGTAATTGAGTAGCAGCCTGAGAGGTCGATGGACGTCATTTTGCGCAGCGGCGTGAGGGCGTGGAGACCGACGTCGGTCACGTCGCTAAGGTTCGCGAGCTCGAGCGACTCCAACTCGGTGCACAACGCGAGCTTGGCGAGGCCCGTGTCCGACAGTTGACTGCAGTTGGCAATGTTGAGGTGGCGCAGGTGCAAAAACGACGAGAGCGTCTCGAAAATCGCATCGCTGAGCTGGCCTTGGAAGCAGTACCAGAGGTTGAGCGACCGAAGCGTCGTTCGGAGCGGCGCCAGGGCGACGACCGCGGCGTCATCCACAAGCTTGCAGCTCTTAAGATCGAGCGTGGCGAGCGTTCCGTTGGCAGCAATGGCACAAATGCCGTCGGCCGTCACCTTGCTGCAGTAGCCGAGGTTGACGTCGATGAGGCGAGGGAGGCGCGCGAGCTGCATTAAGGTCGCGTCGGTGATGCGGTCGCAGCCCTTGAGGTCGATCGAGTGCAGCTGCAAGAGATGGTGCAATCCAGAGAGGCCGGCGTCCGTCACCGTCGCGCAGCCCGTGAGCTGGAGCGTCGTAATGTGGCTGAACGTGTTCAAGAGCTGCGACGTGTGGACGTCCGAGATGGCTGCGCGGAAAGGCACGACGTCGAGGATGCGCGTGTACATGCGCATCTCGTGCCGGAGCTCTCGGCACGTGGCAGCGAGTGCAACCCATTCGTCGAGGTAGCAGTAGTCGCCAAAGACGGGCAGCTGCAAGACGACAAGAAGCGCCTCGACCGCGCCCGTGGAGGAGGAGGATCGGGCGACGTCGGAGCGACGGGGCGCTGGCTTGGACGGACTGGGCGGCATGGCCCAGTGCTTGTCGGCCGAGCGTGCTGCCGCGAGGTCCGTGAGCGCGGCGTGCTTGAGGCTCATCGTCGCTCCGATCGATCTGCTTCGATTGTGGCAACGCAACGGAGAAGCAAGCAAGCGCGACCATCCTGCGGCGCTTGGATACTTCGTCCACGACTGGCATAGAGCGTCTTCGAACTTCGCACGCGACATCGTTCCGCCAAGATAAAGCCTGCCACGTACCCTGACTCTGCACTTCGAACTACGAGTGACTCACGGTTACCAAGCGGTGGCTGGCGCCGAACGGTTACATAACCGGTTAGTGCAAGCACGGTTACAATAGCTGCACCGGTTCAGCTCGGCACGGTATCCGATCACATACGGATACTGGAAGATTCCACTGCGATCTAGCAAATGAATGCTATGTGCGCGATCAAGCCTGACGCTATGACACTGCGTTGACGACGGACTTATTAGTTTGTTTCTCCAAATTGCTGCAAGGATTCAACAGGTGACGTGGCAGGGTTCCGAACGCGCGCTTTAATACCTTTCAACCGTACGTCCGAGCCACAATACGCTTGCAGATTTAGGGCATGTGGTGCTGGCGCATGAACCTGTTGATAGAGGGAATGTCGTCGCCGCCACACATGTCACTCTGCGCCGAGACTCCATCGAGTAGTGCGTACAAGGAATGAAAATTACCAAAGACATGTGTCCTCAGTCACAGCACGACTAGGGTATCAACGCTGCAGCTTGAATTTGTTCTCATACGAACGCTGAAGGTCCGAGGACGACGATGGCCACGTAGCCATGGGCGTTACGGTGTAGACTTGGAATGCAACGGCCAAGAAACTGCCACGGACCCGACGACGCGGCTACGCATCATGACATGCTAGCACGATATCACGTTGGCGAGGCGTCAAACTGCAATTACCCTAGAGCGCCACGTGTAGGAGCAGAGTGCTGGCGGCTGCCGGCACGCTCTTATTAGCGTGGACATTGCAAGCTCCATTATCCTGCACGGCACGAAGGAATACACTGGTTTATGTGCAGAGGGACTCATTCATATTCGAGTAGTGGTGTGCGCCTGCCAGACAGCCCGACACAGAGTACGTTTCAGGGACAGCGATTTCATAAACCACTTTCAATCGAGCTACCTAGGCGTTGAATTGCTACACAACCGCCACGCCGCATCCGAGGCGTATGTGCGAAGCTGTTGGATCCTGTACCGGTATGAACCCAAACGATCGAACCAATCACACGCGACGAAGCAGATGTTGACGCCAAAGCGATCGCTCACCAGCCGCGCGTCCGGATGATGCTGGTGCTATCACAATCCGCTGCGCACGATGGCCACCGAGTCGACGGCGCTGCTGGCGCCGCACGCGCTCGCGTACCGCCCCGACATTGACGGCCTCCGGTGCGTGGCCGTGCTGCCCGTCGTGCTCTACCACGCGTACCCGACGCTGGTGCCCGGGGGCTTTACGGGCGTCGACGTCTTCTTTGTCATCTCCGGCTTTCTCATTTCCAGCATTCTCTTTAAGGACCTATCGCGCGGCGCGTTTAGCTACCAGAATTTCTACGCACGCCGCATCCGCCGCATCTTTCCGAGCTTGCTCGTCGTCCTGGCCGTCGTGCTCGGCCTCGGCGTCGCCTGGTACCTCACGCCGGCGCTGCGGGACATGGCCGAGACGCTGTACGCAGGCGCAATCTTTGGCGCCAACATCCAAGTCCTCTCGCGGAACCAAGGCTACTTTGACGCGAGCACGAAGGAGAACCCGCTCTTGCATCTCTGGTCGCTCGGCGTCGAAGAGCAGTTTTACATGGTCTGGCCGTGTGTCACCGCCGCCATTCTGGCGCTGCCGTACACGTCTGCGCTGACGCTGCAGATCGTACTGGTGGCGAGCAGCTTTCTGTTGAACGTGGCGCTCTTGCACGCCGAGCACCCGTGGTCGTTCTACTTTCCTTTCTGCCGGTTTTGGCAAATGGCCACCGGCGGCCTCGTTGCATTCCGCCAACGCCAGCAAGGCCACAAGACGAGGTATCCCGGCGCACTCTCAGTCCTCGGGGCGGGTCTGCTGCTCGCGGGCTACGCGTTCTTGGACGAAACGAGCTTGTTTCCAGGTGTCGATGCCCTTTTGCCAACGCTTGGCGCGGCCTGCCTCGTCGTCGCCGGCCCGTCCGCACTCGTCAATACGTACGTCCTCAATCAAGCGCCCGTCGTGTTTGTCGGCAAGATCAGCTACGCCTTGTACCTCTGGCACTGGCCGCTTCTCGTTTTTGCAAAAGCCCGGTACACAGTCGACGTGTACCGCCCGTTCTACATGCAGCCGTATTTTCTGCTGCTGCTCGCGTTTGGTCTCAGCGTTGGGACCACGTACGGCGTCGAGAACGTCGTGCGCAAGCACCGGTCGCCACGCACCGTCCCTCTGCTTGCGCTGAGCATGGCTCTCATGGCCATCCTTGGGCTGGTGGTGTCATTGTACCCAGGATTCTTTTCGGGCCCGGCCCGCCTCGCGGCGACGGCACCGGTGGCGACGGCGACGTCATTCATTGTTCTCGACGATGAAGGACAGCCCAACATTAGCCGCATGCCACGGCGCGAGCCTCCGACGGTCGCCAAGCTCCTTGCAGCCGACGGCGACTGGGCCCCGAACGACGGGTACGCCCCGCTACCGCGCGGGTCCCAATTCGGAGAGTACGAGTATGCGTGGGTGCTCAACCCGGGCGACGACGACAACCTCGTCATGGTCCTCGGCGACTCGCACGCCGAGATGCTTCGCCCGCGCTTCAAGTTTCTGTACGACCTCGCACGACGCGCGGGCGACCCGTTTCCAACCATTGTGTTTTTGGCGCAGGGCGCCCACCCGCCACTGCCGTGCGTCCGTGACCACGCTGGCCACGTGGAGATTGTGCGCCGGATGCAGCCCAAGGCACTGCTCTACTCGAGCGACTGGTCGCAGTTCCTTCGACCGAGTGGCGACGGGCTGCACGACGCGCCGCGTTGCTGCGCCGCGGGCTACCGAGACGATTGCGCCTACCAGAGCTGGGGCGACGTAGCGACCCTGCTGAAAGCCTTTCAAGACGAAATGACGCGCTTCCAAGACTTGGGCATAAATGTATTTGCGTCCAGTTTGAACCCCGAAGGCCCTCGCTTTCACTACCGCAACATGCTCGCGGGCGGCGACATCCGTGCGATAGCCCCCGTCCGTCTCTCGGCGTACCGCCAAGAGAATGCCCGACTGCTGTCGCTGCTGGAAGGCGCGATCCGCGGTGCGAACGCGACGATCATCGACTATGCGCAGAACCAGTGCTACAACGACGTGTGCGAGGTCGTCTCGACGGCCCGCGGCGAGCCGATTCTCAAGGACGACCACCACTACCGACCGTACTACGCCAAGTACTACCTCAGCGTGCTGGACCAAGTCGTCGACGCAGTGTACAACTAGACGATACTTGAGTGTTTATACCATTAAAATATCGCACTCGCGCGCCGAAACACGGGAAGAGCCACTATCTCGTCCATGACGTCCTTGTCTCCTCGTCAATGCCCCCAACAGTATACCACAACATAGCGCGCCATTCCCTCTTCCAGACAGAATCTTGAACTTTCCACAGACATAGTGTCCAACAATTGAAAACAAAAGCCGCTCGATTAGAAGGACTGATGATGACGCGTCGTTGGTCCTCTACGTGGTCAGCGGAAGCGCTCGGGCGAGGCGTGGTTGTGAGGCGACATCAAACGATGTGGTGACTTGAATTTCGTCGCGCGTGAGCACGAGCGTGCGCCACGTCTTGATGTCAAAGACGTAGACGTCGCCCTTGTGGCGGCAGGCGAGGAGGCCCGTCAAGGCCGCGGACGCAAAATCGATAAAGTAGATTCGATCGTGAACCCAGCCTTCCGTTTAAAGAGGTACTTGGCGCTGCACGAGAGGAGGTGCGAGTCGCGCTCGTTTAGCGGCACACGGGGCCGCCGAAGTCGCTCGATCGTGTACAGTAGCGTCGAGCCGCCAAGCGCAATACAAACAAGCAGATAGAAGCGCGCAATGGAGCCAATGGCGACGACGCCGCTGTGGCACATCATCTCAAAGTCCATTTCCACCAGCGTGCACGACCGCTGGATCGTGGCGCTGTGCGAGACGGGGCTCGTAAAGCTCAAAGTGGCGACAATGAGCCAGGCCAAGAGGGCTGTCTTGGTAGCATAAGCAGCACTGTGTTCACGCGTAAACGACATGCAAATGTCGTCAAAGATGTAGACGAGCCAACCGACTTCGCCGGCTGCGAGGATCTGCGTCACAACGACAATGGCCGGAGAGACGTCGTCGCGGGACGGGACCAAGATTGTGGTTTTGCCCATCTTCTTGAGCTGGAGCGTCGCTGTGCTCAGAATGCAGAGCGCAGTGATGCTCCGTGCCAAGAGCAGCGGCCGCCCAACCCAGACCATGCCACCGACGCGGTTGACCTGGAAAAGGTTGGACCCTTCACCAGCGCTACCACCGACAAGGGTGTAGAGTACGGTGATCGAAGCGAGTGCCACGAGTACGAACGAGACATATTGGCAAAGCCCTCGCAGATACGTGGCCACGTTGCGCGGGCTCTCAATGCTGCTGGCGGCAAAGGACGCCGCAAATGACATTGTTGCAAGGACTCCAGCAGCGCCAGCGTCGCCATCGACCATTATAGCTTCACGCTCTCCGACGACCCAGTCGTAGGCGAGAGCGTAGCTTGCGTACATCATGGTCGCATCGGATGGATCGAAGAGCACTTGGTGAAAGAGCTCGAGACGCTGCGTGGGCACGTGCCGGGCATACTGCATAGAGCCAACGGACGTTGCGATGGCATCAACCTCGGCGCCTATCGCTCGAGATCGGTACGCTTGTAGCGCGCTCGTTGAAAAGAACCTCGAGACGAAGGTAGACACACTTTCAAGAAAAGCCAGGCACTGTGTCGGCACCACCGCTTCGGCGGCGCACGCCTGCGGAATCAACGTCGTCGGGTTTAGTGGGATGCCAGCGCCAATGACGCTAAAGATGGCTTGCATCGGCGAGACCCAGATCCACTCGTTGAAGCTCGAGTAGCACGCGGTATCGGCGCCGGCAAACTGCCAAAGACCATACGAAAAGTTCAGGTCCCGAGGCACTTGACCACACAATACGTTGCCGCTTCCGCAGACGTACGTATTTCGATCCAGATGTTTTGGGACAGGACTCATCGAGCTCATTAAAATGAGATTTGCGTACTCGAACTGGGCGGTAGTGCTCGTGTTGGCAAGAATCACACCGAGCGCTTCACGAACATCGCGCAGCAGCAGCGCGAGCGACGACGGACACCGTACATGGTAGATGTCCACGGCACCAAACGGGCCAGCGGCATTGTGGAATGTCGCCAATACGCCGTCGAGAGGGGCTTGGAGGGTCAAATTCATGACCATGACAGATGCCAGGGACATATTTGCAAAGGCAAAGTGGGGACTTTGCCGCAAGAGCGACTTGCCGGCGATCCCAGAACCATTGGTGGCGATCGCCCAGAGATCGCTCGCAAACGTCCAGTACGTCTTCCACGACGTCGACATGGCCGTGTGGTACGAACCATTCTTGGACTGCAGCGTCATGTCGTATCTCAAACCAAATGCATTCTCAATCGAGAAGACGTCGTGGAGACCGAGCGCCTTGTAGTTTTGCCACTGCGTCGTATACGTCAAGAGACCCACTGATTGCCACAGCTTGGCTTCATCCGCCACGGGAAGACGGTCGCCAGTGATTCGCGATGTGAGCCAGGCAGCTCCGTTGGGCTTGACAGAGGCAATGTCTCGTGCGATCCCAATCTCAAACGACGTTTTCCAGCACGACTCAAAAGTGGGCCAGTCGACGTTTCTCAAAATGGACTCCAAGTAGACGGCGCCGTTGCTACGATACTGGCGTTTGCATCGAGCTTGACGGGCGAGTGTGTTGGCCATCTCAATTTGTCGATCAAAGTCGAGCCAGCAGTAGCTGGTAGCGATCCACGGCGCGTTGCAGGCGTCCATGGAGCGAAGCCCTCGGATCATCATGGGAAGGTCGCTGCCCGATTCGTACTGGACGAGCCTTGCGTACACTTGGGAATATGAAACGAGCGCATTGGAGGTAGAGTAGTCGGTCCAATCGGCATATCTCGGTTGATCTAAATGTGTCGATGGCTGTGTCGCCTGGATCGCGAGGTGTCGGTTGAACCAGTTGGAAAGAAATGTTTGCATTCCCGTGGTGTTGTAGGTGGCCCACCACAGGTCGTTGGCCAGATTGACTGTTGAGAGCCGAAGATACGAGACACTGCCTACGACGGTCGCAGCGAGGTAGAGGAGGCCCAACGAGATTTTGAGCCGGGCAGTGCAACGGGCCACTGCCGGGATACGACGGACGCCAATGGAATCGCAGTGCTTGTGATTGATCGCGAGAGCCGGTCCAATGTTGTTCGCGTAAAAGCCGCTCCAGAGCTTTGTGTCAAAGATGAACTGCTGCGATCCAAAGCGTGCGTGAAGGAAGCCGCTCATGACAGCTGTTGATCCATCCATGGACCAAATATCCCCTCTCGGCGCCAAGAAGACGTCTGCGCCGGCCGAGACCAAGTACGGTGTCCTGAGATTCTTTACAACGGATTCCTGGCGATGCCGCAACGCAGAGACCCCGGCCAATACATACACCCCAAGAGCGATCACCGTGCTGAGGAGAAAAATGAGCCACGCGCGGTCTCGAGAGCCGAGGTGGACGACGCCGCTGCGGCATGTCACCATAGTATCCATATTGACTCGCGTGCACTCACGATCGATTGCAGCGGTGGCTTGAATCGGGTTGAGACACTCAAGTGCGAAAAGGCTGAGCCAGACTAATGAGCTGCTTAGGGGCGCTGCCCACCGTGAGTTCTGGTTGGCGACGACTAGCAAAATGTCGTTGAGGACATACGTCACCCACGTGGCTTCGCCTGCGAGAACCCCAATGTGCATCAACGGACGAGGCACAAAGCGGAAGCTTGCCACGCCATCGTCATTGAGAAAGTCCAGCGACGTTGTACTCAGCATGGTGATGGCAGCGGCCGCACGGAGCAGCAGCAGAGGTCGACCAATCCACACAAGCCCAGCGACACGGTTGTACATCAAGAGATGGAGACCGTCGGCACCTTGAGATGGCTGGAAAACCGCGTACGCTGCCGTGATGCAAGCCACGCCCACCAGCACGACCGATGTTACGATGGCGATGCTGTAGAGGTAGTTGCACGTGCTTTTAGGCACTTCGATCGTTTTGGCGCGAAACGGAATCGGCTCGATGCGCTCCGACATCAAGTTGAACGTCGCGGCGTCACCTTGGAACGAGACGACCTCTCGGTAGCCACGGACCCACTCGTGCAGCGCCACGTAGCCCATGAACGACCACGTGTCATCCCCGAGCAGCGGCTGGCGCAAGACGGTCGTGTTGCCAGTAGGTGTCAGTGCAAACTGGATGATCTCCACGTTGAGATGTTGGGTGGCATGAGCAGCAGCTTGGACCATTGGCGTCAAGAGACTAGATAGCGTAGCGTTGGTCAGCAATTGATGGGCAATGGTTGTCGCTTGGGTGACGAGTAGGTTGCAGACGTCGGTGGTCGCAGAGCTGCAAGGTGCGCAGCTGCTACGATCGGATTGATGCAGCAGCTTCATGGTCATTGCCGCAATCACCGCTGGCGAAGGCTCCACAAGGAGGCGGCTCGGCACTTGACTGCCGCACGTATCGTCAAAGGTAAAGGATGGCTGCACAAACGTCGCACCAGAGCCGAACGGGCAGAGCGGACTACCCCCGAAGAAGGTGCAGTTGGATCTCTGCCACGACAGCGGCACGGGATCTAGGAGTGGCGCTGGCAAGACCGAGTAGAGACGTAAAAGAGTCAAGTCGGCTTGAAGACCCAAGATGAGTGCGGCTTGTATGCTGCGAAAGGTAGCTATAAGTGGTGATGGTGGTGCCAGGAGCATCATGTCAATGTTGGGAAAGGGTCCGAGTGTGTTGTGGATGACGACGCTCGCTGGCGTGAACGGATAGAGGTTGAGAAGCATCTCCATGGTTCCATCACCCATAAAGTCTGGTGCGCTGCGCACGAGACTACCGTTGGTGACGGCTGAGCCCCAGAGATCGTCGAAAAACGCCCAGTTGAGCACGAAGGTCGTCCACTTGGAGCCCCGTTTTGCAAATGCAATCGACTGAATCGTCAGATCTTGTCGCCAGCCAAAGGCGTTGACAATCGAAATCGACTCTTGAACACCAAACTGAACATCGTTGCTCCACTGCAGCTGAAAGTGCGAAATCTGGTACGACTTCCAGTACGCTTCTTCATCGTCTAGAGACTGGTACGCGTTCTGGAGACTCTTGTACCAGTCACGGCCCTCGGATGTGACCACGATAGCGTCGCCGACCGCAGCATCGACGCTGGCACCATAGACAGCATACCACGCATCCCAGTGGACGTTGCGAAGGTATGCCTCGAGGTACACGGCGCCATTGTCCGTCATCCCAGAGGCGCATCGTGCTTGACGGGCTGCTGTATGAGCCAGCTCCCAGCGCTTCTCAAAGTCCGCCCAGCAGTACAACGTCATGAGACTAAAGACGTAGCCAGGGTCGAGCGACTGAAAACCAATGATCGCATCGGCCACCGACGTGTACTCGACCAGCGTTCGCATACGAGGATACGTGGGCTTCGCAAATGCTGTTGTTGATGGTAGACCGTATGTCTTGTGAATGGCTTGGCTCGGGTCGAAGAGGTCGATCTCCGAGGCGTTGGTGGTGCTGAGGTGGCGGTTGAAGACGTCGATGAGGTACGTCTGGGCTGACGTTGGGTCAAAGTTGGGCCAGAAGAGATCGTTAGAGAGGCCAGGACCGACAATATCGAGGAAATAGAGACTCGCACCCATGGAAGCGCCGAGATACGTGAGGCCAAGCACGCGCTTGATCGACGTCGAGTGCCACACCATTCCGTGTGCTGCGCTGGAATTCTGAGTCGGAGCCGTGGTTTCGTTTGGGCGCCCTTTGAACTCTTTTGGGCTCAATCGCCAATCAGAATCCTTCCTGAAACCAACTGTGCCCTTTGCCTCTGAGAGATGCTCGGGAGGAAGCGGGAACGAGACCGTGAGCCTCCGGCGGGTCGATGACCGCGCCACGAACCTCAATTGATACACAAAGAAGGACACACCACACATACGACTGCTCTAAGCCCCAAATTGTGAATTATGAGTGCACGTACTACTGTGGATTCAAATAACGGCGTCCAATTGGCTGATGTAATACTAATACGTGGCAGCTTGTGCGAAGATATCGGCGATCGCGCTGCTTGCGTTGCGGACTGTGTACTCTTATGTCAAGCGTCGTTTGTATGATTGACACGAGAGAGAGCAACGTCGTGTGTGATCTTCAAGAGTTGCGAACTATATAGATCGGACGAATCTTCCCTGTCAGCCCTGGCACAAGGATCCCACAACGCCGAGAAAAGCCGAGTTGAATGCGCGTGTTCGACTGCCGCTCAATCGGGCGGCGTTGCCAATGGCATCGATCGGGCAATGACAAATTAAAGGTCGCCCTGGGTGCCGTTGCAAGACGTGCTTGACGTTCTCCAAGAGGGTGTTGATCACTTGAGCAACGACGAAAAGGCGAGTTATAGGCAGACTGGTACGACATATTCAATGCCCTGCCATCGTTGCCGCCTCACACCCATCTCTGCTGCATTCCTTACTGGCGAGAAAAGGCAACCACGGCTTGCATCGCATGCCAGGCCCTAACGGCACCTTTTTACGGCACGAACTGGATGCATTCGCACTCGAATGATGATATTCTCGAGGGCCGATTCCAACGCAGCCCAAGTGCCTTCATCGTCGCTTGTATTGATTGCACTTGTATGTGCAACCCACAGTGCAACCTCTCTTGTGCTTGCAACTCTGCAGGTCGTTGAATCCTCATTACCCTACCCCTCGGCTCGAAAACGGGCAAACGCTTAGCGACTCTCTGTGTGCAGGTTTAATCGTCATGGCGCGGCACCGTCCCGAGCACGTGCTGCACAAAAAAGTCCATGCGTTTTCGCTTCCCGTAGGCGCTGTCGCCGGCGCCGTGGCCGAGACGCGGGAACGGCAGTAGCTCAAAGTCCTTGTCGGCGTCCATGAGCGCCTGCGCCAGCTGAAACGTCGACGCTGGGTCGACGTTGGTATCGAGAAGCCCCACCGTGAGGAGGAGCTTCTGGCGCCGCGAGTCCAAGCGCGCAACGTGCGTCGCGTTGGCGTTGGCCGCGTAGCACGCGGTCACGGGGTACCCCATGAAGAGCTCGTTCCACCACAGCTTGTCGACGCGGTTGTCGTGGCAGCCACAGTCGGCGGCGGCCACACGGTACACGTCGCCGTGCAACAACAAGGCGGCGACTGCGCTCTGGCCACCGGCCGACCCGCCATAAATGCCAACCCCAGAGACGACGTCGAGCAGCCTCGGACACTTTGCAGCGACGGCCATGAGCCAGCAAACACGGTCGGGAAGCCCAGCGTCGAGGAGGTTGCGGTAGCAAACGTCGTGGAACGCTTTCGAGCGCTGGGCCGTGCCCATACCGTCGATCTGAACGACGGCAAAGCCGAGCTCTGCGAGCGCCCGCATCTCGAGGCAGAGGTTCCAGCTCTTGGGGACGAACGCATCGTGTGGCCCCGCGTAGATTTTCTCAATCACACGGAACGGCCGGGACGGTGGCGCGGTCGTCATCAGCGGTACCACCACAATGCCATAAATGCGCGTGGTGCCGTCGCGGCCCGCGGCGTTGAACCGCATCGGAGGCTGCCACCCGGTCGCAACCAACGCAGCAATGTCGGCCGACTCGACGTGCAACAAGAGGGCGCCATCGTCGGCGCGGCGCAGCTCGATGATCGGCGCCAAGTCGACGCGCGAGTACCTATATCGCATTAGGGGTAGGGTAGGGGTAGGGGTACAGTGAAATGCGCACCGATCGAGGTAGACGCTCTTGTCGGGCGAGAAGTGAGGTGGGTCGTGGGTCGCATCGGCCGTCGTCAGACGGGTGAGCGCCCGCGTCGAGAGGTCGAGGCGCACGTACTGGACGTAGTACGGGTCCATGTCAGCATCAAAGCCGCGGACGCTGAGGAGCGCCGTGCGATTCGTCTCGTCGACTGCGGAAACGCCCGAGACAACAAACCGACCTTGCGTGAGTGCGAAGCCGCAGAGACGATCGAGTTCCTGGAAGCGCGACGGCAGCGTGTAGAGGTACAAATGTCGGTAGCCGGATCGCTCCGACGACCAGAGCAGCTCGTTCGACGTCTGCAAGTACTTGAGGTACGTGCGCGGGTGGTCAATAAACGTGTCACTGGTCTCTTCCAGTAGCACTTTGCTCTACGAACGGCATGACCACCTGTGATAGAAAAATTATGATGCGGTAGAGTACCTGTCCTGTGCTGGCGTGGACGGCAATGAGCCGCTGGCACTGGTGGCCGCGCGCATCGTGCAGAAAAAAGGCCCAGTCCCCACTCGGGTGCCAATGCCACTGCGCGTTGCTATAGCTCGCAGCAAAGAGATCAGGGGACTGAACAACGATGACGCGCTTCGTCTACGCACATGCATGTCAGTCTCGACCAAAAATGCAATGTGGAGCTACGGCAATCTCGATCAATAGCGGCTCGCGGTATGGCATAGGGTCCCCCGGCTTGAGGTACTCGTGTGTCTGAACGCGCGCCGAGACGTGCATCGCTCGCGGGTCGGTCGTTTGCGCCGCCATCTCAAGCAGCGTGAGCTGTCGCGGAGCCTAGCGTCGCTGCATGAGGCCTTCGCGAGCACTTGTCGTGTCTACCGCCGGGTAGTGTACGCGAAAGCAGGCGACAAATGCTTTTGCGGACAGATCGTCACGTCGTCGTACTGCAAGAGCGGGCTGCCATCCGTCGTCAGGCCGACGCCATCGACCACGACATTGAATGCGTCGTCGGGCGTAGCAGCGTCTGGGACAAGTTCGGACGCGATGATGGCGTCGGGCCCTTGAAGTTCAATGCGCTCGCTATGGCCCGCGCCTCGATACCACGCAAGGATCGCATCGCTCTCGGCGTGGACGAGTTGCCATACGTGGCCTTCGTACGTATGCTGCTTGACCTCGCCGCCCGGGCGGATCTCGCTGTACGCATGGGTTTCGCCTACCGCGCGTCGCGTCACAGACCTTGTGGCGTGGTCATACCGTCCGTGTCGACCCAGCGCATGACGATCGGGGCGCTGTAGGCGTTGACAACCACGAGGTCGATCTCGGCCCCGCCGTTCGTCGAGACCATGGCCTCGGCCTTGGAGGCGATGTCGCTGGACGCGTCGGTGGGCTCCATATCCGCATCGTACGAGTGTACATCGCAGAGGAACCAGCGCAGACCTACCGCCGCCAAATGAGGATGGGCGGATGAAGAGCCAGCGTACCGGACACCGTCATGACGGCCACTCGCACAAGATGGGCCATGTCGTCGACGAACGCCGCGCGCGTGAGCTGCACCTCGGGCAATCCCATGTGCGTCGCGATCGCGAGCTGGAGCCGCGCGGCGTCGACGTAGCGCACGCCATGGCGGCAATCGATAAAGTGCAACTCGGGCACTTGCGGCGGCGGCATGGCCCGGAGGTACCAGAAGCGGGCGCTGTCGGACGACCAGTGCGGCGTGACGTTGTCGTGAAAGACCTTGTGCTGGAGCGTCGTGGATATCGCGTCTGCCCGCGCGTAGTCACTGCGCGAGCCCTGCCAGCGCTGCGCCGTCATCTTGCCCGCGGTGGTGTCACGGATTGTAGCATTCGGCATCTCATTCGCTCAAATTCGGCATCAGCGCCGCCAACCGCGCACAGGTGGCACATCTTGTACAGACTTGTATACCCTCGTCGGTGCAGGAGAGTAAACGACCTGTGTAAGAGTAAGCATGTGGTACTACTACAGATACTATAACTGGCGCACAGGGTCCAAGGAGCTGGTCCAAGGGCGTAGCACGTCGTACCATGCTGTCGGCTCGGCACATGCCGAATTTAAATCGGCATCCCATTTAATCTAAAAAGAAACAAGCTTGCCGTTTGAATGCGATTGGATACAATATAAAAAAGCAGCCCGCCATGACGTGGCACGATGCTAGGGCTCGCCGACGAGCTGGGCGTATTGAAGCGTGTGCGTAGTCTGCATCGCGTGGACGCTCGAGGGCGAGATCGTGCCCACCATCATCGTTTTGGACTGCGCCGTACGAAAGTGGTCACGGAGCAGTAGCGTCAGCTTGGCGTTGCGGTAGCAGCTCGTGCCGGAGAGGCTCTTGGCCTGCGACCGAAAGCACGCCTTGAGCGCGCTTAGCGACTTGTTGATTTCCCGGCACTCTTGCTGCTCCGAATCGCTCTTGGTGATGCCGTCCGATGCGCTGCCGGCGTGCTCCGAGCCCGCGAGATCGACAAAGACGAGCGTGCCGCCGAGGCCCATTGCGCCCGCCGCCTGCGCCGCGGCCACGGCGCCATGCGCGGCCTCGATCGCCTTGTCGAGCTGGACGAGTTCCTTGCGGAGGTCGAGGAGGAGCGAGCACTCGTCCTGCGATGCGCCGCGTGCATCGGCCTTCTTGACCCACTTGCCCTCGACTTTATCGTGCTGGCGTACAAAGATATCCATCTCCAACGTGTCGCGTTCGTGGCCGACGCGCGTGAGGGCGGCTTCGACTTCGATCACGTGCGCGCGAAGGCGAAGAATGCGATCCGTAACGATCTCGAGCTCGAGAAGCGCGTGCGATCGGGAGCTCGCACGGTGGACGTTCGAGTTACCGGTCGAGCGCGCGCGCATGCCAAGCTGGACCACGTCCCATAGCTCGCCAGCCGTCGTCGCGACGCGGGTCGCGCTCGAGGACGGCTTGACCAAGCCCGTCTCGTCGTCCGTCACGAGCTCGCCGCGGATCTGGATCTTGCCATGCGCGTCTTCGCGTACAAAGCACTTTGCCGAGTCGTTGAGGAGGTCGTAGACTTCGCCGTTGTAGATCTCGTTGAAGCGGACTTGGACCTTGAGCACATCTTGTGGATCTGTGTTGCGTTCGTTGAGCTCGTCGAGCGCGCCAAAGAGCTGGACCGTTGATAGGTCGTACATGCCCCGCTCGTCGCCGTAGCCGAGGATCGTATGCGTCTTGCCCGAGCCCGTGTGGCCATAGGCAAAGACACACGCCGTGCGCCCGTCGAGCGCCGTCGCCACGAGCGGGCCCACCGCGGCCTCGAAGAACTCGTCGTTGGTCGTGTTGCGCTGGATCGAGGCAAAGTACCGGTACGTCTTGCGCCGCTTCGGCTTGGACTTGGGCACGGTGAAGCCAAGCACCTCGACGTAGTCGACGTCGTCCGCGTCAGTCTTGGGCGCCTCGACGACCAGCGTCGACGGCGCCGGCGTCTCAAAGACCAGCTCTTCATCGCCTCGGTCGACCTCGTCGCCGACAAGCGGGCGGATGCGAACATGCACGTCGACGCGCTTGGCCTTTCCCTTCATTTCGCTTCTTGCGCACTGAGCTCTGGGGATCGAAACCTTGAAATAGTGTGCTTCTAGGATACACTATTTCAGTGCACCTCTTGTTCCCGGTGCGATCGTTGGATACAGGAAACCGACGCGGTATCAAAAAGACTGTAGGGAGTAGTTTCGTTCGACTATTGTTTACACGAGCGTATGCCAGGAGCGAGGTTGTGTGCTGCACGTGAGATAGGGCTGTCTATGTGAAGGCATGGCGAGTTTCGTGGACACGTAGCTCGCGTACTAACACTATTTATAGGTTCTATTGATAGAACGGAATGATGGTTACACGCATGCATTCCTATCCAGAAACGGCGGTGATTGGAGAATAAAAGATCTTGGGCGGTCGCCAGCGACGGGTCCCATCGGCCGCACGCGCAAGGTGATTCAAGCTAGGAGCCTTCAGCGAAATTGATAGTGAGGGACGAAGGCAACCGAATGCGTAGTGTAGGTGGACGAGCAGGATTTCGGAACTTTTTGCAGCTTCTGCCTCGAGTAGAGCGCTAGAAACATCGCACATAGCGAGGTCGGATTTACAGCCCAACGATACACAAGGCTCTGCATTTGTGACAGCGGATTCGTTGTATCTGAAACGCGACATTGAGCGTGTTGAGAATCGACCGCTTTCCGTTTCCATTGCCTTGCACCCGGTATACAATGACACTTTTGTATGTCATCCCCACGCGTCCAGCGTCGCTTTCACTCGAAACAATCCTAGCTAGCCTCCCAGCAATCCACGCCTCACACGGAGCCTGCGTTGGATGCACGTTGTGACGGCACTGCCTACGCTAATCTCGTGCCAAAGACAAGTGGCATGCCCAACAGCCGACTCTTGATGGTGACGGCGCGCGGTGGCATCCACAATTGCGGGCCACGCAGCGGGCCATCATCTGAATGGGCGGCGGTACAAACTACATTTCGATGGCCAGATCGACTCAATCAAGGTAGCATACGAGTACATGTACTGTATTACTGTGCAAGTACATGACATATGCTTGATTGCGTAAGCCGTTCGTCAAGCACCGATCCCACCCTGGCACTATACACCCAGCACCTTGTACGACCGCAGACAACAAACGCAAATGCAAGCAATGGCTCCGAAAGCCTCAAGAGTGTTCGTGCCAAGGACAAGCATTGACGTCGAATGGGTCAAGTCGTATGGTTCCGAGGCGCCATCATTCCCGCACCAACATTCTGTCCATCACGTCGTCGTCGTCACCAGCGCATTTTATATTTCGCCCATGACTACCATCGCCGCCAAGAAGCCCCGCGCCCAGAGAACAAAGCGTGTCCAAGTCTACCTGCGCGTGCGCCCGATGGTGGCGTCCGAGGTCGAGCGCAAGGACGCCCCGCTCTCGCTTACGGAGCCCGACCCGTCGCAGCTCACTCTGACGACGCCGCCAACGCCCAATGACGACATTGAATTCGTCGAGGTCCTCGATGGCATCATGGTGCCCAAGTCCAAGCCGAAGCGGACGCGCACATTCCGCGGCCTCAGCGGTACGTTCCGCGAAGCGTCCACCAACGCCGACATCTACGCCGCTGTCGTCGCGCCGCTCGTCGACGAAGCCCTCGCCGGCCGCGCCGCCTGCTGCTTTGCCTATGGCCACACCGGGTCGGGCAAAACCCACACTATCCTTGGCTACAACGACGAGCCTGGCTTGTACCGTCTCGCATCCCACGCACTCTTTGCAGCCATCGCCGCGGCCAACGAGCTCATCGACGTGGACGCGGACCGACTCCACGTGCAAGTGCGCTTCAACGAGATCTACAACGGCGACGTGTACGACCTCCTGAACGACCGCGCCAAGTGCTTTGTGCGCGAGGATGAGCTGGGAAAGGTGCACATCCGCAGTGCGACGACCACGGGCGACGACGGACTTGTGTACACGTCGTCGTCGACGACCAAGGCAGCGTCGAGCCTCGACGATCTCACGGCCATTGTTGCCGACGGTCTCGCGACGCGCAAGACGGGCAACTCGAACGTGCATGCGCAGAGCTCGCGGTCGCACGCAGTGCTGGAAGTTGAGCTTGTCACGACCACGCAACTCCAGCTCGCGACTGAGCTTGAGACGGCACTGGCAAACACCACCCGCGTCGGCCATGAGCGCGACTCGCTCGAGATGGGCATCTTTGTGCGGCAGCACGACAAGGTTGAGGGCAAGTGGGTGCGCAAGCCGGACGCCGTCGGTGCCACAACCGACGAGTGCGACCTCCTCCGGGCGTTGGCCAAAGAAGTCAAGGCGCATAAGGAGCGTGCGTCGCACCTACGAGAAGCCTCGAATGAGCTCAAGGCGCAGGCGAACGCCCTTGGGGGTGCCTTGATCTTTGTGGACCTCGCTGGATCGGAGCATGCGGGTCGCACCAGCGACGGCATCGTCAAGAGCGAGACCGAGCAAAACGAGTGTCGCGAAATCAACAAGTCGCTCAGCGCCCTCCAAAGCTGCTTCCGCGCCCAAGCCAAGGGCCTCGCCAGTGGCACCACGTATCGATCCTCCAAGCTCACCATGGTGCTCCGGGACCACCTCCGGTCGGCAGGCTCGACGACGCGCATGATTGCAACGCTGTCGCCGTCGAGCGCGCACACGACCCAGACGATCCAGACGCTGCAGTACGCACAACTGGTCGGCCAAGTGTAGATTTCGTATAAATGTTGTCTTGTAAAAGCACTGGATGGGTCCGAGTACACTGTTCTACAGGTTGTGACATGTGTCGAGCGACTTGGCTCTCGTGTCGCAGTGTCCCAGACGTCGCCAAGCAACAAACATGTCATTTATGAAATACAGGAGAGGCACGATCTCATTCTACTGCGCTCACGTCGATCAGCCCTATCCCAACTGCTCACACGCAGTATGGAGTAATACCCAGCTATGAGTGACCCGCTTCGACGGTAGGAGCGTCGAGTGCGTGGCAAAAGGCTCCCGACAGCTTTCCGTGCCTGTAGCAGACCGTGTAGTGGGGTACCGATGGCCACAACGCTACCAACAACTTGGGTGTCGTAGCTCTGAAGATCGAGTATCGACGGCTTTGATTGGCTACAAACCCCCTCTTTTCGGCGTTTTCATTGGCTGTTGCGTTGATTAGAACCATCTCGTGGCACTCATCACACGCATCCTGCGCTGTGATTGGCGCATCGAAGTTTCCCGTTGCTCGCTGCGCTATGTCATTTCAAAAGATGCCATCGCCTGCCAAGAAGTCTGCGCTCCGGTCGCCACGCGTCAAGGTCTTCCTACGCATCCGCCCTGTCGTCCCATCGGAAGCCTCGGACGCACTCCTGACCCTCGAGACGTTGGCGCCGTCGCAGCTCACACTGACAACACCCCACTGCCCGAACGATGACATTGAATTCGTCGAGGTCCTCGACGGCCTCGTCGTGCCGAAATCGCAACCCGTCAAGTCGCGCACGTTCCGTGGTCTCAGCGGTACGTTCCGCGAAGCGTCCACCAACGCCGACATCTACGCCGCTGTCGTCGCGCCGCTCGTCGACGAAGCCCTCGCCGGCCGCGCCGCCTGCTGCTTTGCCTATGGCCACACCGGGTCGGGCAAAACCCACACTATCCTTGGCTACAACGACGAGCCTGGCTTGTACCGTCTCGCATCCCACGCACTCTTTGCAGCCATCGCCGCGGCCAACGAGCTCATCGACGTGGACGCGGACCGACTCCACGTGCAAGTGCGCTTCAACGAGATCTACAACGGCGACGTGTACGACCTCCTGAACGACCGCGCCAAGTGCTTTGTGCGCGAGGATGAGCTGGGAAAGGTGCACATCCGCAGTGCGACGACCACGGGCGACGACGGACTTGTGTACACGTCGTCGTCGACGACCAAGGCAGCGTCGAGCCTCGACGATCTCACGGCCATTGTTGCCGACGGTCTCGCGACGCGCAAGACGGGCAACTCGAACGTGCATGCGCAGAGCTCGCGGTCGCACGCAGTGCTGGAAGTCGAGATTGTCACGGACCGCCTCCTTGGCATGCGCAGTGCATTGGCGCTGATGCAGGCCGAGACGACGTCCATCGGGCACACACGAGACTCGCTCGACATGGCCATCTTCCTCCGGCAACACGACAAGCTCGAGGGCAAGTGGGTCCGCAAGCCGAACGCTACGAGCCCGACGCCGGACGAGGTCGCAACGCTCGACGAGCTCAACACGCGCTTCCTCGCCAAGCAAGATGAAATGCAAGACATGCTCGCAGCCATCCAGGAGCTGCATCGCCAAGAGAACGAAGTCGGCGGCGCCCTTCTCTTTGTCGACCTCGCTGGCTCCGAGTACGCGGGCAGCGCCAGCGACGGCATCGTCAAGAGCGAGACCGAGCAAAACGAGTGTCGCGAAATCAACAAGTCGCTCAGCGCCCTCCAAAGCTGCTTCCGCGCCCAAGCCAAGGGCCTCGCCAGTGGCACCACGTATCGATCCTCCAAGCTCACCATGGTGCTCCGGGACCACCTCCGGTCGGCAGGCTCGACGACGCGCATGATTGCAACGCTGTCGCCGTCGAGCGCGCACACGACCCAGACGATCCAGACGCTGCAGTACGCTCAAATGGTCGGCCAAGCCTGATACTATAGCTCGACCGGCCACACCTCGATAACCTTGAATGGAATCAAAGATACCACACCGACACGTGCATCCTGCTACCGGCAATAGCCATGTCGACGATCATGCTTCCACTGAGCCCGTCATGACGCACGTCGTGTTTGCGAGAGGAGGATGGCGACTGCGGCTCTGGCGTGCGTGGTGGGCTGCTTCGAATCCGGCTGACGCGTGTCCGTGGAAATCCTTCATCCTGCTATCACTGTGCGCGGGTTCGATTGCACCTGCCGCGACATGACGCCGATTCTACCGGTATGTCCAAGCGGCCGACCGCCCCTTCTTTGGCAATGCGAAGGTTGTTGGGATAGACAACCAACACGCGGCGCAGTCAGTGCCCGCGGACGTCTCTCTTCGTTTCCCCCGCGCGAATTCAGCGCCGCCGATCATCCTCGGCTGCCCATCTTGGTCGCCAGCTTCAACTTCGATCGCATGGCACCCGCCGCCTGTCGCGTACTACACATTTGTATCGGACGGATTCTACGAACTTCGTTTCAGGCGAAGAAGAGAGCGGATCCGACCAGCTTATTGCTGGTCGAGTGACGTGGCGCCCAGCTGCGCACGCGAGGGGAGGAAGAGTAGCACAGCCCAGCTAGTCAGCCGGCGGGCGGCCGCCGCATAGATGCCGCGGCGCAGGCTGTCGTTGCATGGGGACGAAACACTCGCCCATGTCCCCGCTCTGAGAGCGATAGGTCGCTTCAAAAAGGCGCCCTGAACGACGGCCTTGTCGGCGGCTCGGCCGACCGCTCGGGCTCTTGAGACCATCTCTGTGTTTCAGCGCTGCAAGAAGAAGGATGCGCCGTCGGCGAGGTCACAAGCCAACGGCAGTGTGCAGCAGCACAGCCGGCGGCTTCGAGAACCATCTGTTCGACCAGTTGGTTGCTGAATCGCGGGCGGCTCGGCTATTCGGCCAAAGCTCATTTTGGAATTTGCCTCCTTCGCGCACCATGAACCTCTACCCGCAGCAGACCCACGACATGAACAACGGCGCCGCCATCGCCCACCAGAACCTTCAGATCGACAACTGGTGCAACGAGATCTACTCGGCCTGCGCCGGCTTCGGCACGGACGAGGACCGCCTCTCGAAGCTCATTGGCACCAAGACGGCCGCCGAGCGCCACCTTATCTCGCTTCGCTACCCGGAGCTCCACAACAAGTCGCTGTACGACGAGCTCAAGCGCGAGACGTCGGGCGACTATGGCAAGCTCCTCCAGCTCCTTGCGCAGCCGCTCGAGGAGGCCGAGGCCATGATCATCCGCGACGCGACCAAGGGCGCCGGCACCACCGAGAAGCTTTTGTACCCGGTGCTTGGCGGCCGCACGAACGAGGAAATCAACATCCTCAAGAAGGCCTTCTTCAAGAACTACCAGAACGACATGGTCGTTGTCCTCGCCGATGACCTCGGCGGTGATCTCAAGACGTTCTTCCTCGCAATCGTCAACCAGATGGCGCAGCCGTACAACCCGAGCATCCACACGCAGGCCAAGGCCCAGGAGTTCGCCGAGGCCATCTACAAGGCCGGCGAGGGCAAGTGGGGCACGGATGAAAGCGGCTTCTGCAACACGCTCTGCTCGATCCCGGCCCAGTTCATGGCCACCGTCAACGCGGCCTATGTCGCCAAGCACGGCAACAGCCTCGAGCGTGCGATCGAGAAGGAGTTCGGCGGCAAGTCGGAGGACGCGCTCCTCTACCACATCGGCATGATCCTCCACCCGATCGAGACGATCGCGGTCCAGATTGAGCGCACGATGAAGGGCATTGGCACCGACGAGTATGGCCTCGCGTGCGCCATCGTCCGCTACCAGCACCTCCTTCCCAAGTCAAGCAGGCGTACCAGTCCAAGTACAACACGTCGCTCCGTGACCGCATCTATGGCGAGACGTCGGGCGACCTCCGCAACCTCCTCCTCACGATCCTCGAGCACTCGAGCTAAACGTGCGTCTAACTACTTCTGTCTTTTGTCTTTCCTCTCCATCGTCAAGCGTTGCATACTGCAACCTCTCTAGGATAGCTTCAAATCGGACCTCAAAGCCTCGAGACAGGGCAGTAAGCTCCTGGTACCTAGTGATTGCCTTTTTTAAAGATGCTACAGGTGCCCGCCACCCTAGGCGTTGGTGCTGCACAGGGAGCAGACATGCAGCAACAGAGCTAAACACTGCCATTTGCACCGACTCGGAGATGACCGGTCGACGAAGGATAGCTCGTCGATTCGAACGGTGGTATACTTATATACCGACACAGCACACCGCGGTTCATTGACCTTTGCGTCGATGGGTCGCTGGCTGACGCTGGTAGATGGGCTACGACGCGTCGCTGCATTGCGCTTGGAGCGGAAGCTGCTAGCAGCTTGGTGCAATGACCAACCGCTCAAGTGGGCTCTCGGTTCCGTCCACGCCGCGTCTCTGAAGAGTCCTTGGTATTGCGTTCGTGGCGGTGACCAAGTGCTACTAAGAAGCGGCTCGTTGCGTCGACGACCATGAGTGCATGAGCATGATGATGCCACTGGACCTTGAGAGGCAAGATCGACATGTGCCGAAAATAGTAAATATGGCATGTGCCGAAACATCGGAGGTCCATTTGGTGCCAGTGGCAGTCCAGCACAACAACGCGAGCATGGCCGAGCCGAGCTGCCCGCCGCCAGCCACAGGCATGGTCCGCGTCCTGCTCCAGCTCGAAGGCCTCTTCCTCCTCGTTGCCTGCCTCGTGGGCTACGCGCGACTCGAAGGCAATTGGATCGTCTTTGCATGCGGCTTCTTCGCCGGCGACCTCTTCTCGGTCGCCTACGTCGGCGGCAACTGGCTCGGCGCGAGCGTCTACAACCTCTCGCACACGCTCGTGGGCCCGCTCATCGTGCTCGCGATCTACGCGGCGCTGCCGTCGTCGCCAGTAGGCGTGGCCTACGCAGGGCTCATCTGGATGGCGCACATTGGCTGGGAGCGTTCGCTCGGGTACGGCCTCCGGTACCCCAATGGCTTTCTCGCGACGAGCATCACGGTCGATCAAGACCCGACGACGTACTTTAGCAAGCCACAAGAGGCGAACGAGACCCCCGTCGTGTCGTACAGTACGTTCCAGCCCTCCGTGTAATTGCATATCCTCTTTCGCGTCACCGCCAGCCCGTTCTGCCTTGCCTTGATGCACGAAGTGATCGCATGCGCTCGCCTCGGCGCTTAGGCCCACATGCATCGGATGCGCCCACTGCTTGGCAATGTAACCTTTCGGGATTTAATGTGCCGAAAGGCTTTTGAGTACACGTCAAAATGACAGCGCTAGCATTGTAGAATGTCATCTTGGTCGTCTACAAGGTGGAGGACGCTTAGGCGCGTCAATCCACATTTATTGAGGTCGCTGGGAGCTCGCTCGTCCAATTGCTGACGAATGGTGGAGTGGCGTGGACGAAGAGAGTACTGTCATCCTACTGTGTGCTCTTCGACGTGGCTGCTTTCATAGCGCGAACGCAAAGGATCGTGTCTTGGATCTTCCTACACGGAAGAGAAGCTAATAGGTCTTCGTCGAGTCCACGCATGAAGAGCCCGCGTCGGGTGATTCGCAAACCAGCGACCATCAAGATACCCAGTCATCTACAGAGACCCTGATGACTGAAGATGGACCAAGCCAATATACCGGTACTGCGCGTATGCGGCAAGCTTCCTGCATTGAGCTTACCGCCAGCACTGCTGTGTTGACTACCGATTCGCTACGGACAAGGCTAGTCCATCCTGTTCGAAATGTGGACAACTCGTCCATATTCGTGGTCGATCGCGTCACCGTTGCCACGGCTTCGTCAATGTAACTGTGTTGGACCTGCTGAATATATTGGCCAATGATCTGGCGAGACGCGACACCACCCTGCTATCCCCGCTGTGCAGTCGAGGTGGGAATTGTCCTCATTTAGATGACAATCTGTACATGGCATATGATGGAGCAGGAACCAATCGGTTCCTGGATCGTACGCCGCGACCAATTGCATCGCGAGACGAGTGGCAGAGTCGGTTGATTGGCGGTTACGCCTCGCACTTTAGCGGACAACCATTGTTTCATCCGGATACAGGAGTGTATCGACGCCAATCCCATTGCCCGATTCTCATGGTGCAAGTCCCTCCGCCGGCGCTGGCGGCCGTCGACGTGGCCGAGATGGAGCTCTGGGAGCGCGAGTCGGCGCCTGCGTTCCAGTACTCCGTCCGAGCCGGCAACCTCGTCAAGCGTCTCACAGCGATCCAGGACCGCAGTCTCTGCACGGCCGAGAAGCCCGCCGTCGCGTCGCACGGCCACTGCGTCTGGGACGCTGCACTCGTGCTCGCCGAGTACCTGCAGGGTCACGTGCAGCCATGGCGACAGGCCGTCGAACTCGGCGCCGGCGTCGGGCTCGTGGGCATGACGCTCTCGGCCCTCGGTGTCGCCGACGTCGTGCTCACGGACCAAGCGTACTGTCTCCCGCTGCTGCAAAAGAACGTCGAGTTCAACTTCAGCGCGGACCGCCGCCCTCGCGTGCGCGAGCTGCAGTGGGGCGCCGCCGAGACGGATCTGTCGCCGGACGTCGTTGTTGCGTCCGACATTCTGTACAATGCAAGTGTGTTTCCGCTGCTTGTGCGGACGATTTGTCAGCTGCTGGCGACACCGAGTAGCGTCATGTACATGACGTACGAGACGCGCAACGCGGCCATGGAGGCCGACTTTATCAAGCAACTCGAAGGACAAGGCCTGCACTGCCACGGTATTTCGCTCGAGTATGCCCGCTACGCGACTCTCGTCCCGTACCCCGAGGAGATTTGCTTGTATCGGATTGCGCGATCCCACCAAGTCGGTTAGAGCGCCCATAAGTCGACATATATATTTGATGCAAACGTAATCGCGTAGTACAAGCGAGGTAGGTCAAATTGGCGGCGTCGAAACCGATTGGAATGGGACGACACGCCGTTGGTGCAGACGGCAACAAAGTGCGTCAAATTGTGATGGAAAGCGACCGGGCACGCCAACTCGATTAGTGCCCCCGTTCGTTTCAACCGTGTCCAAGGTATTGGTACAACGGCTCGATCATAAGGCAACCGGAGGGTGAGCTTGCGAGGTGGTACGGTGAGGCGCCCTGACACGTCCTTCGAGACCATCCAGGGGCGGCTCTTCTTCGTCGCTACGTTCGTAGGGACGTACCCAGAGATGCTACAGCAACCACTTACATCAGTGATCTTTTTCATCGACTAGTGCATACTAGCATAGAGCAACCTAGAGCAGTTAAACCGGTGTTAGGTTTCGTCGAAAAGTTCTGATGTTGTTTTCTGTGCCACAAGCCGAACGCCACCATAGCGACAACCCCACGACGAGCCTCTCCACCGTGACGCTGTCGCCGTCGACCCGTGCCAAGACGCCAATTAAGTGGCGCGTCGCTGCTGCGGCCACCATCGAGGTTGACGACGCGATTGAAGCGACCTCAGCTCCGCCTGCTTTGCGTGGCGATCCGAGTGCCTCAAACTGGTGACGAGCATCACAAAGATATGATGCTTTGCTTTTACCGTGTGCAAGAAGATCCTGTCCATCTCGAAAGACGAGTACATAGCTCAATCTGTAGCGTTATGAAGTTCAACGCGGCATGCAGCCCTATGTGTAACCAAGGCGGCGTGTCTAAAAACGCGCATTTTTGGCGACCGGCCCAAGCAAGACCAACGGCAGCAGCCGCACCGTCGGGCTAGGCACGTGGTGAGCAGCATCAAGTTCCTCAGTACAGGCGGCCAAGGCACACAAAAGCCGTCGCAAATCAATATAAACACCGAGTAGCGACGACGTTGTAGTTGTGTCGAGGCACCGCACTACTGCATAATATTCCGAGCGGTCGCGTTCCCTGTGTACAGACACAATAGAGTCGCCAGAGACATCTGGTTCTCCACTCGAGCAGATCCAATTCCACGTCTGGCGTCGCGTCGAGCCAAGGAAATTCGTTTGTACCAACTCTCTGATTCTTTTGGGTCTGCTTTTGGGTGCCCGTTGTATGGAGGCTGAGAGAATCGAAGGTCGTTGTCGATTCTTCAAGAAGACCACTTCTCGCCACCGGCGCTGGTGACGTCAACAAAAATGGAAGGTTCTCACAGGAACGACGTGGTGAATCCTTGGTCGGAGATCGCCGACCACGGATTCACCATACGAATCGCTCGATCCTCGTGCGTCGACGCGGTGTGCTACTAGTATATCGACTCAGTGCGGTCACATAGCGCGCATTCAACCCGAATCAAAATACAACAAGGTCAAATGCTTGCTTGAATGCACTTGATGCCTCAACGCCCGCCGTTGTCGGTCGTTCTCAGCCCGGTGCAGCACCCAACTCGTCGAGGGTTAGGGCGTAACGACTAACGCCCGATTTTGGCGGCCGTCCAGCCAGGAAAGCAGTAGTTGCGCTTTTGCATACATCGGGACACATGCCGAGCGGCGTTGTGCCCGTGACAACTGAAGGCTGGAGCGCGTCGACAACCGGTGCGTCGACGCACCCCCGTGCGAACGTCCAAGACGGCTACATTGCGGTCATTGACGAGAAAGACAAGGCCAATTGGGTCCAAATTTGGGCTTTTGGGGTCGTCATCGTCGCCGGCGGCCAGTACTATGGGTGGACCGCTGCCTACGCAACGGGATTTGTCCCGATCATGGTCTCGCAGCTCTCGATGGGGCTTGCGTTCGTCATTTACATGGCGTGCTCGGCCGAGGTGTGCGGCAAGATCGCCTTTTCTGGTGGCTCGTACGGCCTCTCGCGCGTCACCCTCGGCTTCTACTGCGGGTACCTCATCGGTATCCTCGAGCTCATCGAGTACATTACGTACTCGGCCGTCTCTTTTGTGTTCATCGGCAACTTTTGCACGGACGAGCTCGGCATGCCGTGGATGTACCAGCCGCTCGTCCACCTTGCTTGCTACGTCGTTTCGATTGGTCTTTACCAGCTCCCCGGACGCTACCTCTGGCCATTTATGACATTCTTTGGCCTCGTCTGCGGGCTCCCGCTTCTGGTCTACATCCTCGCGGCGTGTCCGTTTGCGGACTTGGCATCGTATGGGAAACTGCCTGTCGACACGGAGGACAGCTCGACGTCGGCGTGGGCCACGGGCGATCTCGCCTCCGCGTACTTTGCGTGGGCCCCGCTGACGACATGGGCGTACGCAGGCATTGAGTCGCTCACTCTGGTGACCGACTTGACGACCGACCCGCTCGTGACGATGCCACGAGGCATCTTCGCGACGGTCGCCACCAACTTTGTACTGAACGTCGGGCTAGTGTTTGTTGTGCCGGCCGTGGCCCCGGGTCTCGTAGCAGCCACGGACAACCCGTACCCGCTGAATCCCGGCTTCGCGGCCGGTCTCGGCCTCTCGGACACGGGTGGCAAGTGGATCATGCTGCCAGCACAGTTTGGCATGGCCTTTGGTTTTGTCTTGCCGTACGCGCGCCTCGCCCAAGCGTTAGCGGACTCGCACTTGCTCCCGACTTGGCTCGGCCTCCTCGGGCAGACGTCGACGCTAAAAGCGATGATTGTCATGTCGGCCGTTGGGTATGTGATCTGCGTCATCTCGATCTTCTTTCCCGCGCTGGACGCGTCGCTGCAAAACATTAGCATTCTCGCAGCGAGCTTTTGCTACATGGGGCAGATTGCCGGCTTTGTCATGCTCCGGACCGTCTACAAGACGGACGCAGTCGGGTTCCAGAGCCCGTTTGGGATCCGTGGCGCCTACTACGCGTGTTTCATTTACCTACTTCTTGCAGTTTCGATCATTGGTGGGTTTCAAGGCGATAACGATGTTGCCGCCGGTGCGCTTGCCCTTCTCGTGCTCCTGAGCTCGGCGTACTATCATTACGTGGCCAAGCATGTGCAAACGATCTCCAAAGAAGAGTACGCCTCCATCTTTCGGTTCAGCGTCATGAAGTTCAACCGCCGCCGACACAAAGCCAAGGCCAAGACCCGCTTCCCTGCGCTGCCGTCGTGGCTCCATCTCACGAGCGCCAAATCGACTCGCTCCAAGTACGACACCACGACCAAGCGCGACCGGTCGACCAAGGTCATCGCAAGCATAGGCCTCCAAGGCGCTGCCAGCTAATAGAGACCCATACATGTATAACGGTAGCAAAGCCTTACAGTTGAAGAGCCCATGGCTGTCTTGGTCAAAGTGCAAACTGACGACGTGGCGCGCTGACAGCGTGATGCGTTTCGTAGGAAATGCATCTTGAACAACGCTATTTCTATTGAAAGAAGGGAATATACCGTATGTGTACGCCTGGTGCAGGGAGGTATTCCTTCATTACCAATTGCATACAGTGGTAGGGGATTGGCTGGAAGTATTCGCTTAATAACCAATGCGCATTGTTTATGCTACGTAGGCCGATGCCATTGGTTAAAATTAAATCAGCTGGACCCACAGGGACATGCAGAGAGCAGGTCGCACCAGATCACCAGCCAGATCACGGACGCCGGCCTCATGGCGACTGGCCCCACGCCACACGGACTGCGCCGACGACTTGCGCCGTCTCGGCGAAGCCAAGCAGCGTTGAACGACCTCTGGCTCGTCTCGCCCTGCGATGCCTGCCCCGGCGTGAGCAGCACGGTTTGCATTCGGTCCTCACCGGGCGCATCGTACACCAACCTCGCGCTCGGAGCGTACTCGTGCAACAACAGCACGTGCGACCAATGCATCGAGCGCTTTAAGAACGACGAAGGCACGACGTGGACCTTCAACACGGCTATGTGGCCGCCCGGCGCGCCGCTTCGCGTGAACTTCAGCGCCGCCGACAGGAGCACGGGGCCCAACACCATGTACGCTACATGAGCATCTTCCATCGAGCGGATGCTGACGACGAAATGCGCTTGTAGCATCTTTTCGGGAACGCCAAGTGCGACAAGCGCAACCCGCGTCCCTGCGTTGGACGTGAGCGGGCTGGCCCGCCTCTCCAACCTGTACCGTCGTCTTGGTGGCCCACCTTTCTCGTTACGATCTATCGCTTGGTAGGTACGTGCAGTCGCTCGATGTGACGCCGCTCATGGCTGAGACCCGTTCGTTTGGCCTGCCACGAAACTTGACGACTCTGTGTGGCCTTGTTTCATTTGATGTGAGGTTTTCGGCTCATGGCGCGTCGGATAGATCGCTCACCGACTGCGCAATGGGCAATTTCAGGTTGCCATCAACGCTGTCGACGCTCCAGACACTGTACGCAGAGTCTCTTGAAGCGAGTACTGATGCGAGATGGGACGTTTAGAACCATTCGATCGAGCACGGCCGCCGACCTCAACCTCACTTGGCTCAACGCGTCAGGGTTCCGCTCGTCGCTCCACACTCTGTAGGACACTCTGTCTTCAACAAACAACTTACAACGACTACTAGCACGGTCGAGAACGTGACGCTTGTCGATGCGGCGAGTTTGAGCAAGAGCATCCGACACTTTCATTTGACGTCGCTCAGCTTTCGACACACCAACTTTGAGCTCACGCCGGTCTCGATCAAGACGTTCTTGTCGCTCCGCGCGATTCCATCTCTCACCCTCGATAACCTGACGCTGCCCTGCCCATATTACGCCCACAAGCTGTGTCTCCACGGCGCCAGCATCTGCGTCTACCGTACCCGTCCTGTGTTCGACGCGAGCGATGTCGCTCATGTGCGCCGATAGGACCCAAGCCCCAAACCCAAGTCGATGACAACTTGTCCAACGAAGTCAGCGCGTGGATTGTCTTGCTCTCGATGACGTTGACGATGCTCTACGGCCTTGTCATGCGCTACCGCAGCAAGCGGGTGCCGACCAAGGCCCTAAAGACGCGGAACGACGTGGCGATCGAGAGCCTCCTCGACACTTCGTCGCAGCAGCAGCATTTGTCCGATCGGCACGTCCGGCCGCCGCCATCGCGCCTTTACTCGGGCGAGAGTACCATCGAGAGCATTCTTCAGCAGGCGCCGTCGCTACACCTTCTCGACGCCAGCGACATCTTGGAAACGTCGACTCTGTACCACCAAGGCCCTCACATCCACGTGGCCCAAGGCGTGTACGTACCAGACGGCTGCCGCATCCAGCTCAAGCAAATCGCTGGCTACGAGTCGTACCTCTTGAGCATGGCGCGGACGATCGTCGACCTCGCCAAGCTGCAGCACCCGCACGTCGCGCCGCTGCGGGGCGTCGTCGTCTCGTCGCCGTCGTCGCTCGCAGTTGTGATCAACGACTGTTCCGACAACGGACCCCTCCTCTACGAGCGGTCTTCGTCACTCTCTGAAAAAGCCACGATGGCACGCGACCTTGCGCGCGCCCTCGCGTACCTCCATAGCGCCCATATCGTCCACGGCCACCTCACCGCCGACACGGTGCTCGTGGATGCCGGCGGCGACGTCTACCTCAACCCGCTGGATGTGCTCGCGAGCCATGTGTATGCGACGCACTCGACCGACGCGCTGTACGTGGCGCCCGAGGTGCTGCTCGAGTCCAAGGCGACGCCGTCCAGTGACGACGACGAAGGGACCGCGCGCCGCGTGCGCTTTGCCTCGCCGGCCGCCGACGTCTACGCCTTTGGCGTGCTCTTGGCGGAGATCGACGTGGGCGTGAGCGCCAAGACGTACCTCACGCGCAAGTGTCTCTCGTTCCAGGACAAGAAGATGCCGGTCGCCCAGCTCGTCGGCCTCCGGCACGCGCTCACGTTTTTCCGCGGGCAATTCCAGCACGTGGTTGCCCTCTGCCTCCACGAAGACCCGTCGAGCCGACCGACCATGGCGGACGTGGTCGAGATCCTCGTGGGCCCGAGCATGACGATGCTGGAAGAGTCGCCCTCGCCACCGCTGCTGTCGGCGTCATGACAGCAGCCACTGGCGTCAAGGATAGACACCGAGCAGCCAATGTACTCTATATTCAACGGTAGCCATCCCATCGATGGGGTGTACACACGCTGCATGATGAGCTGGAGGGCGAAGTGCGGTGGTGGCCTGGATGGCGCTGGGATGTGTGCATCGCGTTTTGATGGCAGACATCGAGTCATATTGTGCGAGTGAAAGTGCCCAGAGATCACTCGCAAGCGTCCAGTAGGTCTTCCACGACGTTGACATGGCCGTGTGGTACGAACCATTCTTGGACTGCAGCGTCATGTCGTATCTCAAACCAAATGCATTCTCAATTGAGAAGACGTCATGGAGACCGAGCGCCTTGTAGTTTTGCCACTGCGTCGTATACGTCAAGAGACCCGCTGATTGCCACAGCTTGGCTTCATCCGCCACGGGAAGACGGTCGCTGGTGGTAAGCAAAGCAAGCCAGGCAGCTCCGTTGGGCTTGAGCGAGTCGGACCCAATAAGCATATCATCCAGCGCCTCGTTGGCAACCCACGACGTCTGTTTCGTTACCAAGTGTGAAATACAGCACGACGACCGTCGCGTTGCGGATTGACTTGGGCTATCGGTACGCCGAGCAGGATATATGGGTCGAAACTCTGGGCCATGGTGCTCATAGAGCAAGTGAGCTTGATGCACGACAAGCGGTGATGCTTTTACCAAGTGCTGGGCCACGCCCACTAGCACCATCGCCTTGCAATCACCGCGCCACGTCGCAAAGTGAAACTGGTTGCATCGCGATGGCGCGACCAACAACGATTGGATGACACGGACGACACCGTCTTTGCGATAAATCAACACGGCGACCGTGCATATCTGTGAAAGCTTAGGTGGCAGGGACACGGGCGGGATCGAGGCTTTCTCCGAGTCGCGAGAGAAGCCTGCTCCATGAAGCAACCTCGCGCAGGACTAGAGAGCTTGTACCTTAGCATCGTTTGTTCAAACGGACGACAGCGCCAGGCTACCACCGAGGCTACCACCTAAAAGTGTCAGTGTGCTCGGGGGATATAAGGCGCCTGTGGGTCGGAGACGGAAAGGTGTAGGGGCTCATTGTCGTGGACGACTGGATTCGGTTCAATGCCGTCGCGCGCATCGGCGTTCTCGTCAAGTCGCTGCGGCTCCACCTCAATCGGTTCCTCACCAAGACGATCAAAGACCCGACGCTCGACATTTTCAAGCGCTCGCTCGTCGACACGGCCATTCATTTTTCTCGATGGCAATGGCGTCTCAGCGCAGCGAGTCGTTTTTCATCGCCCTTGAACCATTCCCGTTGTCCATATTATGATGCATTAATTTCTAGCTTCTTGCGACTCCTTCACGTGCACTCGATCCAATTAGACGACATGTCGATGTCGAGAGAAAGGGACATTTGGTGTGCACAGATGCAGCTCCCGCGTCTCTGCTGCGTGCATGGGAGCCAAAGGTATCACGACAACAATTCGCTTCACGCGTGGACGTAATAATGCGCCGACAGTACGTCGCCGTTGTTGTCTGGAAGACCAGCGACCAAATCAAAAATAGCCGGGCGCAGTACAAGCCAACGGTCACATTCACAACCCATCGAGTTCGAGTGCCCATGCCGTCCCGGCGCGTGCAGCCGTTGGAGACCGCCGTCGAGCGCCGGCCATCGACCTCGACGAGCTCGACCAGCCTCGTGCCTCGTTCCACACCGCGGCGGTATCGACTCGGCCTCGGTATCGCAACGGCCATCGCATCGGTGGTCGTTGGCTGGCACTTTAGCGCTCTCGTCTTTCAGAGCTTTGGTAACGACCACTGGTGGCCGTGCTACTCGCTCGCGTACCAAGCGTACCTCATCGACGTCCTCAACGACGCGCTGCTCGGTTCGCCCAACGGCTCGGTCAACCTCGTGAGTGACTCCGCGCGCGTGGCCAAGACGTACGACATCGCCTCGGCGTTCACAAGCATCTACCCCACGTACATGCGCCACCTCGTCCTCCACGAACTCACGTCGGTGGAACATGGCATTGCAAGTCTGCGGACGATGAGCCCGGGCGACGCTCTCACGGTGCAATCGCAATACTGCTGGGTCGACTTTGCGAAGGAGCTCGAGATGGCCCACACGGCGGCGCGCCAAGCACGGTGCGCCCGCTACGCTGCCAACGGCGCCATGTACCTTGCCTCGGTGCTGCGCAATATTGACTATGGCGCCTTTACAAGCATCTTTGGGGGCATCGGAGGTCCCTTCACCGTCGGCCTGGGGCTCGGTTTGCAGGAGACAGCGACGGGCCGGGCATTTCTACAGTCGCTCGAGATCATTACGACGCCGATCGCCCAAGAAGCGGACATTTGGATGTCGTTCGGACTCGACCGATTTGAACTGCAGTGGCACAACAAGTACCAAACCGGTATCACCGAGCACGCAACGATTCTCAACGCTTTGGGTCACACGGCGTCGATTACGCTCAAGGACCTGCCGCGGCGCCTCGGGAGCTGGTCGTCCGGCATCCTCAACTGGCAGCTCAACAACGATCTCTACAGCGTCCAGGCCTGCAATCAAAGCCTCTTGCGCAACAACGTATCCAATTCTTTTACGCTTGGCAACTGTGTACCGACGTTCGATACTTTCACAGCACTCTACGATGCGAACGGAGCGTACTCGGCGCAGAGGTTCCTCGTCCACACCACCCTGGGACCCTTCCTCTCGATCGACGCTTTTTTCTGCCCGTGCCACCGGCGTTGCAGGAACTCGTACTGCAAGCTGCGAGTGTGCTGGCCCCGCCCTTCGCCGACGAGACGATTCACAGCGGCGTCTTGGAACCGACGCCGCCGACCTGGGCCACGGGGTACGACTACCACGGCGGCAGTCCTCTCTGTCTGCACAGCAGCCCCACGCCTTTTGTACAACCGCCGTTTGACGCCAACGCGCTCTGCACAGGCGCGCATCGCCTGACAACACCCTTCTCATTTCCGTCCTTGCTCCTCGCGCGGGCCATGACGATGGCCATACCCGCCGCCGATCTCTGTGCTTGCGACGTGTCGGGCCAGTGTGCACCGGCCCTTGCGGCAGCCCATTTGGTGTTGAAAGAACGGCAGCTAAACACAGCGGGGTTCGATCCCACGACCCTCGGGCCGGTCGGCATCATGCAATATGCGACATCGACGACCAACGCTTCCAACTGGACGCTACTGTACGAGCCGCTGTTCTCGCCCGATGCGTTCCGTTTCTATGGCTGGCTCATGCTCTACGATTGGGCGATTGGTGCCCGGGAGGTCGTCGCCTTTGAAGGCGATGTCTCAACCTTGACGCTCATCTCCAACACGTACGCGGTGCAGACGTATCCCACGAGCGGCGGCAACTTGTATGTGCCCAACTCGACGCAGATGATCGCGTACATCATTCTTTACACCACGGCCGTCGCCTCGGTTGTGCTGCTGGCCGCTCTCTGCTCGACCTACGCTCTTCCAGCGCGCGTTGAGCCCACCAACTGGCTCGCCTTCCATCGGCTCGTGGGCGCCGCGTGGGTCGGCCGACCGCTGCTCCTGATCCGCGGCGGCGCGGCCATTATCATGCTCAGCACCGCCAACGTTCAGCTGCAGCACTCATCGAATGGCGGGAGCTACTTCTCATGCGACGCACGGTCGATCATCGATGTGTTTGTGTTGTCCATCGAAGCCACGTGGCTCTCGCTGCTCTTGCAAGATGTGGCGCGGCTGCTCGTGCCCGAGGCCACCCACTCCTACGCAACACCGTGTGCTGCCCTCGCCTGCGGCATTCACATCTGCCTCGAGGTCCTCGACCCGATCACGCCCGTCGCCTCGCTACAGCGCACGTGTGCCAGCACCAACTTGGACGCGGTGGTGGTCTGTGCCGGTGCGTCCGTTGTGATCGGCAGCGTTGACCGGGCCCAAGTGCTCGTCGCCACCCACGTACTGCTCACGCTCCTCGGTATCGTGAGTGCAAGCATGTGGCGCCGTACCGAGACGCGCCGCGCGGCGAGCGATATGGAGCCGCCGTTCTACTTGCTATCAGGCCTCGCGACGCTGTACCTAGCCCCGACGTCGCCGACAGGTGTCGACGCAGTGCCCAACGACCCCGTCGCCTGTCTCCTCGCGGGCTTGATTCCGTTCACGACCGATGACAGCATCTACCTCTTCGACTTGAACCGGTGGCTTGTCGTGAAAAGTGTTTTGAACGCCAACGAAGCGTTCCGACCGCTGCACTCGAACGTACTGTGCGTGTCTCGCCGAACGACGTTGCAGCGACCACAGGCGTCCGTGTCGGCGCCGATGCGCATGCTCGTACCGCCGGTCTCTCGCTGGACGCGGTGGTGGTCCAAGCTCGTGTATGGGTCGTCGATTCTGGTTTGTTTGGGCTACATGGCGCTCTCAATTCAGACGAGCGTTCTCTATCTCCGTGTCTCGGCAACCGCGCTCTCCAACGACCTCGCGTGGGCCAACTTTTCCATGCATTCGACGCACCGCTTTCTCGCGTCGATCCTTAGTGCTGACTTTGCCCTTGGCAATTTCTCAGCGCGACCGCTGCAGTTGGATGCGATCGACGTCAACCTTGTCACGACGTCGCTTGATGACGCGTCACGCATGACGCTGCCGGGCAACTTTGGCGCGCGCGTGCAGATGCGGACGCTGGAGCACGCGTTGCGCGATGCCATTCAAGGTCTTCGCAGCACGCCTGCCGCGGACATGCCGTGGATCTTCTCCGCCTACTGCTACCTCGACTTGAACCAGACGTTTGCGATGGCCAACTCGATGAAGCGCCAAGCGCGCTGCCGCAACATGACGACCAACGGCGCCGTGTACCTCGAAACGATCTTGCGCAACACCGAGTGGGACGACCTCCTCGCAGTGTGGGGGAATGCCTTTCACGTGGCTTTCGGGCGCGACCTCGAAGCGACAAACATGGGCATCAACTGGCTGCGCGCGGTCCGTGCCGCGGCCACGAACTGGGTCCCACCGGATGTCGAAGCAGCGTATTGGCGTCGCTCTGGCCTCACGACGTTCACGCTGCAGTGGCAAAACTTCAAGACGATCGGACTCGTCAACACATACCGCGTCGTGAGTGCGTCGAGTGCGTATTACCCGTTTACGCTCGCGTCGCTCAACGGTTCGTACCGCATTCCATCCGAGACGAGCTACAAAATGTACTGGGGCTTGGCCAACGATTTCCGCGCGACCCTCCGCAATGGCAGTGGCATGACCGGCCAAAGCCTCCTCTCCAATAGCGCCAACTACGCGTATGCCAACACGACACCGGCAGCTGTGCTGTTGCGCAACGGGATTCTCAACGCACCGATCGGGCGCGGGCTGCAACTTGTGAGTGACGAGCTCGGTCCGTTTGGCTCGACCGACATGTACTTCGTTCCTGTGCCGACAGTGCTGCGGGCTGCCGTCGACGGTCTTCGCCGCCTACTGCACACGCTCGTAGCAGAGAACGCGTCGGCTCTCGCAACCTTTCTTGCAATCGACACCAGCGTGTCCGTGTGGCCCGTACCCGGGCCGTGGATCCAAGCCAACTTCTTGTCGTTTGGCGGCTCGGTGCTCTGTGACGCGATTCTGCCGACAGCGGCGCCCGCCGTCGGCGCTGGTCTCCTCGTGCTCTTCTCGTTCGACTATGGCTGCGACGCGGTGCCCTACTACGCCAGCTTGCAGCTTAACCGTGCAACGCTCGTGCCCGCGTCCTTGCTCAGCGCCGTTCACACGCAGAGCAACTGGACTGACATTTGCAGGCATGACCCATACAACCTCGTGGCGTGCGACGGGTACCTGAACTCGACAACGTCCTTTACATCCACCTTTGGCTTGGCGGAGGCCATGGCGCGCAATGATATCCACCTCTCGGATGTCTATGCGTCCGTAGCAGCACTCGACATCCAGATCCTCCAGTACGGCAGCGCCTCGACCAACGACCCGCTCTCGCTGGAGCGCCTACCGCTGCTCAACCCGGCCGATCCCACCTACGATCTCTTTGCCTTCGCCTACCTCCTCGAATGGGTGTCGTGTGACCGCGACGTGGTACACTTCCAAGGCGACAACATGTCGCTCACGTTGCTCTCGGAGAAGACGACGCCGATCGCGCAAGCCATTTACGCTGCCGAGCTGCCGTCGGCGCTCGCATCGTATGCGCAGTCGGCCAACATGTTTGTCACGAGCCTTCTCTTGCTCATCGCCTTGCTCCTCACACTCTACATGTGGCTCGCGCGCGGCTACGTGGAGCGCCGGAACGTGCTCAAATTGAACCGCATCGGCGCCATGAGCTACGTCGGGCGCCCGCTCATCTTTGTCCGGTCGGCGACCGCCATGATGCTCCTCGCCACCGCGTCGCTCGAGCTCCACATCACCGACGGCCTCGCGTTTCTGGCGCCAGGAGCCACCTCGTGGCTTTCTGTGCTGCTCGCATCGAGCGAAGTCACATGGCTCGTCGAGGTCGTCAACGACATGGCCATGGTACTCACGCGGTCGCACGCGGCGCAGTACGCGGCAATCAACAGCCTCAGCGTCTGGGCCGCCACGGCGCTCCTCTCGTGGAACGCCCCGGTGACGTTTACAGCCATTTACGCACCCGTCTGTCGATTGAGTCACATGGACTTGCAAGTCACGTGCGAGACGGCGGCCATCACGATCGGCCACTGGCAGCGCATTGCAACGCTCGCATGTCTGACACTAAGTGTCAACGCGCTCTGCTATAGCATTGTGCGGAGTCTGCAGCGCTGGCGCTGGCTCTGGCGGCTCGTGCCCGCGCAATGGCGGCCAAAAGATAGTGTGCCAGCGCCGACCAAGAAGGTGCAGTCGCTTCTGCTCTCGGCGGGTGCTACGTTTCTCTTTTACCACGCGCCGTGGATCTTCAACGACGTCTACTACCTGGACCGGGCGTCCGCCGCATTGAATGGGCTGCTCAGCGTGCGCTATGACGGCATCTACTATGTGCTCGACATCAAACTCTGGCGCATCTTGGTGCTGGCCCCGACGCCGTGCCCACCCCAGCACCCCAAGTATGCAGCTGCGCAGTACGCACTGCCACTGAGTCTTCACTAACAACAAAGACTCGTCCGTGTCGTACGCATCGTGTAGGACAGACTCGACCGCCGGTCGTCGCTTCCGAGACTTATGCTGTGCAGAAATGCATACCAACTGGGACATACAACGAACACTTTTGCGCAAAATCAACGACATCTTGCTAATAATGGTGCTGTGATTCGATAGGGTCTTGGTGGTTTGGGTTGTGCGTAGATGGGTTTTGCTTAGCCACGCGAGCTATAGCATGACACGCTTCCTATAGCCTCTGCATCGATTTCGCAAAAGAGCTCGAGTTGTATGCCACATTATTGTCCGGCAGGGCCGCGTTCCACGTATGACGCCTTGGATTGGTTGCAAGACCTTATATGGCCGTGATTCAGCCAATCACAAGTCGATAAAGAAATATTTATGGCCAATCCATGACTTTCTATTTCATAACCGGTTTGGAGCTTAACGGGCTGGTTTGACAGCCGGTTGGCAGACGGCTGATCCTTCCACAAAGATATTTGTTCCGTGCTGGCCGCCGATCGATTACCATGCGCTTCTGGCCCGAGCAGACGTACCGGCGCTACGAGATGGCGCTGCTCTGCACGATGGGCACGCTTCTCTGCTACGCCGACCGTAGGCAACGCTGTCCTACGCCTCCTCATGGTCACACTGCGCGTAGGAACCAACATTGGCATTGCGATCCCGTCCATCGAGCCCGACCACGCCAAGCAGGGCCAGATCCTATCGTCCTTTTACTACGGCTACATCTGCACGCAGCTCCTTGGCGCCCACTGGGCCTCGATCTACGGGCCCAAGCGTGTGCTCGTCGCCGGCGTCGTCGTCTGGACGTGCTTTGATGTGCTCACGATCACGACCGCGTCGTCGCCAGCCTGGCTTCGCGTCGTGCGCGTCGGCATGGGCCTCGGCGAAGGCATCTTGTTCCCGACCTTGCACACGCTCTCAGCATCCTGGTACCCCGCGACCGAGCGCAGTCGGCTCATGTCGATCGTCTCGAGCGGCGTCGACCTCGGGACCATTGTCGCCATGGCCGTCTCGCCGCTGCTGCTCGCGTCGCTCGGGTGGCGCTCGATCTTTCTTCTCTTTGGCCTCCTTAGCACATCATGGGTGCTCCTCTTCCTCTGGCGCGGCAGCAGCAAGCCCGAGACCGACGCGTACATCACCACCGCCGAGAAGGCGACGATTCTCTCGCAGCGCGGGTCGCTCATCGCGTCGTCGCCGCCGCCTTGGCGCCGCCTCGTTCTCAACAAGCACGCATGGGCGGTTTACGCCGCCCACTTTGCCTTCAACTATGGCTGGTACGTGCTGCTGGGGTGGATGCCGCAGTACTTTCGCGAGAAGCTGCACCTCTCCCTGGCCTCGTCCGGGCTCGCGGCCGCGTGCCCGTACATTGCGGGGTACGTCGGCGTCCTCTTTTGGGGCATGGTCTCGGATCGACTGCTGCAGCGCTACCGTGTCTTGCACGTGCGCCAGACCATGAACGCGATCGGCCTTCTCGGGGCCGCCCTCGCGCTGTACCTCCTGCGCTACGCTGCATCGGCGCCGTCGGCGATCGCCATGCTCTGCCTCACGCTCTTCTTCGCCCGCGCCGCGACGCTTGGGTACTGGGTCAACATGGTCGACATTGGCCCGTCCTGCGCCGGCCACGTACGCCAGTTTTTCCATGATGAATTGATGGATTGATAGATTGATATTTTAATCGGCGTAGATCATGGGCGTCAGCAACACGATCGCTACACTGCCCGGCATTCTTGGCAACGTCCTCACGGGCTACCTCCTCGGACACGGCGCCGGCAACTGGGACTTGGTGTTTGACATTGCCAGCGCGCTCCTCGTCCTCGGCGCCGTCGTCTTTCAAGTGCTCTCGACCGACCGGGTCGTGATCGAGGCGACGGCGCCGCGCCGGTCGTACAAGAAGAATGACGCCGACGACGTCCCGATGCAAGCGCTGCTTCTGGACGTGACGACCATCACCGACGACGACGACGACGACGACGCGCCGTCGACACGGCGCGAGGACGGCGAGTTTTTTATTTAAACATTAAGACCAATATATATATACGATGCGACATGCACACACGACAATATGTGTTTGGATCTACGCACGTGCCACGGTCGCACGGTAATCGTCGTCGGCCGAATCGCACGGTCGCGGCGACGACCCACGGACCAGCGGTGGCGCGGCCATCGCAGCACGAAAGACCCGCTCGAGCGCCGGCAAGAGGGGGCCATCGGCGACCCAGACGCCGTACTCGACAAGCAGCAGCAGCGTGTACGGCAGTGGCAGCCACTGCGTATAGCGCAGGTACCACAATAGCGCGGTGAGGATCGGAGGAAACCCGCCGTCACGGACCATTCGGCGCATGGCGTCGACCAGCGACGTGCGCCAAAGCAACGTCCGGAGCGCGCGGCCGTACAGCATAAGGCCGACGCTGAGAGGCACTAGCGCCAGAGACGTCGTTGGCGCGACTGCGTGCGAGAGCGCGCTCAGCAGCAGACACACGAGGCAGCGCAGTGTCGTCGAGCGGTGCGGCTCGGGGCCACGCGGCGTGAACGGCGAGCGTTGCACCGCTGCATGCAACGAGCACCCGTGCACACAGCGGGAGGGCTGCGAGAAGTTGCACAAGCGGGGGTAGCAACTGGAGGCCGCCGCAGCCGCCGGCCAAGTAGACAAAGAGCCGACATGAGTCGCGTGTGAGCATGACGTGGCGCATCTCGGCCGCGTACGAGAGCACATAGCGCTCGAGCGGTCGGAGGCGCGTGTAGAGCAGGCGGAGCACGCTAGCCTTTATGGGCAGGTAGAGCGCCGGCAAGAGTACAAACGGCCGCGCCGAGGCCATGGCGATGGAGTCGTCGAGGCCGTCGAGGCGCAGTGCGAAGAGCACGGGCTGCGCGCCAAAGAGCCATCCGGTCGCGCTGGCGCAGCCCAGCAAAAGGTACATTTGGTCAAAGAAGACGCTGTACATGGCCATGTGGAGGCGCAGTGTATCGCGTGTGATGGTCCATTGCCGGATGTAGTCGGCGCGCGTGCGCAGGAACGGGCTGCGAAAGTGGTGCTCGCAGAGCCGCGCCCAGAGCCACGGCGCGCGGCTTGCGTCGTGCCACGCGCGCGCGACGCATGACGCGCGGGTGACCGACTTGCTGTCGAGGAAGCTCAAGATGCGCTCGATCACGTCGCCCGGCATGGCCATGCTTGTTCGAAACTGGCTCGTAAAAGCTTCTTCTGCGCAACCGGTTCGGTCTTGCGGATGGCTACTGTACGTGGCAGCTGGACAGGCCAGCACGGTCCTCGTCCATGAAGAACGCCCGTTGCACGCACCCGTTGATTGCTTCGAGGCCCGTAGTACTAGCTATTAGCAGTCACATGCTTCATGCGGCGCTTGAATCGACCTGCACGGATGCAGCTGGTGTAGCTCGTCGCCATGTGTCATGATGACCGCTCGTTGTGAAGACTCGGATGAAGACGCCTTCCTCGTCCAAACACGTGCACGGAAGATGACACAATAAGAGCTGGCATGTGCCATGAGAAGAGACGTTGAGAGGACCAAGTCTGCGCTGCTCCGCGAACGCAGCCCATCGACCCAGAGCCGCACACGGCCTGCGCGAACAGCCTCGTGTGCACATGGAGCGCATGGCCGGTCGTTCAGCATATAGCACCGTAGGAGAACGCCTCAGTGCAGGCAAACCGTGGGCCGTATTTCAATTGTACACGTCCGCACACGAGAACCGTGCGATTTTAAAATGACCTGCGCTCCAATCCGCTCCTATCGTGTGAGGCTGCCACGTCATCCTTGATCTCCGTACAACGCAAAAGAGTTGACGTCGATACCGGCCTCGTACGGGCGAGAAGAGGGACGACCGAAAGCTTGTTATAGAATCCCTTCAGCGCCGGTGGGCTCATTTGAGCCACTCGAGAAAGGAGCTAGCGATCAAGACCCATTGGCGTGTTTGCTGCAACACATACAAAGGCCGTTTGTGGTCGACAATTTTGTCATTCGTACCCGACATGTCTCATGTAGATATGTGTACAGCTTTGTAAATATATACTGGTACAGTTGCTTCTCCTTGACGTTGTGGACTAGGCGCACTCGGCGGCGGCCGCCGCCGGCTTGGTCTTGGACCGCGCCTTCTTGAGGAGGAACTTGCGATGCACGACGCGGAACTCTTCGGTGAACGCCCAGAGCGCGCTAAACAGTTCGTCCAGTTCATAGTCGCCTTGCTCGCCGAAATAGTCGAGAAATTGCTTTTTCTAGTCCACAAATATCAATCTGTCAATCTCTCAACCAAGAAAACGGCGCCAACAACACGTACCCGATCCGCGAGCGTGCTCAGCTGGTGCGTCAAGTCCTTGAGCTCCATGGCCGACTTGTCGGCGAAGTTGCGGATCGCGGCAGCCGTCAAGTTGTCTTCGCCTTCTTCGTCTTCAATCTTCTCGGCCTCAGCGACCAAGAGCGCATGCCCCGTCTCCAGCGCCTTCTTCTCTTGGTGCAGTTGCGGAATGAGCACCCGCGAAGCTCGCTCGAGGAGGCCGATTTCATCTTCAAATTTTGCCAGCTCGGGCGCGTCACGCTACCCCACACCGCATGAGACCGACATCGCATGCATGGGAAGCGTCGTACATCGACCGTCTCGACAAGGAACTGGAGCAGCGTCGTTTGGCCGATAAACGCCTTGGTCTGCGAGAGCTTGACGAGCGAGCTCAGCGAGAAGCCCGGCGCCACTTGGGTCTCGGCGGCTTCTTTCCCAAAGTTGAGAAGGTTGCCGATGCGCAGCACGAGCAACAAGATGTCCTACGTCTTGTGATGCAAGGTAAACGCAAGACTATTAACGTACCCGCAGCTCGGTACTTTCACAGATCTGGTGCACGCAGCGCTGGACCAGGAGGATCGTTTCGCTACAGAAGCATCAGAATCATGGTCGAGGTCCTTGCAGAACGCACTGGAGCTCGTGGCTGCGCGTCGGAAACTCCTGCTTGTACACGAGGCAGTGCATCTTGTCGGTGAAGCGCGGCGTGTCGCGCATCTCGTGGCAAAAGCGCTCGGCCGTTCCGAGCATGTTGACGTCGCCCGGAAACTTGCGGATCGTGTCCATCTCGGTATGGTCTGGCCAGAGATCAATGAGTGCTTTGAGGTGCATGGACGACATGATGGTCGGGTTCATGTCGAGAATCTCCGTCTTGATGCGCCTAGCGTTGTCGCATCAGACAATTTAAGTCGCGTCGACGCAAACACGGACTCGAACGGAATCTTGACGCGCGCGAGGGTGATGGCAATGTTCTGGGACTTCTTCATGTCGAGGAGCGAGATCTTGGACGGCGCGCCGCCGCGGAACGACTCTTGGCGCTGAAAGTTTTTGGGTTTCGGCGCTTCGGCCTCCTTGAGGCTCTTGACAAAGGTCTTCTCGAGGGCTTCGACGCTGGCCGACGAGAGCTTGACTAGAGACAGCAGTACGGTTCCTTGCTCGTGCACGCATGGTTAGAATTCAAATACCTTGGGAGGTTTGCTTCCAAAGCGTCGCGTTGTTGCCCGTGAGGTTGTCCTTGGAGAGGACAAACCAATGGAGCTTCTTCCGGATCGAGTCGGGCTTGGTGAGACGCCGCGCCAAGTTGGCGCCTTGGGCAACCGCCGGCGCCTTCTCGGGGTAGAGCCAATTCGGATCCACGCCGTCCATCTTCATCTTGTGCTGCACCGCGCCTTCGGGCATGCCGCGCTTGAGCATGACCTTGTACTTTTCAATGACCTTGAGCTGGTGCGCGCGAAAGGCGTCGTCGATCTTGTTTTTCGGCACGCTCGGATGCGTCGGGTCGAGGTCGAGGAGCCGAGCAGAGATGCCATCGGCCGACAGCTTGTGCTGAACGACCTCCTTGGGCAGCCCCGTTTTAAGCATCTTGTAGTACATGGCGTACGTCGGGTCTTCGGCGAGCGTCGGCAGCTTGAACGGGAGGTTCGGGTCCATGTCCAGAATGTTGGGATCCACGCTTTCCTGGATCATCTTGTGCTGCACGGCGGGCCGCGGCAGACCGCGCTTGAGCATTAAAAAGTACTTGGAGTATTTTGGGTCCTCGCGCAGGGGCACACCGGCAGATGCCGCGTCGGCTTCGGGCGTTGCTTCCGGCGTGTCACCGCTGGACGACGGCGCATCGGGAGGCGCACGTTTCTTCATCATCTCTGCGAGCATCGCGTTCTTCCCATCGCCTCCCGACGACGGCGCGGCTGGCGGCGCCCGCTTCTTCATCATCTCCTCAAGCATAGCGTTCTTGCCGCCTCCCGATGACGGCGCGGCTGGCGGCGCCCGCTTCTTCATCATCTCCTCAAGCATAGCGTTCTTGCCGCCTCCCGATGACGGCGCGGCTGGCGGTGCCCGCTTCTTCATCATTTCCTCGAGCATGGCATTCTTGCCGCCGCCGTCCGACGACGGTGTGGGTGCGGCGGCCGGTGGCGCCCGCTTCTTCATCATCTCTTCCAGCATGGCATTGCGAGAGGCGGGTGGCGCGGCCGGTGCCTCTTCGACTGGCGCGGCTCGCTTCTTCATCATCTCTTCGAGCATGGCGTTGCGAGAGCAGGGTGGTTCTGCCGGTGCAGGCGGCTCTTCGACCGGCGCGGCTCGCTTCTTCATCATCTCTTCGAGCATGGCGTTCCGAGACGGTGGTGCAGGTGCCTCTTGCACGGGTGCGGCTCGCTTCTTCATCATCTCTTCCAGCATTGCATTGCGTGATGTCGGCGGCGCGACCGGTGCTGGTGCAGGCGGCTCTTCGACTGGCGCGGCTCGCTTCTTCATCATCTCTTCGAGCATCGCATTGCGCGATGACGGCGGCGCTTCCTCAACGACCAGAGGTGGCGCCTCGGTCGTCGGCGCGTCGGATGGCTCGGGCTCGACCGGTCCTGCCCGCTTCTTCATCATCTCTTCCAGCATTGCATTTTTTGGCGCCGGCTTCTTGGGCGAGTCGCCACCCCGCGACGCATTGCGCTTCTTCATCATCTCCTCGAGCATCGCATTGCGGGGCGGCGCATCCGTCGTCGTTGCTTGTCGGCTCTTCATCATCTCTTCAAGCGTCGGGTTCTTGGCCGGCGGCAGACCCTTCTTGCCTTTCTTGGACGGCTTGCGCTTCTGCTGTACCATGTCCTCGAGCGACTTGGGTGGGCCGGGCGGCGGCCGCGTGTCGAGAAATGCATTCTGTCGCTGCATGGGGCCTCGTATCGTGCTGCGTATCGGCGGCGCGTCGTCGTCGTCGTCCGTGACGTGGCCGCCGCGGAGGCGCTCTTCCTCTTCCTGCTTGGCCTCGAGCTCAAGCAAGATCTCGATCGCCGACTTGGCGAGCGGCGTCGCAAACGTGCCATCGTTTATCTCGCCATCGTCCTTCTTGGCCGTCGTCGTCGGGAAGAGCGGCGTCGTGGGCAGGTTGAGCGCGCGCGCAAAGTTGGTCTTCTTGCCCATGCCGCCGCCGAGGAGCGGGTTGGCCTTGCCATTGCTGCGCTTGAGGTCGGCGAGGAACGCCATGCTGCTGCTTGTCTTGGTCTAGTACGAGGAGGAGGAGGATCGTCTTCGTCGTCTCGAGCACGGTCGCATGCACCAAGCGGCGACGGTGATGAGTGGCCCCTCGAGCGGTATAATGCAGGTTCCAGGCGGGCCCATTTCTTTGACAATCCGGATACCGTGCCAGGACGCCGGATACGTTGCCATGAAGTTTCTTTGTAGCAATGGACGGCAGAGGCAGGGTGACACGTCATGACGCGGAGCGCGATCGGCGACTGCCGGCGGTACCTACACTACTGCGCGACGTACTGTAGCCGATCCTCGCAGTCGCCACGTGGATGCGATGTCGTCGATGCTGAAAAGCCTCGATGCGCGGCTGCCGGCGAGGACGAAGACGACGCGACAGGCGGTGACAGCCACCACCTGGGGCCATTGTCTAGGCGTGTAGCATGGCGGTAATGCGGGCACTCGCTCGTACCTCCAGACATTCCTACCGCCGCAATCGAGGTCCAAGGCGCTAGCGTGGCCTAGCACCGCTCGTGCTCAGCAGCAGTACTCGCCGCGCTTGGCTTGGTCGAGTAGCCAGCGCTTGGTCCAGACATGCGTGGGAGCATGCAGCGCAGTCCAACGGTCGACGACGGATGAGGAGCGGCTGCATGGAGCCATCACAGTGCACCTAAATACATGCACGTACGGTATCTCAGTCGCCCTTGCAGCCCAACCGAAACACATAACGAGGTCCTTCTATGTATTGCAGGTTGCAGCGACTACCGACTTGGCTCCTCGAGCGGGGCAAAGTTGGCGATGCGGTGCTTTCGAAGGCACTTGGTGGAGCAGTAGACGAACGCAAACTTGGTAAAGTACTCGCCCACGATCGGCTCGAACGCTGTCTTGCAGATCGAGCAGTCAATGTAGTTCTTCGGAATCTCCGCACTAGGCGGTGGGACGTAGCCGGCGAGCAGCGCCAACGGTTCGTGCAGCAGGACGCGGGCGCGCACATCAGCGGTGGTCAGCGCCCGGGCGGCAAAGCTGGCAAAGATGTGAGTGTACCCGCCGCCGCCGTACCGGGTGTACTGCGTCTTGAAATGAACGGTGCTATTGATCAGAACTTTGGCCGTTGGTACAGCAGCGAGCAGCACGTGAAGGGTGGCCGCAATCTCGCGGTCGCGGGGCACGTAGGCGGCCGGTGGCAGCGTTGCAAAGGGCAGCACCTCGGTCACGGCCTCGAGCCCCGAGAGGTCAAAGCTCAAAACGATCTGCAGCGCCGCGAACTGCGTGAGCATCGACAGTGGCAATAGGTCGCAGTGACAGAGCACGAGCTTGTCGCGACGACCCGTGAACGATATGAGCAGTGCGAGCACTAATCCATTCAAAATCGGTAAAGCCTCGGGCAACCAGAGGTCAACGTGTACCGTCCGCTTCGTAGCCGCATGTCGGGAACGGGTTGAGCTCAAGGTACACGGGCGCGGATGTGGCTAGCTGCGCCTAGACGCCCAACGGATGATGTCGTGAGAGCGGTGGTGTCATCGTGGCACCTGTGCGACGGCTGCCCAGTGCCCGGAATGCACGTTTCGAATGTCGACAACGTGGTAGATGACACTGGCTTGGATGGACGTGTCGTCCATGCCAAACTGGAGCTCGAGCGTTAGCGCCTTGGCGGCAGCGTCGACGGAGGCGTCTTGCGTGGCATCGATCGAGGTCGACGCCAAAACATGCATGTCGAGGCGCTGCGCGAGCGACTGCAAGCGGCGCGGATCACGCAGTGCCTTCGGTTGCAGATCGACGATCGTGTTGCAGCCAACGCTGCGCAGCGCTTCAAGCTCGCGAAAGGCCTTGTCCTCGCTGACCAAGCACGCGTTCTGCGACTCGAGCGGGTGCTCGCGCAGGCGCATGAGATCTTCGGGCGCAATCGCCACGTCGGCGTCGTGTGCTGGCAGCTTCTGCAGCACCCGCTGACAGGCGAGGATCCCGCCGGGCAGGACTTGGCTGGCGTCAATGGGCCCGCGGACCGTCATGATGGTCGTCGTCATGGCCGCTCGTCAACTGCACCATTGGAGCGCTCGCGGATTGGTCGATTTCCGGCCAATCAGCGCACAGGCACGTGGCGCACGCCTGTGTGATTGCGACTCTTTCAGCAACGGCCATTTCTCGCGCTTTCTGCATTTCCCGACGATTGCAATGATAGCTCTCGAATCAGTCGGTGCCACTGTGGTATGGTATGGACGAGAATGCGCTACTGGTCTCGCAGGATCAAGCGTTCTTCATGCGCCTGTCAGAATGGATGACCGTCGAGATGAGCGCTGTGCGGTGAGCCAAGCTTGGAACGATGACGGGTTCGTACCCATCAACATCCCGTTTTGGATTGGGCCGTCAATGTACGAACTGTTGACTTCGAACATCATGGCGTCCGTTGGGCCCCCTCTAGCGTCAACCTGCGCCGAGTCACTTTGTGAAGATGCACTGGATCCGCAAGCTCGGGCCGACGAGGCGATCGCGGGCATCTGACGTGACGACGATCACTGCTGCCAGAACCCTCGACGCGAAGGCGCAGCAAGTCAGCCTGCTCCACGTGCTCTCGCGCATCGCGTCCAACTTGGTCGCGTCCGGCCTCATCGTTCTCTCGATCGTGACGCTCTTCGTGTTGCTCAACGCCGGCCTCTTTGAGCGCCACGACGTCGTCACTGCGCCGCAGCGCAACGACGGCTTCTGGGCCACGTACGGCATGGCCTGCCGTCTCTCAGCGTCGGGGTTTGTGCCAGGGTCGTGCTCGGTCGCCGAGGCCAGCATGACGACGGCGCCGGCGTGGGAGACGATCGGCCAACTGCTTGCGTCGACCTTTGTCGTGCCTGCCAACGAGACGTGGTACCTCACGACGTGCGCAACGGGCCCTCCGCACGTGACCGCGTGGATGTTTGTGAGCTTCTTCGTCTCGTCCATGGCCCACCCCGCGTGCATTCCCGAGAAAGGTCCGCAGCTCATCGACGGCATCGCCGCCCTCGGCACGACGAATCGCCTTCCGCTCTATCCGAAAGGCGCGTACGAGCTCATCGTCCTTGGTGATGACGCGATGCGCGACACGGCGCCGATGACCAACACGGACGGCTCGATCAACACGGTCTTTGTACACTCGTCGCAGTTTCTCATTGGTGTCGACGGCGCCGCGTCACCCGACGAGACGCGCTTGAACATGGAGATTTCATCGCTGCCCTTGTCGGCGGGCGCGGCCGTCGCATCGAATTCGATCTGGTTCTTTGCCGACGCCACGGACCAAATCGCGTCGTCCGGGCTTGCCGGGTGGAGCGTCGGTCGGCGCAGCCAGCGCGCGGTGGTGCCGGCGTCGCAGACCAACCTCGTCGTTGGCAGCTACCACGTGATTGCGGTTGTCCAGTCGTTGCTTGGGTTTGTGTCGCTCGTACTCCTCAGCGGCGACCTCATCATGACGCTCAAGGGCCTCGAAGGCGTCTTGCGGCGAAAACCGGTTTTGACGTACGACCTTGTCGCTGGCCTCGAGCGCCGCCGGCTCCTGCTGGTGGTGCTAACGATGAACGGCGTGCCGTCGCTCGTGTACCTTGAGGTCGCCCGAGCGTTCCACAGCACGCCGACCGCGCCGCAGATTTGGCTCATGGCGAGCACGATGCTTGGTACATTTTGCTCGTATGGCTTTCTTCTGGCGCTATCGCTGCTGCAGCGGCTACCGTCGGGAATGGCTCGCATCGTGCCCTTCTCGGCCACGCTGTTTCTGTACCTCAACACGTTTCTCATCGCGTATTTCGCCAACCAAAAGTTCAAGACCCTCGGCTGGAGCTACAACTGCCAAGCCTACACGCTGCCTTTGGTTGTCAATGGCATCGATCACATTGGCGGCGCGTGCGGCAGCGACCCGATCCCGCCCTCCAGCGCGACTCTCTGGCCCGGCATGCTCTACACGACGCTTGGCACCTTTGCTGCCGCGATCGTCTGGGCCATGCTCCAGCGATTTGCTTTCTATCGGCAGGTAGATACAACATCTCCTCGGTTGGTTGTTTTTAGTACCCACGACTGTAGTGGGTCGTGCCCACGGGCTGGACCAAGGCGAATGGCTTCCTCAAGCACACGCGCCTGCCCAACTTTGTCTCGGGCCTCCCGCTCGGCGCCGAAGCCGCCATCTCGATTGGCAACAAGACGTTCTGCAAGCCGAGCACGCAAGCCGTTCTTGGCTATGCCTCGGTCGTCCAGCGCCCGTCGACCAAAGTCTATGCGACGTCGACGACGGATACGACGTCTGCAGTCGTAAATTCAAAGACCGAGACGCCAGTTGCGTATATCATTAGCACGTACAACCTCGTACCAGTGCTGCTTGGCTGCCTTCGCCCCAAGCCACTCGGCACCATCCAAGGCAACGAGTTCAAGACCGTGGCGCGCTCCGAGGTGCCCCGTGCGCCGGCTCAATACGACTACAGCCGCGGGTACTGCGTCTCGTAGTTCGCCCACTTTCGTAATGACCTTCAGTCGTCATGACCCTTGGCGTTCACATGCATACCGATGCAATCTCTACTCCATTTCTTCCGGACGGATGCAGCTGCCGGGGTGCAGCCATCACGTTCATTGCAGGGCGCGATCGACGCTAGGGCTAGGTTTTCAACCAGGGTTGGGGCTTCGTGCCTGACGAGGATCCTTTGTAGCCTTGGCTGTGCTAGCGGCAACCCTTGGACAGAGGTAGTGAAGCTTCGTGAGGGCACGTCAACTTTCTGACCCAGGTCGCACCAAAACGGTGTGCTAAGACCACTGTATGGACCTGCTGGATCACATGGTGTGCCGGCCCCGTCCTCCTCGTCGCGACTTAAGCCCTCAGACTGGCTACGACGCGAGAGCTGGGACTGAGCAAGACCAACACGAGAGCGTGGGTATACATGCGTTCACACAATCCTTACGTGACGCACGCGCCCCGACTGTACATGAACGTCTTGCGCTCCGTGCTTGTGGCGGCAACCTTGGCGCTTAAGAAGGCATTGGCGACGATCGCACCAATGGGGCGCGGCCGAAGCCAGCCGAGGAGCACGGGCACAAGCGCGTATGTGCTAATGATGACGGTGATCGACGTGGCCTCGGACGCCTTTCGGGTGCCGTTGGTCGACGGCACGACGCTCGTGTTGCTGCTGCGCTTGGAGAAGAAGCCGCTTTGGTGCCCGTCGACTGCTTCCACGATCGATGCGTAGCCCATGACGGCCTGCACGCTTGGCTTCAGAAACGACTTGTGCCCGATGCGAATCGTCGTTTCAGGACCGAGCGGTAAGCTCGTCAGAAAGTGCGGCAGCCGCCGCCCGCGCAAGAAGCTATTGTTGGCGGTCCACGCCATGGGAATGAGCCACTACAACGTTATCAGCACCCACCCATCGCTTCAAATCAAGGCGCGAACCTTGCGGCACGTATAGTAGCGCTGCAAAAGGCCATAGACGATCGCAACGCCGAACGCGATGGCTGTCGGAAGCAGCATGGACGGCAGCAAGAGCTCGCCCACCGACGTGACGGCTTCGGCGATATACGCACCGGATGGGCGGTCCGTACCGTTGATGTTGAGCCCGAGGCTCCACGGTCCTTCCAAGAACGCGTTGCTGACGTCGGCGTAGCGCAAATGACAGCTCAGAACGACGCCAACGGTCGTTCCAAAGAGGAAGACGGGTGTCGAGAACGGTAGCACGTGCTTGAACGGCGACGGAATGTACTGCAACGCGGTAATGCCCAGCAGCGTCATAAACGTCATGAGGTTTCCGAGGAGCACGAGGGAGAGGAGCCAAATCTCGTCCCCGTTGGCCGTGCCATAGTAGACGCGGGCGACGTCGGCGTAGAGCAAGCACGGCGCAGCGTTGAGCGACCAGAGCACCAAGACGAGCTTGCGCCGCTCGAGACCCAAAAGAAGGTCGTACGTCAAGACGGGCTGCCGGCGGAGGACGCCGGCGAGGCCTTTCCACGTCATGACCACGTCACCGCTCAGAAAGAGCAGCGAGAGCCCCGTGATAACGCCTTGGAAGATGACAATGTCCATGTAGTTGGCGACGACCGACGCCGCCGACGTTGCAATCACAATGACCTTGCCGTTGACGCGGCCGACGCTCCAGCCGGGCGTCGACGGCGGGTTGGCGGTCATGTCGACGAAGAACGTGGCGTCCGTCGTCTTGACCGTGTAGCGCGGCCCAAGCGGCGCCGACACGATCACTGACTTGCCGCCGCCCCACGACGTTGCCGGCACCGAGCCGTTGACGCCGATGAGAAACTGCGTCGTGTTGGCGAAGAGCCGCACAGACGTGCCGTCCGAGTTGGTCGCCGCCGTGACGCTCGACCGATTCATCGTGTCACCATAGAGCGTGAGCTCGTACGCGCTGTACGGTGCATCGACCGTGCTGGTGGTCGTGAGCATGGCCATGCCGTCAATGAGCTGCGATCCGTTGGTCGGCACGCAGCTCGGAAACCCCGTCGAGGACGCGAGCAGCACGACATAGACCCAGCCCTTGTGGCGCGGCCCGACCGCGCACGTGGATATGTACCATGACGAGGACGGCAGCCATGAGATCGCGAGGACCGACCCGACGCGGCGCCACGCATCCGGCGACGTCGTGTTGCCCTCGAGTGCGGAGCAGCTGTTGCGGACAAAGCCGCGCCGCGTCAGCATGCACGACTGCCCGAGCGGGGCCCAGTAGTCGGCGGTCTGCGGCGACGTCATGACAACGTGGCGATCAAAGAGGCCTTTGGTTAAGAGCACGGCGAGCGTGAGGAGTGAGACGAGGAGAAGCGCGCCAGCGACGAGGTTGGAGCCAATGCGACTGGCAACGAGGCACAGGCTCACCTGCGCCTTCGCGTCCAGCGTCTTCTTGGTGATCGGCGCTGAGCTCCGGCGCGAGTTGCCCGACGAGGCGCCTGCCATCCTTTAGCTCGACGGCAAATGATCGACGAAGGTCATGCAGCGGCCGCGAAAAACGACTTTGACGTTTCAACGCCGGCTCCGTCCGATGCATCAGTAGATCGCGTGTTCGATTGGATCGTCGCGACTCGAAGAATACAGTGCCCGAGGACTCGATCAAACGCACGGCCTTTCTGCAGCACCACGATCCTGCTCTTGGTCATTGGTCGACGGGCCTTTCTGATCAGTTACCAGGTGGGTGGAGGCTGGGGCTGCGAGCTGTGGCTGGGTCGTTTCTGCATATTGCGGGCTTGCATTGCCATCGCAAGGAGTTAACGTTATGAGGGATACTACATGTAGTCGTACGATGGACGCGATGAACGCCCGCGGTGTTGTCGCCGAGGTCAGCAGAGGAAGAGGCGCGTCACGGCAGCGACCGGCGGCGCGTAGACTAGCACAACGTCAGCGTCGCGCTCGTCGTCGAAGAGCTCGTCGTCCGGCGTCGATGACAGGTCGATGAGCTCCACGGAGCGCACCTGGCGCTCTCGCCACTCGGCGATGGCCACCGCGAGGTCGTTGGGCTCCTCGGGCGCGGCAAGCTGCGACCGACCGCTGCGGGCGCGCGCCGGCTTGCGTTTTGCTGCCTTATGCTTGCGCCCGCGCTTCTCCAGCTTCAGCGTCGCCTTGGTTCGTGCCATGACCAAGATCGCCACTGCGGTTCAGTCAATAACCCAACGCTATGAAAAACGGGCCAATCGGAGCACGGCCTCGAGCGTCGGCCAATCAAAACGTGCATACGTGGCTGCTTGGTCGGCGACTGTGGCGCTGTGGCCAAGGTCGTCATGCAACCTCCCGCCGTTGGACGATCGATGGGAGTGCGCGCATTTGAAATGCAAGGCGCGCCCTATGCTCGCCCATGGGCCCGAGCCCGTGACGTGTCCAGAACGCAGCCCACGGTGTCTGGCAAGAGTGACGATCGGACCAGCCTCGAGATCACGATCTCAGCTTTATTCTTCTGTCTTGGTATTCTGCCTTGGTTCTGCTGTCGCCCGTCGCTTCTTCTCGCCCCAGAGAACGGTCCAGTTGGAGGAAGAGCCACGCCAACGATCACGTTGCGTGGACTTGTGCTCAGCCAGTGGCGTCCTCGGAACTATCCAGTGGGCCGACACGTCGTGGACCTCATCCATGTCCCCACGCTTCGCCTCGGCAGTCACTTGGAGCTGACGGACGCGTTGGCGTGTGACATGGAGCAGGCAAGTGACCCAATTGTCGCCGCTCGGACACAGTACCGTACCGTACACGAGTACTAACACACGTTGGGAAGGGCCAAGCAGCCTGGGCCGCAGACCACACCAAGGCCATAAATTTACCAAAATGTATGGCCTTGACCACGCCACATTCATGGGCCTCGTTGAGCTAGGTCATTATCACTACCAGTATTTCTACGGTAGGTAGATACCACACAACGGTCCCTTCTGTCCCATATCTCTCTCGCATCCATCCAGCATGCCAGATCGTTCGAACAAGATCGCGCGTCGCTGCAGCACGTTCCGATTCCAAGCCGGCAACGGTAGTCGGTTGGCCGTTCTTTCTGCGGTTCATGGAACCAACGAATCTTGGTTTCCGACTCGACGATGCGCCGCTTCCCATCCTCTGCGAGAGGTTGCGGCCGCAGTACTAGGACGTGGTCCCTCCCTCCACGGACAGAACGACAACATTATTGTCTCTTTACATATATTTGATTTCTTCAAGTCCACGGGCTTGGTACCAACTATTTCCACTTTGCAACGGCGCCATCTGGGGGAATCTGAACGGCTCTCAGCGCTTGCGCCGTGTGACGTTGCGAAATATTCAAGCGCCACGTGGATAGCGGGCAGCTTGCAGTAACACCCAGGAATTGACCACGGAGGATATTGTGGTCTGGCATGATGCGTCTGCTGCCAACGACTGTACAACCAGCAGCGCATCGCGCATACGTGGGAGGCGAAGGCAGCAGCCAGCATCACGTTCTGCAGGTCGTGACTTCAACTTGAAGTTGCTCGCACCTGAGAAGACGACGAGCCAGAATCTTCGTCGGCCGTTGGTCGTCGTTGGCTGGCGGTTGGCCGCTTGTCTGTGCTGCGAGGAGGCATATCCTCTGCGAAGAAGCATTGCGCTGCGACGCCAACCACATGCGCTCAGTTGTCGCGCTGGACTGCTTGCGTCACCGCGGCGCCGGATCGACATCCCCAGATTCTGCCCATCAGATGTGGTGCCATGTTGCACTGCCCCGAGAAAAACACTGCATTTGCACCAATCATCGATCCATACTGTGCAGAGCGTCCGTTTCATTGGCTAAAATAAAAACCGGCTGCGCTTTCTGGTGAAACTCACGTCCGTTCGAAATATTTTCATTTCCACATTTCCACCACCATGGCCACGACGTCGTCGCCGATGCTCCAGGTCACGGCCGTCGCCGCAGCCTCGATGGCTGTCGTGGCCTGCAGCATGCTTCTGCGCCGCCTCAGCTTCCGCGAGACGAGCCCGCGCCCGATGCGCCTCACGGCCACCAATGCGCCGGCGGCCATGACCCGCCCGGCGTACAAGCGCCCGCTCCGCAACAAGCCACTGCCGCTGCCCGCCGTGCGCGAAGACGCGGAAGAGACGTGCGAGACGCTCAGCGACAGCAATAGTAGCAACGCCAGCCCTCGTACCGCGCGCCGCCGACCGCGCATCCAAACCGTCAAGCACGCGTGGCGCGCGATCCAGTCGGTGGGCGAGGCGTACCTCTATACAGGCCGCGGGCGACGGGAGCTCGAGGCCGCGATGAACTTTGTTGTGACCGGGGCGACGCAGCAACTCGGCCTCGACTCGCTCTCGCAGCTCTTCACCAAGCACCCGACGGCCGCCGCGCTCTTGTACGACCATGTGGATGTGATCCAAAGTACAGCGCATGCACGTGGCGACGTGGTCCTGAGTCGACTCGCGGGCGGCCTTATCGGCGTCTTGCAGCAACTGGACGCTGCGGTCGACGCGCCGTCCACGTACACGCTGCTCTAAACTGCGACGTCCCTCAACTTCTTCAACTGCTACGCGCCTCGACGCAGCGTACACCACTGCTATCCAGTACACTCACTATCTATTTAATCCCATGTTCTATCCTATCGAGTGTCCTTCAATACTAGATCAAGAGGCGACTGGAATGCGAGCAAGGATCGACCGGCAATGGGTGCAGCGAATCTTCCGAGCGGCCTCGTCAGGCAGCGACAACTTTGACGTCATGACCCCCTACCCCTACGCTGGCGCGTGAGTCACGGATGGTTGTCATCTGGTTCAGCGTCCAAGCGCTGCTGAATTCTGGTACCGTCCACCAAGTGTTGTCTGGTTGTATTACGATCCAGAATCTGGCGGCGAATCATAGCGCAGCACGTCGATACAAGTCATCGCCTGCGTCGACACTGCGCCCCTTTTATACTCGCGCGCTGTCAGCTGTCGTCAAGGCGACGTGACAGGGTCACGCTGGGACGCCAGCGAAGCGCTCATAGCCTAGCTTGTTTGCAGCTTACTTGGTCCAGTTTAAGAACACCTTCCCGAGAGCTATCCAAGCACTTGAAGCGAGCACTCTGCATGGATAGTAGCGGTGACAAGGCCCACCATCCGACCGACCGTAGCTCGTGCCGGACTGCAAACCAGTTTCGAACTCGAGTTGCTGCTGGAGAAATGTACGGGATCCACCACACCAACCAAGTGACTGAAGCAGTCATATCGCATGTTCTCCGCCGTCGGAGCATGACAACGCCAAGGGTTGAGCAACCAGCGTCGCATTCAATTAAGCGCGCCGACAGCGTCGACCATCGATCGAGAATAATCGTCGTGGCTTGGTCGCATCCGCGGCTATGGGACGCCCAACGGCATTTATCGCATCCAGATGCTTCTCTCGATGGCAGCCTCGTTGTTGCTCCGTCGAAGCATGCAGCATGCGCCGTCGCGGCTACTGCCCTTCTCGACACCCGTGACGAGCAGCAGCATCGCCAGTTGCTTGCATGTTTAGTTTTGAGTTTGCGACGGTCAGCAACGCGCCTGACGCTGGTGCGTGCAACCTCCCACTTCAACAGTGACGATGAAGACCGTGTCGCCACTGCTTGTTTGCGACATCGTGCTATACTACTCCGTACTTTGAGGAACGAGCAGCTAGACATTCGGAGGCGGCGAGTCCTCAATAGAGCCAAGCGTGTTGGATACCAAACAAATGCTCCAATGAGTGTCGCTAGCTACACTGTGGTGGAGCAGTGGGTGGCCGCCGGACCATTCCATCAAAATGTACAAAGGCCCAAATTACCACCGGTATATCTAGAGAAGAACACTGCTTCTTGTGCGTTGCCGATCCTACAAGGCTGTGCAACCGACGTGATCTATAGGCTATCAATGGCCGCCTCGGGTTAAGGAACCTGTGCTTGTTGGTAGATAATTCAAATCCTTTGACCTAGCAGGATATTTATTCCCTATACTCTACAGACATGGCGAGCGTTCTGTCAGTGGCAACGCGTGAGCGTCGACGGTGACGGCAATTGTGTCGCCTCCAGGGTGCGCCGATTCATGCAGCTAAGTACACATTAAGATGGACAACTTGACAACTCGATCGTTCGACGTCGGGTGCAAGGTATACGCGCTATGTCGGTGGCTCGAAGACACTGGCCAGATACCAGACGAGGCACTACCGACTTGGTACGCCCCTCTGGAAGCGCTTGACCAAGCGACCCTTGGGCTTGACTCAACGCCGCAACGTGATGTTATTCAATTTGACACATAAACACGAGATTTTCGAACGACTTGCGACCTGATAGCAATCCGACATACTGGTGTTGTGCCGTTGACTCGTCCACTACTACTGGCGGCGTTTCATCATCGTCGAACGATCTTCGCTCAGACGCACTTCGTCACATTATCTTGGCCCATGCACCTACACGCAGTGATTGCATCGGCGGGCTCTCGGCTCGGGTCACGCGCCAGCAGTAGCGTCTTCCGCCCGTCCACCGTCTTGGACACCCGCGCGCAGGCGAGCACTTTTGTTGTCTTTGGCCGCATCGCCTCCAACCTCGTCGCCGGTGGTCTCATCTTTCTCTCGCTCGCAACGCTCCTCGCACTCCTCGCCCAAGGCATGTTTGACCGACACGTCGTCCTCACCTCACCACCGTCGATCGACAACTACTGGCACGACTATGGCCGCAACTGCCGCCTCGACTTCAATGGCTTTGTCAACGGCTCGTGCGCCGAGATGGAGATGGCGACGACGACGCCAGCCGCGTGGGCCGCACTCGGACGTCAGCTGGCGCTGCACTGGGACGTCCCGCCCGCGAGTGACCCGTGGTTTGTGACGACATGCAATGTCGGGCCACCGGGCATCCAGTGGGTCTTCCTCGTCTTCCTCGGATCGTCGACATCGCACCCCCTCTGCGTCCCAACAGCAGGCGCCCAAACCATCGACGGCATAGCCAAGCTCGAGACGACGAATCGCGACGCCTACCCACTGGGCATCTACGAGCTCTCGGTGCTAAGCGACGTGGCGATGGTGACGCCGTCCGTGGTGCACGCCAACACGGACGGCTCGAGCGTGCGACGGCTCGCCGGCATGGCGCAGGTGCTCGTGGCTACAGACGGCTCGTCACTGGTCGACGACACCGGCGTCAACACGGTGGTGACGTCGCATCCCCTCGGGCCTCGGTATGCCGTGTCCACCTACTGTCAATCGCTCTTTGTGGACGGTGGTGGCACCATCGACACCGCCGGGTGGAGCGTCGGACGTCGCAGCGGCAAAGTCCCTGTTGTCGCCACCAACGCCGTCACAGTTGTTGCCAACTACATCGAGCTCAGCGCGTGGCAAGCGGTGCTTGTTGTGGCTGCGCTCGGGCTCCTTAGCGGGGACGTTGTCATGACGTTCAAGGGTCTTGAAGGCGTGCTTCTGCGCAAGCCCGTCTTGACGTACGACGTGCTCAGCGGCCTCGAGGCGCGGCAGCTCGTTCTGGTGCTCTTGACGCTCAACGCGGCGCCGTCGCTCTTGTACGCAGATGTCGCCCGCATCTACTATGGGACGCCCAGTGCCAATCGCATCTGGCTCCTCTCGAACGTGCTGCTTGCTACGTTCGCTATCTATGTGGCGCTGCTCTGCGTGGTCGGGCTGCAGCGTTTCCCAGTGCCGTTGCCGCGCCTCCTCCCGTTTTCCAGCCGGCTCTTTGTCTATAGCAGCATTGGAAGCATTGTCTACTGCACCCACGGACAGTTTGTCCATGTCAGCAACGCATTCTACGCGGGTGCATGGCACCTCCCGCTCACGATCGACGGCGTTGACCGCCCGGCCGGTGCGTACAACACAGCCAACGTCGCGTGCATCGGGTCTCTTCTACTCCCCTGGCTCGTTTATCCGGTCGCGAGCTGCTTGGCCTTTTCATTTTGTCGGCGATGGGTTACCGCTACCTCCACTACCGTCAAGTACGTATTATTACCATTAGACCGACGTGTGACGCGTCGATATAGTGGGCTCTCGATACTGCGTGGACGCAGCGCAATGCGCTGCTATCGACAACACGCCTTCCGCGGCTACTCACGAGTCTGCCGCTGGGCGAAGAGACGGCGATCAGCATCGGCAACAAGGTCTTCTGCAAGCCGAGCACGCAAGCTGTCCTCGGCTTTGCCACGGTCGTCGAGCACACAACCAGCCGTGTCCAGGTCGCGCTTGATGTCTGCCCAACATCAGGCGGCAAAGAAGGCGACAAGTGCTTTGCGAAGCCAAAGCTCCATCGGACGACACCGCTCATGCTCGTAGTGTCGACGTACGCGTTGGTGCCGATCCTTCTCGGCTGCCTTCGCCCGTCCTCGCCCAAAGGCACGATCACGGGCAACGAATTCACAGCGCTGACGGCACCCGCATCGACGGCCACGCTACGCAAGCTCGTCGGCAACAAAAAGTTTGTGCACAACCGCGGCGTTTGCTTGGCCTGACAACTTGATCCATGGAATCGTAACCGGACGCGTAACCGTAAAAAGTGCAATCTCAACAATTCGATTTTCAGGTGTATGGACGAGCGAGCAACGAAGCGCGCCAAGCCGACGCCGACGTCGATGGCGTTCCGCTTGACATCGCTCGCAAGCCCAGCACGCGGCGCCAACGGTACGACACACGCGGTCTCGCGGCCTGGAGCCATGAGCAATGGTAGACGACTGCATTGGGCTGCGCGACCTACTCGCCGGCGCCTTTACGCACGCCATCTTGACCAACTACAAGGTCGACGTGCCGTGGCTCCTTAACCAGTCGTCGCAGCTCACTTCCGTGCCCGTGCTACTATGCCATGGCAGCGACCAGGCCACGTAGGTGCCCTAGAACCGGGGCCTTCTCAGGATACGACGTAGCCTGCGCGCCGCCTGCGCCGCGTACACCAACATTCAAGTGGTCGCGCCGCCGCTTCCGATCCCGTATGGCACCCACCACACCAAGATGATGGTAAACTACTGCGTGTGCTGGATGCGTCTCATGACGATCAGGTGCTCTTTTATGCGACGTCTGTTCGCGTTGCGATCTTCACCGCCAACTTTGTCGCGTCCGATTGGGACGCCAAGACGCAAGGTGTCTGGTACCAGGACTTTCCACTGCGCTCGACAACAGCAACGGAGTCCACGACAGACTTTGAGAAGGAGCTGAGGCAGTACCTCTCGGCACTGCACGCGTCCGTGGCGACCATGGCCGCCGAGAAGCTACCGCTCTACGACTTTGACGCTGCCAGCGTGACACTCATTGCGTCGGTGCCAGGCGTCTACACGGCACCAAACGGTACCGACGCCTTTTGTTGTTGGTGATCGTTTGGATTTACATACAGCCGGATGGCAGATATGGCACGATATGGCCATCTTCGCCTGCGCAAGTACGGTTTTGTCGCGTCTGGCGCATGGATTCCGCTCAAACGTGGATGCTTCTAGGGTGCTGCGAGACCACGGTGTCGCCGTCGCGCCGTCCCAGCCCATTGTGGCACAGGCAGGCTCTCGCTATCCTCGTATATGTGGTGCCGACGATGCGCCTAGTTTTCAAGCCTGGGGTCCCTAACGGAAGCGTGGCTGCGCGACTTTTTGGCGAGTTTTTCGCTGGCGCCACCGTCACCGTTGCCAGCGCCACGGGGCTTTCACATTGTCTGGCCGTCCGTCGCCGCAGTGGTACTCCTTTCTCTCTCGCTTTGCGCCCTGCATGCTTGGCCCGTAGCGGGGCTCGATCGAGGGCTATGCCGCCGGCCGGTCTCTGCCGTGTCCGTTGAAGAATCTCAAGCCGTTCTTGCACCGCTACCTACGCACGTGGGACCCACCCGAGTTGCTCCAGCGCACACGCGTCATGCCGCACATCAAGGTACCATTTTTCTCCGTGTACACGTCGTCTCGGATGAGACTAGACGTTTGCGCGCATCGGAGTCGACGGAACCTTGGATTTTGCGCTCTTGACGAGCGCCAATCTCAGCCAAGCTGCCTGGGGCAGCTACCAAAAGCAAAAGTCGCAGTTTATGATCCGGTCGTATGAGCTTGGCGTGCTCTTTCTGCCGACACCGTCGCAGCGCCTCGTGTGGTCGGGCGCGAGAACCACCGACAACGACGACGACGACGACGCGTCTCGTCTGCGCTGCCCGCTTCCGTACAAGTGGCCGCCAACAACGTACAATACGCGACAGGACGAGCCGTGGTCGTGGGATCAAACGCGCGACGAGGTCGATGACTTTGGCGAGACGTACCTTCCATGAGCCCGCCCGTACTGAGAAAACGGTTAGCTAAAGACCAAGTGCAATGTGGCGATCGTTCCGTGGAGCCCGGAGAGGCTGCCACGTCATGAAACAAGAACTTATCTCGATCGGAATAGATAGTTTAGAAACGACTAGGGGATGGATGGATGAAGCGGCGATACATCGACGCGGGACCGCGAGTAGGCTGTCGTGGCACTTAAGTCGACCTCGAATGCTTCGAGGAGGTGCAGGTGCTGGGCGTACGCACGGAGCCAGACGCCCGAGATGCAGCTCTGCACGTCGTCGCCAAACAGTTGCACAAAGGCGCGGACGTCGGTGGCATCGAGCGCCTGTGGCATCCACGCGACGAGCTTGGCGACGACGACACCGGCAGGCTCGGTCACGCTCAGATCGGCAAAGAGGCGAGCGATCGCAAGGCGTTCGTCGTCGGCGTTGGTGACGTGCCGGTTCACGTCCGCGATCGCCTCTTCTTCGTCCCATAGCGTCATTTCCAGCTCGTTGAGAAACTCGAGAACCTTCTCGCCGTAGAGCGCGATGGGCTTGGCGTGCATGAACCGGATCGACTCGTTGTAGAGCGAGTTGGCGCGGCCGTACTGCGTCGAGACAGTGAGTTGTCGATTACAGGTGGCGCTTTTGAGGCGCAGAAAACGCTGCTTGAGCTGCTGCAAGAGCTCAATGTGCACGAAGAAGCCGTCGAGCCACGTCGCGAACGCCTTGCACTCGTCGCTCGTCGCATACAAGAGCTCGCCCGAGAGGATGATCTTGCGCGCTTGCATCATGTCCACATAGAACGACGCGTTGAGGAGCCGGTACCCGAGCTCGTTCCACTGAACGCGGAGCGAGTGCTCGGCCCAGTGCCGTGGCAGCCGCCATGTCGTGTCGCTACTACTGTCAACGGTGTTCATGGCCGGCTCGTCGGTGACGTGTAGAAATTGCAGCACCGACGTGAGGAAGCCCGTGGCTTTCGGCGCGGTCTGCTCATCGTCGTGGGCGCGAAGCCATGCGATCGTGTTGAGGACGCCAGCATCGCGCGCACTCTCTTGATGGGCTTCGATCTTGAGCCGCACCGCGTGCAGCTGGTCTTGGGTCACCGTGCTTCCCCGTCGCCGTCGAACGGGGCTCGCTACGATCGGCGAATTGGACCCGGTTGTCGGCGGCGACTGGTCGTAGAACCACTGGAGGCTCTGAAGCAAGTCTCTCCCGGTCAGCGTCGTCGTGAGCTTCATGCGGCGAGATGTGTACTGTGTACTACGACGAGGAGGCCACAGCCAAGACAAGGCGTGTGTCTATGTCGCTGGGCCCAAAGACAGAACGTGGCAGCCCGTGCGACCTTCTTTGCAGCGGCTTGAAGACAACTCTTTGCAATAGTATCTTGCACCTTGTCCGATGTACCCAGCACTGGCACTGTGGTTCTTGCATCCCTCGACCGTGCACCGGCCATGATTGGAGATGGGCAGCGCCGAACTCGGGTATAGCCTCCGCATGCCAGGAGCGCGCGTCCACCAACGGCTCCTCTGTTCTACACGATGGATTTGTATGTCAGGCGACGATCGCGCTTTTAGGTGCGCGCTTTTCAAGTTCACTTTGCCTGTCACATGGCACACATGGCGATTTCACATTTCACTTGCCTTCGTGACTCGACACCATGCTCCCGACGCACGTGCAAGACACGATCGATGCGACGCCGGACGCGACCGCCATCTACGTCTTCAACCTCGCGGAGGTACCGCGCCTCATGACCGAGTGGCGCGCCGCCTTTCCCAATATCCGCCCTTTCTACGCGGTCAAGTGCAACTCGGACCGCCGCCTCGTCTCGGCGCTGCACGCGCTGGGTGTCGGGTACGACTGTGCGTCACCTGCGGAGATTGCGCTCGTCCAGTCGCTCGGTGCGTCGCCGAACGACATTTTGTACGCCAACCCGATGAAGCGCGAAGTCGACATTCGCACTGCGACGCACGCAGGTGTCGCGCAAATGAGCTTTGACAGCATCGACGAGCTCCACAAGATCAAGGCGCACGCTGCGACCGGTGACGTCAACCTCTCGCTGCGCCTCAAGTGCGGTGACGACAATGCGCTGCTTCGCATGGGCGACAAGTTTGGTGCGGATGCCGCCGACTGGCCGGCGCTCTTGGCCGAAGCCAAGGCACTGGCGCTGCCCGTGCGCGGTATCTGCTTCCACCTCGGGTCCGGCTGCATGAATCCGAGTGCATATGCCCAAGCCATTTCGCAAGCCGCCGACTGCATTCGCATGGCGAGCTCCGAGTATGGCTTTTGCATTGATACGCTCAACATTGGCGGCGGGTTCGCATCGCCCTTGCACGCCGGCGTCGTATCGGCCATCAACGAAGCGGTGCGAGCGTGCTTTGGCCCGACGCCGACGCTGCGCGTGATCGCCGAGCCCGGGCGGTTCTTCGCCGAGACCGTGTGCACGCTGCATTTGCGCATTCTCGGCAAGCGCGTGCGCTCGTCCAGTCGCGTCATCGACTACTTCGTGCACGAGAGCATCCACGGCTCGTTCTTCTTTGCGCCCTTCGGCAAGCTCAACCCGACGCTCGACGAGGACGAAGAAGAAGAGACTTTTCAAAGCCATGTGTATGGCGACACGTGCCACGGCGGCGACGTGCTCTCCAAGAACCTCATGATGCGAGAGCGCAGCGTCGGCGACTGGCTGCAGTACCAGCGCATGGGCGCCTACACGCATGTCTTTGCGACGACCTTCAACGGCATGGACTTTGCCAAGTGCCTCACGACGCTCTACCTCCCGTCGCCGTAGACTAGATGTAGCAGTTCACAGGCAACAGATGTGATGTACACGTGTTGTATGAGACGTGGGAGGTGCGAGCCATCCCGTGGGTGTTCGGACGACGCGACCATCAACGGCACTATTATAATAGCAGCAACACGTCAACAACCCTTGCGCGCACTCGAGTATCCCACGCAAACACTTGAAACATCGATAGATAGATCAATAGATAGATCAATAGATAGATCGATAGATAGATCGATAGATAGATGCAGTACAATGTTGCGTGCATGAACGCAAAACACAGGTCGTCTCGCCCTCGCCCTCGCCGCGTTGCGTCTACCCTAGCCCTGCCCTACCCCACGTGGCGAGTTCCTTCGCATCGGGTGTTCCCGAGTCCATTGCTCTCTACTCGATCCGCCCGAAGGCGAGTCGATCTACGAGACACACACCTCAAATCGCGATAAATAAGTTACAGCCAAACACGCTATGTCGACGACGTTGGCTCGGGCTTGGTGTCGGCGGCGCGCATTTGGTGCTGCTGCACGAGGCGTCGGATTTCCGTGCACCGGGGCACCTTGCACTCGTTGAGGGGCTTGGTGCACTGCTTGGCGTGGGCCGAGAGCAGCCCGACGATGCGCTTGCAGAGCTGGCACGGCCCGAGCTTGCGCGCCTCGCACGTCGCGCCGTGCTTGAGCATCGCGCGCATCCGGTTGCAGTTGACGTACGTGCACGCGTCGCCCACTTGGCACAAGCTCGCGTGCTCGAGCTGCACGAGCAGCTGCGGGTCGACGATGCGTTGCTGCTGCTGCTGCTGCTGTGGCTGTGGTGGCGGAGTCGCGGCCGGCGCTGCCACGGGCTCGACCTTGGGCACGACCGGTGCCGCATCGGGCGTCGGCATCGCCACTACCACGGGCGGCGGCTCTGTCTTGGTCATCTTCTTCAAACTGCCCTTGCCCTTCTTGGCCGCGGGCTGCTTCTTCTGCTTCTTTTTCTGCTGCAACGGCGCTGGCGCAGGCAGCGCGTTGAGCGCGTCCGTTTCGGCCGACGTCTTGTACTTGGGCTGCGGAATCGACACGATGTGGAACGCATGGAGCGGGTGTTCGTGCTTGGTCTTGCCGCGGCAGCCGTCGCACAGGTTAAAGTTGAGGCAAATCGAGCAGTTCCAGCGGTGGCCGCTCGTTAGCGTCATCGCGCACTTGGCGCACGAAAACGTAAAGCCCGTCGTGCCTTGGTTGAAGAGATGGTACAAGACCATCATGCTCGAGTGTTTGGACCGACGCACTTGGTCAAACTGGCAATGGTTGTTCTGGCAGTACATGAGGAAGGCCTCGCGCGTGTCAAAGATCTCGCACGGCATGAGCGCATCTTCGTCGGGCTCGAGCGCCAGCTCGGCCATCGGGTGGTCGGCACCGCTCTCTTGATCGGCGAGGAGCGAGCTAGCGACACACGAGAGCGAGAGTTCAAACTTGAGGTCCTGCACCTCGACCGCACAGTTGTTGTAGTTGTACGTCGCGGGGTCCGACGTCGACGCGCTCACGGTGGCGTAGAGCTCTTGGGCCTTCTTGGCGCCGGCAGCCGCCGCCTCGACGCGCGCGAGGAGGCTCGTTTTCGAGCTCTCGTAGCACGGCGCGCAGTAGTAGTGCGAATAGTGCCGGGGCACCATCGACGACTTGAGCTGCGCCGACTTGGCCTTCTTCAGTCCCTCAATGACATTGTCGACGCCGTCCGACGGCGCCAGCGTCTTGAGGGCCCAAAACGTCTTGTTGATCACCGACGACGTGCACTTGTGGCAGCGCGGATGCAAGTCGACGACAAAGAAATCTTCCTTCTGCGGCTCGAGGATCGCCTTGAGCTTTTGCATGATCGGGTCGTTGTTCACTTCGCCTTTGGTCTTGATCGGCTTGGCGACGGCAGTGCTGCTCGTGGCCGTTGTGGCCGCGTCGCTGTGCGTCTCTGTCGGTGTCGACGTCGTCGTCGGTGGCGACGCCGACGGCGCCGGCTCGTCCGTCTTGCGCGACGCTTTCCCGGCTGTCTTTCCATTGCCCTTGCCGCTCGCCTTGTCCTCGACTTGCTTGATGAGGTCTTCGGCGAGCCGCGGCCAATAGTCGCCTTCAAAGTACGGCAATTCAAGCGCCGTCTTCTTCTTCACATAGTACTCGGCGTAGAGGTTCGAGATGTTGTACACCAACCCTTCCTTCTTGGCGCCTTGGAGCAGCTTCGAGTACCACGACCGGAGCCGCGCTGCTTTCGGGATTTTTTGGTTCTCGGGCTTGCAAAAGAAGATGTAGTCGTCGCCCTTGAGCGGCGGGCACGACCAAATGTGCGCCGTGTGGTACCCGCGCATCTTGGCGTCGTCGAGGAACCCGAGGATCACTTGCTGGTGCATGAGGACGCGGAATTTCTTGGGCTGAAAGTACGCGACCGAGTCCAAATACGAAATATAGACGCGGCCGCGGTTGGGCTCGGCGCACTGCTCGCCATACTCTTGCACGTACAAGGTAAAGATGAGCACGTCGACGCCGTCGAGCTCTTGAAAGACGCAAATGCAGCGCGACCGGTACGTCAACTCAAACTTGTCGGCCTTCTTCAGCACCTTCTTCGCCTTGTTGGTCTCGTCGAGCTTGGCCTTCTTGGCCGACGCACTCTCGCTCGCGTTCTTGCTGCGCTTGCTGCCGCTCGCCTCGTTCGCCTTGGGCGACGTCTTGAGCGCAAACATCTTGGCCATGCGCGGCTTCATCTGCACCTGCTTGTCGACCGAGAGCACCTCGCGGATCGTGATCGCAAACGACGGCGCCGGCGTCTCCGACTTGGGATGCAGCGCGCTGCTGCCGTCACTCTCAATGTTGCCGAGCGACCCGAGCCGCGACATTTCCTCGTCTTGGGCCTTGGCCAGCGCGTCGACGACACGCTTCTCAATCCGCGTCGCCATGCGCGTCGCGGGGAGCCGGCTCGCCTGGAGCGGCTGCTTGGTCGACGGCGGCGCGCCTTGCTGCCGCTGCTTCTTGGTACAGAACGGACACACAAACGGCTCTTGCTCGCCCGAGATTGCATGGTTGCGCTCGTTGAAGAGACCGCAGATCTGGTGGTACCACAGCTTGCAGCTGTCGCACTCGACCCACGGCTCCTCGGCGACCTCGCTGTTCTTCTTCTTGAGCAAGTGCGCTTTGAGAAGGACCGTTTTGAGCGGCTCTTCACCCGTCGCGTTGGTCGACGCGGGCAGCAAGCTCATGTCCAGCGGCCCGTCCTTCATCTGCTTGTAGCAGCCCGAGCACCAATGGTACTCGCCGCGCGGATCGCTGTAGTAGTGCGTATGCCGCCGAATGCGCCCGGCACACGGACCCGAGCAAAAGAGCATGCATGGCGCAAACTTGAACGAGTCGCCGCCGCACAGCTGGCACATTTCTTCGCGCCGCAGCTCGCAGCGCTTGTTGAGCTCGTCCTCGAGCAGCGTCTTGAGCGCTGAGAGGTCCTTCTCAAACTGCGCCAAGAGCGCCTTGGCCGCAATGTTGAACTTGTTGGTGCTGCTGTTGTACGCGATGCAGTTTCAAACGTCAAGCGCACGTCGGACGCAAACGAGTCGACACTCACATAGTGCTCGGCCTCGAGCCGCTTCTTGATCGTGCCGAGGTCCATCGGGCACTTGATCACATCCAAATAGTCCGGGATGTTCCACTGCACCGGGTCCACCGGCTGGTTGAACGCCCACCCGTTCTCCGTCTCCATGAGACTCGTCAGCAGCGGCATGAGCCGGTTCTTGAGCTCGACAATCGAAATATGCCCGCAAAAGTTGAACCGCAGCGACCGAATGTGCTCGTCCAGCTGCGCCTCCGACATCGAGTCGAGGTACGAGATGTCTTGCGTACTCGGCGTGCTCGAGACGACGACCGACCCCGGCACCGCCGACGGCGTGATCACGAGCGTCGACACCGGCGGCTTCGGGTCGTCTTGCTTGGCCTTGACCCGTTCCTTCGCGATGCGCGCCTGCTCCTTGCGCCGGATCTTCTTGTCTTTCTCGTTGGCCGGTGCCTTGGCTTTGCCGGCCCCCGGCGACGCGACAAGCGCTGTTGTTGGCGTCAGCGCTGGCGGTACGTTGGGCGACAGGCCTGGTAGCCCCGGATCCTTCTTCTTGGCCGTCTTTGCGTCCTCGCCGGGCGGCTTGGCCGTCGGCACCGGAGCTTTGGGCTTGGCCGCTGTCGGCGGCGCGGCCGGCACCTTGGCTTTGGTGGCCTTGGGCGGCTTGAGCTTGCTCTGCATCGCGGCAGCCGATGCTGCTGTGGGCATGGGCAGTTGACCCAAACTGTTGTTCTTCATGAGCGCTGGCGACGCCGACGGGATCACGAGGGGCTTGGCCGTCTCCGATGGGTCCAGCGCGTCCGACGCCTGGATCGGGATCGTCGTCATTTGCCGGATGAGGACCTTGACGTCGTTCGTGCACGCGTTCGCAAGCGCTTGGAGCTCGGTCGGGTTGTTCTTGGTCATGTCGATGATCTTGATCGCGTTCCGGACCGGCACGCAGACACCGCAGTCCGACTTGGGGCACTGCTTAAAGTGGCTCAAGACGTAGCGCGAGCTAATGCAGTGGTCGGTCGTGCACTGCGTCTGCCGGCACTCGCAAATGTGCTTCCAGAGCACCTTCATGTCGGCGCAGTAGTTCATCGGGCACCCGATGATCGCACACGTGCTCGCGTGGCGCAGCATGCACAGTCGTTCTTGCTGCCGCCGGAGCACATACGCTTGGCTCGCGGGATTCTGCGTCCGGATCGCCGAGCAGACGTCACAGGCCATGTCCCGGCACTTGCGGTAGTGCGAGAGCAACTGCCGCGTCGACTTGCACCCGATCGTGGTGCACTGCGCGTCCGTGCAGTTGGATACGTGCGAGAGAAGCACCTTGACCTTGGCACAGAAGCCCTCTTCGCATTGCAGCAGCTGGCACGTTCGCGCGTGCTTGAGCTGGATGAGCCGCTTCCGGAACTCCTCGCGACGCTGCTTGGGTGTGACCTCGGTCGCCAGCGCGGCCGGCGTCGGTGCTGCAAGCCTGGCGTAGCCGCTGTCGCTGGCGCCGCTGTCGTCGTTGTCGTGGCGACTTTGGGCATCGTGTTGGCCGCCGCGTTGAGCTGCATTTGGTGCTGCAGCTGCTGCATTTGCTGCAGTTTTTGCAGCTGGATCTGCTGCAGCTGCATCTGTTGGAGCTGCTGCAGCTGCAGCTGCGTCGGGTGCACGTACGCGGTCTGGTTCATCATGTTGAGGTTCATGCCGTACGTCATCGGCACGCGGTTGTTCATCATGCCCATGTTCAGCGGCATGCTCAGCGGCACGTTGTTCATTGGCGCTGCACTCTCGAGCTCGGCGACGGGCATCTCGAGGGGCTGGTCACTGATGCCAGCGTTGGCCATTTCGTCGGCCTCGCGCTCGAGCTCTTCCAGAATGTTGTTGGACGACGATGCGGTCGGTGAGGCCGCCGCCGCCGGTGCCGCCGCCGCCGACTGCTTGGCGAGCAGCTGCATCTGTGCCTGCAGATGCAACTGCGCCTGGGCCTGCATCTGGGCTTGTGCGACCTTTTGCATCACTTGGGCCTGCGAGCTCGTGATGCCAGCGGCTGATGTGTTGGGCTTGGCGCTGGCTGGCACCGCGGCTGGTACTGCGACCGGTGCCGCCGGCGTCTCGGCAGGCGTCGTTGATAAGGCGGCGGCCTGCTGGGCTTGCTGCCTCCGTCGCGAATTGTCAAGTGCGCGCTGCAGTCGAACCTTGAGCGTCGACAGGTTGCTGTATTCGTCGCGCGACGCCGAGTTCATGTACAGCGTGTGTTCGAGGCGGCGCGCGATTTCTCGTGGGTTGTAGTTGTTTGTGACCGGCCGGTTGGCGCTCTTCATGATGAGGCTCAAGCTACATCGACCATCGAGGCGTGAGCTACGTGGTGGAGAACGACGTGGGCCGTACATGATGCGCGCAATGTGCTGGCGGGCGCTGCGGTCGGCCTCCTTGTTGCGCCACTCGTCGGCGTTGGTGGACAGCGTCGTGTTCTCGTCCAGCGTCGGTGTTGCATTGTTGTGCAGGCTGTTCTCAAAGCCCGAGTTCATAAGTTGCTACAGGCGGCGATGATGATGAGCGAGCATCCTCGCGTTCTCGTCGTACCGTGTTCATGGCGGCAATGGTATGCAGCAATCAATGGCTCAATTGAGATCGATCCTTCTACGCCAAACGGAGCATGAGCCTCACTGCGCCAGGCAAAAGAAGATCGGCGCGCGCCCGCCATGGGGTGGGTGGGACCGCTGGAAAAAGGCCATGGTCCACATATCCCATTTGGCCGGCGCCCACGGCCGGCGCGAGGTCCGGGCCATGCTTATATATATGCAGATAGAACGTACCGAGGGCGTCGACGTGCAGCGAGTTGTTTTGCGCACGTTGGAGGGGGCCCGCAGATCGAAGTGACGTGTGACTGGGCAGCAGTGGCGGAACTCGTTCGGAAGGTACGAGTCGCGGCAAGCACGGCAGCGGGGCACAGAGATGTGGATCGGTCGTCTCGTGAAGCGCTCTCCTTCCGCAGGTCTCGTCGACGGCAGATGGTCGTCGAGGGAGGGCGGGCGAGGGTAAGCGGGACGGCTCCGTTTGGTTCAAAGGTTTTCGGTCGAAAAACCCCACACGCCAAAAAACACAAAATGAAACGACCCCCTCCCCAACGCCACTTTCCATTGGCCAAAATGGAAGATTTGCCGCATGCAATTGGTCAAAATGCAGAGAATTCACCCGGGGGGTGCCTTAAATGCGCACACGCGCGCGCTAAGTTCGGGCGCACTGACTTGATGCACTCGAGGGTCAAATGGACCGTTGGCAGCCGTCTACAGCAACTGCATTCTAGTAGCTCTCGCAACTAACTAGACAGTGTGTGAGATCTCCATGTACACTATATCATTCAAGACGCAGTCAACGAGCCATAGACGAGTGCCACCCTTTGTCGCGGCCAGCAAAAGTACTCAGCTTCAATTCATCTCCGTCGCATTGCGCTGGCATGTTGTCGATCGTTCCTTCGGTCGCGCAATTCGCGCCGTCTCTTGTAGCTCGTTATTCGCTTAAGATGTCGTGGCCAAGGCGACTGACGGAAGTGAGGCCATGTAAGTACTCTGTCGAAGGCTCGCACCGATTTCAAAGCATCGCACCACTTCCAGCCAAGGGTCCATCAACTTTGTATGGACCCTGGCTTCCAGCCTACCGGAACGGGTCCATTCTAGCTGACAGGGCGCAGCAGGGGCTGTGAATCATAGTGCCTCTTGACGGAGCATAGCGCGTTGTTTAGCGAGTTAACGTTATAGGATTAGTCAACGCCGTCGACTCACAACCACCAACGATCGGACAAGTTGTACGTACATCGAAGGGTGGCTCGTGTACAATATTGTCTGATTTCCATTGCAGGCAGTATGCGTTTTCTGTCTGAGAAGCGTCGACTGGCGATCCACGTGGCCGTTCCCGCGCTTTTCGCATCACTTTTCAAAGGCAATTCAAGCTATCCAATGTGGGAGGATATGGAACCTACTGCCAATGTATCAATTGCTGCAGGTTATTTAATGCGAAAGAGTATATGAAGCCAGAAGCTGCCACGTCAACTTGTGGTCGAAAACTTGATCCGCTTCGTCGAGCTCACATGATGATGGGGTCGTCGGTCGTGCTCTGCCTGTGCCTGTGCCTCGCCGCTGTTGCTAGCATGGAGCTCGCGAACCCCGTGACGCGCGGCGGCCAGGACGTCACGTTCACGGTGCTCGGCGCCGAGGCGCCGCTCCTCAAGACGCTCAAGAACGCCGCGCAGGAAACGATCCTCGCGGATCTCAAGCTCACGCCCGTCGCCGACTCGGACAAGTTTACGTTCGTCCTGCCCAAGGCCAAGGCTTCGCCCGGCCTCTACAAGCTCCAATTGCTCGATGGCAAGAAGAGCAAGGTCCTCCATGCGACGCTGACGACCGAGGTCGAGGTCGCGTCCGCCGTCGTGCAGGGCAAGGCGCTCAAGCAAGGCGAGAAGCTCAAGTCGGTGCCGCAGCTCGTGTCGGCGTCGGGCGATACGTTCTCGGTCGAGGTCAGCTTGAAGGCCAAGGGCAGCAAGACGCCGCTTCTCGCGCACCAGGCTTTCTTGCGCTTTACCCAAGGCGCCGTCGACACGACGTTTGTGCTCTTGGCGTCGGCGAACAAGAAGACGCTCTCGGTCGCGGTCAACATTGGTGCCGAGAGCAAGAAGTTCTCGTATCTCTCGGGCGTCCACGCGGTGCAGCTCATCCTGGGTGACACGACGTTCGAGGTACGCCTGCCACGTGGCACCCTCCGACTCTCGCCTCATCGTGTGCGAATAGAATGCGATCGTGTGGGACCTCGGGTCGGTCGACTTGACGCTTGGCGCGGCGCCCATTGAGCCGCTCTCGCCGCTCTACGCCAAGCCCCTCCTCCACGAAAGCGACGTGACGCTGACGGCGCTGCCCGAGATTGAGCACGTCATGCGCGCGCAGGACTCGCGCCCGAGCCTCGCGGTCTCCAACCTCTTCACGCTCATCGTCGTGTCGCCCCTCGGTGGGTTTCTGCTCTTCCTCCTCGGCTTTGGGGCCAAGCTCTCCAAGTTCCCGTCGGGCGTGCAGGCCATCTTTGCGCTCGGCTTCATCGCGTCCATGGGCTCGATCCTCGGTCTCTTTGTCGTCTACTGGCTCCAGCTCACGATGTTTGCGACGCTCGGGTACCTCGCGATCCTCACGGTCGTCGCGCTCTTCTTTGGCCACCAAGCCTTAGGCCACCTCGCATCGCAGCAGGCCGACCACACCACCAAGTCCAAGAAAGAGTAGTGTAGTCGCACGATACTAGCATCTCGAAGCGCCGTTTGCCACGTGTCTTCTGTCTTGCTTCTTCTTACGCGGGTTGGAGCAGCACGTGGTCGCTCCAGAGGTCTGGGATGAGCCACGTCAAGGTGTCGTTGGCCGCCGGCGGGTCGGTTGGACGCGGCGCGGCCGTCGCTTGCCACGCCTGGGAAAAGGCCAAGGGCACAAGAGGCTTGGGCGCGCCCGACGGAAGCAGCTGCTCGGGCACGAGGAGACGCGCGTGCTCGTAGAACGCGGCAGCGAGCGCCGCGCTCGCATAGAGCGTGACGTCGTACTCGGCGGAAATGTGCTGTCGCTGCACCTAGCTCAGCCGAGTGGGCTGATGCGAATACGCACTCGTCGTCAGCGTACCGCTTTGGCGGCGACGACCAGGTCGGACGCGGTGAAGCGGAGGCTCTCGCCATTCGCAGTGGCGCCGTCGCGCGCGAGGAGGGCCTGGAGCTCGTCGACCCACGACGTTCCGGCCTTGAAGATGCCCATGGCCTCGATCTCGGGCGCGAGCTTGGCCACGTCCTCGACAAAAAGCCTCGTTCGCGTACGATAAGCTGCAGAACGCACTTGGATCGTCGTACCAGCCGAGGCAGTCGCCATCGTGGTTGCGAAACGCGTAGCGGAGCATGTCCTCCTCGGCCGGTGCGATCGCCACCACGCTTTGCCGGAGAAGGCCGCACATGCGCTGGACGACCGCGCGGACGCTCGGTGGAAGCGATGGGGCGCTCACGTCACGCCACGCGAGGGGCAGCAGCGGCACGAGGTCGTCGACGAGGCCATGCAGGGTCGCGAGGTCGGTCGGTGGCACGACAGCGTTGAGGCGTCGCCAGGCACACTAGGACGAGCGTGGTACTAGACACGGAGAAGTGGTCGTGGCATCGCGTACGCGGCTTAATGGGCTATTCGATTGCGCAGCGACGACGGTTGTGAGTGGCACGAGGCTAATGCACTCGTGCGTGCAGACGATGGCGTGCACAACGTCGGCGCGACGTACGAGCACGTGCACGCTACGTGGCATCGGCACAAGAGTGGATAGCACGCATCGCCATCCCGCTTACCTCGTCCACGCTACCCATGCGAGCCGTGCCATGAGACCACGGCCTGCCATGTGCATCGATGTACCTGGTAGTGTCCGCTTCTTGGTCGCAAAGGTCCCCGAGACAGTCGAGGTCGCAATGCCCATCGCGAGCACGGGGTTGAGGTCCAGCATCATGTGCGCATTGCGGACGAGCGCTCGGCAAAGCAGAAGATCGCCAGTGGCGCATGTCGCCGACGCGGCGCCGACGTGCGGCGTGTGGCCATGCGGCGTCGGCGAGGTCCACGACGTGCCCATCCTGGCTCGCGACGCTTCCCACAACGTTCGACAAGATCCGTGCTCGCTGAGGTTCGATGGCTTGTTTAAACGTTCCAACGTCGGCGTTTTACAGCGTTTAGCAGCGTTAAAGGCGACATGGTCCGAAACAACCGGATATTACGCACGTTAAACACCGCCGGCAATCGCACTTGTTCGAGAAAGTTCGGATTTCGGACCAGCGGTGATGAAACTCGACCATTCGTCATGACACCGTCGGGGTATGTGCCATCCACGCTCATGAAGGTTCCATCCATGGCTAACCCACAGGTGGCGGCCGGATGCCCATGGTCCGAGTACATGGACGAGGCGAGCGGGAAGCCGTACTACTACCACTCGGGCACGAAGCAGTGCGTCTGGGACGAGCCCGAGGAGTACCGCATCTACAAGGCGCGGGTCGCTGTCCGACTCCGCTTCAGTGACAACGTCGTGACCGCGTCGCCGACGAACAGCGAGCCGATGGACATGACGCCCGACGAGACGCCTATCGAAGAGGCGCCAGCGACAGCGACCGCCATCGAAGCGACAACGACGGAGACGGCCACGGATGCAGCCGTCGCGGTGCCCACCGAGCCCACCGAGCCGACGACGGCGACGAACAAAGACGACGAAGAGGACGATATCGCCAAGTACGCCGCCATGTCCAAGGCCGACCAAGTGGCTGCGTTCAAGGCGATGCTCAAGACGCTGCCGATCACGCCCAAGATGAAGTGGGGCGACGCGCAGCGGCTCATTGCGGACGAGCCTGCGTGGTATGCCCTTCCGACAAATGGCGAGAAGAAGCAAGCGTACTCGGAGTTTCTCACGCAGCTGACCAAGGAGCTCGATCTTGCCCGGCGTCGCCAGCAAAAGGTCGCGCGCGAGGACTTTCTCAAACTGCTCGCGTCCTGCAAGAAGATCTCGGTGCACACACGCTGGCACGAAGCGACGACGGACGACTTTGGTCTTATCCACGACGACCGCTTCAAGGCCGTCGCCGACGACGACGAGCGCCGCGAGCTCTTTCTGACCTTTCTCGACGACATGGCCCGCAGCGAGCGCGAGTACGCCCGTAAGAAGCGCGACGAGCACAAGGCGACGATCCTCGCCTACTACGCGTCGCCCGAGCTCGCCATCTCGGCCGAGTCGCGCTGGGTCGTGGTTCGCGACGTCGTCTTCAAAGACGAGACCATCATGGGGCTGGGCGTCGCGAAGCGGGATCTCGAAGACTTTTTCTTCGAGTACCTCGACTCGCTCAAGAAGGCGGCGGCCGAGGCCCAGCGGCTGGCGCGCATCAAGGCGCGGGAAACCGAAGATGCGCTGGCGGCGGCCTTTCGCGCCTACCTGCAGGACGAGGTCGGCTACTTGACACCAAAAAGTTTCCTGTGTGCTGAACTACTGCGCCACTAGATTGCGGCCAAGCGACTCACGCTCGAGATGCGCTGGCGCGACTGCCTCGAGCGCTTCGAAGCCAACGAGTCGTTTGTGGCGCTGCGCAACGCCAACACGATCCTCGCCCGCGACGTCTTTGAGATGACCATGGACAAGTGGCACGCAACGGTCCGGGACGAGCGGTATCATTTTCTCGCATTTTGATATCGCAAGCCGTCGCTGAGATCCACGATGTCGGTAGGCAGTGGCTGCACACGCTGCTCGAGCGCAACGGCTTTCGCATGCAGCACAAGACGACTCTGCGCGACTGCTTGGAACAGCTCCAGCACACGATCGAGCCGCTCGTCGGCGACGACCCGCGCGGCCAGTTTTACTCGCGGCTCTTGGCCGAAGCCACCGTGCCCGAGAGCGTCCTCAACTGGTTCCACACGACGCAACGCGCCGAAGTCGAACGCGCCGAGCGGGTCGCGGCGGCAAAGAAGCAAAAGCTGGATGCCTTCACCGACCTCCTCACGGAATTTTTCTTCCGATCGGATCACTTGGACGTGCCCTGGGACGACGCGCGGCGTCTCCTCGAGGGCCGCAGCCGGTTCCGCGCGATGGGCTCGGACGCCAAAGCCGCCTTTGACGCCTACATGACGACGCTGCGTGCCAAGATGCAGCAAGTGCTCAAGACGCGCAAACTCGTCGACGCCGAAGGTACCGACGACGACATCGTGTGCGACGACTGACGACCACGTTATGGTAGAGGGCGAGGTGCGTGCGAGCCGGTCGCGGGACCGCAAGCGACGCAAACGGTCGCGGTCGTCGTCGTCGTCGTCGACGTCGAGTCGGAGTCCGTCGTCGTCGAGTCGGAAGCGGCACAAGAAGAGCTCCAAGAAGAAATCGAAAAAGCACTCGAAGAAGACCAAGAAGCGCAGTCGGTCGCGCAGCAAGCGCCGGTCGTCCTAGTCGGTCGACGTGCTCGCTTGTAAAGGAATGGACATTTGCATCGTGTACAACCTCATTGTCCTTGCCAACACATGTCTCGAGCCACGGACTGGTGCCATGTGCTTGGCTGCGGGGCTGCCGATGGCGCGATCCGGAGGTCGTCTCTGCGGGGAAGCGACCGGTGTCGAGATACGCTGCATGTTGGGCTCTAGGGTAACACCCTCTTTGACGTCGCTGTGCGGCCACGTGATTTAGAATCTTGTTGCGGATCTTATTTTGAGGGGGATGACGTGGCGCTCGGAGGTGCGTCAATGCACATGTCCAGCATGTGCGATCGCGAGGGCCTTTAGCAGCGACCGCCGACGCCATCGCCCGCCTCCTGTGGTGCGAGGCCACGCCTTTTGATGAAGCACCGAGGTTCGGAGGCTTGTCGTCGAGCCAACGCATACCTGCATTCTGTGCTCTACCCAAAGGATACGTGAACTGTTGGCGATGCCTTTGGATGCATCGACCTTCTGAGAGACACGAACGAGCTCGGTGGAGATGGTCCAAGTGGCAGATGTTGTATTCGCTCTCAACTCGACTGCTACGAAGTAGGAAACGTAGGTGTGACAGTTCCTGCCAGTTCATGTGCAGAGTCCACGGTCTTGACGCAGCGTTAACGGCTTATACCGCAGCAACGTGGCTCATTCCGCTTGCCGTCATGACGTCGACGACGCCGACCAAGAAGCGTTGGGTAGACAGCCTGCTGCTGCCTCGTCTGGCGCGCAAGGTTGGAGCGTTGAGGGTGAAGCCGATGTGTGGGACCGTGGTTGAGTTTTGGCCAATCGTTTGCCGATAAAGTTGAAATCTAGAAAACGAGCCAATCACGATCGCTCTTGACCTTGGGCGATGGACGACGAGATGGTGGCAGCGAAGCTCGTCGAGGCCCGCGCGCGGTACGAAGCGCGTGATGACGATGGCGCCATCGCGCTCTGGCGCAGCCTCCTCAAGACGGCGTACGCCACGCAGCATCATGCGCTCATGTTCGTCGTGAGCAAGAACTTGGGCGACGCCGTGCTCGATCTCGGCGAGGCCACAGCCTTCTACGAGTACGCGCTCGAGGTGGCGACAACGTGCGGCGTCATGAGCGACGCCTCGCTGCGCTCTGCCGTTGCCGCGATTGCGGTTGCGATGCAGTCGATGCAGGTTCTCGCGTGCCCTCTCTGCGGCTCAGCGCAGCGCTTTCACGGACGGTGCCACCGCTGCGCGGCCACAGATGCGTGCGCCACGTGCACGCAGTCGTTTGCAACGTCCGAGCTCGTTTTGGACCCCAACGACAGCAACGTGTACTGCCAACCGTGCTACAACGCCTACTACAACGACGACGACGACGACGATGATGACCAAGACCATGACAACGAAGACCATGACGACATGCTTGTCGACGTCCACGTACCGACGTCCGTTTCCTTGTGCACTGCGTGCAAGACAGGCAAGGCAACCATCCGCGACTGGCAAGGCTCGTTCTACTGCCAAAGTTGCTTCATCGCGCTCACACAAGCCAAGCTCGCCCGCGACTTGGAGGTGGTGGACGAGCCGTCGCCCAAAGCAGCGTCGCCCAAAGCGGCAACGCCCAAGGCACCAGCCCCCGACGCTCACACGCCCCAAGCGCCGGCCAGTGAACCGCGAACGATTCCAGAGCCTGTCGCCGACGTGGATGAAGCGCCGGTCGCGAGGCGCACGTATGACCGCAAGTTCCTCCTTTCGTTCCGCAAAGTGCATCGATCGTGCCCGAGCGCGGTTCGGTCGTCGCCAGTGTTTCAAGCGTCGACCTCCAAGGCGGCCAAGGCAGCACCCAAACCGCCGACCCCGTCCCAGTAAGACTAGGTATTAGTACGATCCTTGCTTATGTCGGGTAGACCTACTCCGTCGTGTGCTATCCAAGACAAGACGGCGATGCTCTGCGCTGCGCTCCGCCTCGACCCGGCGCAGTTGAATGACGAGTTGGGCTTGTACGAGCACTACTACGCAACGACACCGCTCACCACGTAATGCGTCATGTCGTTGTTTTAACCCTCTCAGTTCTCTCTCTTGACATCCAAGCGCTTGCAAATGGCGCCGCATCCAGAGCCGTCGGCGCTCGCAAGTGTCGTTGGCGCCATGGCGTATAACCCTACCCCTGGCGTGGACACCACCACCGCACTCGGCAGACCATTTGGCCTCATATCCAGTCAGTTGAGCTACCATTGTAGTCTGACACCAGAATGTTTGATTCGATTGGATAGACAATCTACATCTAGAAGGGTTCCCGATTCTGGAACTGCAGACTCGAATGTCGGAACCCTACCTGCGACGCGATCACACGGTGTCATCCGTGCGCACCTTGTAGTAGGCCGTTGGATCGCGGACCGCAACGCGCAGGACAACGTACGTAAAGGCGCCGACGAGGAACGCCGTGCCGGTATCGAGCGCGAGGGAGGTCGCGGCCGTCATCATGAGCACGACGAGATCGCCCTTGTTCTTCTTCGTGTCGATGTCGACGCCGACGATCGAGAGGTGGACGCCCGCGAAGATGACGAGGACGCCAATCACACAGGACGGGAAGATGCCGTCGCGCAGCAGCAGCATCAGCGTCGAGCCAAAGAGAAGCGCAATGACGAGCTTGAAGCACCCGAGGATCATCATCGAGACGCTGCTGCGCGCACCGAATGCATATTGCGACGCCAGCCCCCCGGCGCCGTGGCACATGGGCAGCATGCCGAGCATGCAAAACACAAAATCGCCGACGCCGATGCTAAAGCAGATGCGGCGCGAACTCGCGGGCACGTGCTTGTGCGGGAAAAGGTCGGCCGCGAGCTGCTCGAGCGCAATCACAGAGTTGAGGAGCGTCAAGGGCAGTTGGGGCAGCACCATCTTGAGAAAGGCGGTTTGGAAGTCGTCGGCCGAGGGCCACGACGGCATGCGGCTGAAATCCGGTCCGAGCGAGAGCGGCGGCAAGCGCAGCTCGTCCTTCTTCTGGACGTAGGCGACGATGGCGACGATGACGCCATAGAGAAACACGAGGATGGCCGTGGGGATGCGCTTCTTGTGCATGCAGGCGAGGCAGAGCGTGATCAACAGCAGCGACACGAGGATGCTGTCGGCGCCAAACCACTGCAGGTCTGTCTTGCTGCGCGTCACGATGACATTGCTGGTCGTCTTGTTGAGCGAGAGCGTCGTCACGTGCGTGTACGAGCTCTTGACGCCGCTCATGAGCAGCGAGAGGCCGACGCCGAGCTGGATGCCACGGACGAGCGAGAAGGGCACGAAGCGCCCGACCACCGTGATGAGGTTGGTCGCCGACAGGACAAAGAGGATTGCGGCGATGAGGATACCGGATGCAGCGATCTGCTCCTGCGAGTATTTTTCCGCGATCGCAATCGCCGAGATCGACTTCATGGGCTGGACCGGAATCGGCACGTCAAAGTACGTGGCGAGCCCGAGGGTGAAGACGCCTGCGAAGAAAAGCGTCGGTCCAAACGCAATCTGGTGCGTGACCGCGAGCGCAGTCACGAGCGGCAGGAACGTGCCGAGGTCGCCGAGCGACCCCGAGACTTCTTGGAGCGTCAGATGCGTCTTGGCATCGTGGGCCCAGTGCGGCCGGAGCACGACAAACACCTTTTGCAGCGGCGAGAGGTCGTTGTACGCAGCTTCGAGCTCGGTCGGCGCAGGCGGAAGCATCGGCTCGTCGGCCATTGCAGCGTGCTCAGCCGTCGGCGTCGTGCTCGGTGTCGAAGGGTGCATAAAGGCCAGTGATGGGCGCTGCTGGATGTGTGTCAAGGCGCAATTCGCTTAGAAAGTAACGCCAATCACCTGTAAAATCCACAAATTGCTCGGGCGATTGTCGCCATATCTCGACGTGAAGCAAACGATAGAGAGCGTGGCGACGTCTGACCGTAGTCGTTGCTTGGAGGGCGTCCTGTGCACCGACGGACCTTTCCCGCAAGCCAAAAAAGTCTTTACTCAGATCGTTGGTCTCAGAGTGTGGAGTCTGAGGACGCCGTTTGGATCAGTTGCAGCCTGGAGGAGCCACTTGGATACGTGCATGGAAAACCATCGTGTGGTGTATATAGATATCCCGCGGCAATCGCGACTGTGAACAGACAACGCCCGGCTCCATGTACTTTGTAAGCGAAATACCACGGAGCGATCCTGCCTGCGTCGGCGGTGTTCCACAGCCATGGTGTTCGGTACGCATCGGTGGGCATCCCCGCTGCACGCAAATCAGGTCGCTTTTGGTGAGCCACATGTGCCAAGATCTCGTGACGCGATGCTGTCTGATCGGCTCTTACGACCAACGACAACCGGTTTCAGACCAGCAGCCTGGAAGCGTGGTCGTAGTTCAACCGGCTTCTCGACATCGCTCAGCAATGCTACAGGTTGATAGCAGCACTGGCGCCGGTGGTCTCAGTCGAACCATGTCTCTGGACAAATGATGTCCATTCTAGTCGACACGAGGATTGGAAGAACACGCCGTGGCCGCCACGGCGTCCTCGGCTGTCTCTGGAACGAATATGGCTTGTAAGATGCCCCATCGACCCTTTTGCCGTCGGCTATGGACGGGTTGACATCACCGACGAGTGGGTGCATCGCGGGTTCGAAGCGTCGTCCCTCACACCGCTCGAAGGCGCATGTACATGGGCGGTAACGTAATCCTCTTCCAACTCGTGGATCACCAATCGTCGTTGCCGGGTGACGTCGCAACCACGAAGAAGCCGCCGCACCCACGCACCCCTTGGCACCATACTACGGGCGTCTTTGTCGCACTCCTTGGCACCGCAATAATCATTATCTCACAGCTCCTTGCGAGCGAGCTCGTCGAGGAAGGAACGTGACCTGGCCGTGGTGGTCTGTGCTGCTACGATCGTTGGTTGGCGCCACTTGACGCCGGTGCAGTGCCGTCCGTGCACAAGGGTACCCTTGCCGTGCATCACCAAGTGCATCACCAAGCTAAAACCAGTTGCACCCAATCTTTATCCCAACCCGAGCACAAGGCTCCAAGGCTCCGTGGCGTGCGCAAGTGCTAGCGCCAAAGGATCAGATCGTTGTCGGTTTCAGCTGCAACGTGCCAGAAAACCTGCGCTTTCGGATTGAGTCCTTGCGAATCTACTCAACTTCAACGAGATGACCCGTGGTCGGTCTCTGGCTGACAACTTGGATGCGTCGCGCGGCAGATGGCCTTTGGAAATATAAACGCTACATTTAAACACCCATACAAGACGCGAGCTTGACACGAATAAAACACGCCGACGCGGGTGCTGGTCATGTATCCTGCGGCAACCACAATCCATGTTTCTCAAAGTATGTACGGTGCTGGATGCGACGACAACGATGCATCGCTCTTCGCTCGCTCGCCACCGGCGGTCGCGCGGACGTGGCAATAAGTTCAGTCAAATTGACATGTGCGATCGGAGTGGTGGCCGTCCTGACCCAGGCAAGGGCCAATCAGCGCGCGGGAAACGACTGGGGGTGGGATGACTATGCCTGTTTCGCCACCGTAGGGCTTGGGATAACTCAGCGCGACCGATTGGTAAAAAAACGTCTTGCGCTCAGTATGCATCATCTCGGATTTGTATTTAATTTGACCGTCTTGTTTTTATATTGGTCACGGTTCTATCACCTGCCATCACGTCGCAAATGGTGTTTACAAATGCGGTCCGGCGTGAATTAGTGTACTACGGCAAATCGTACATTCGTCTTGCATGGGCTGTCTGCGTCCAACGCGCCAAGCGCAACGAGCTCGCGTGGGCCTATGATGCTCCCTCGCGTCGTCGTCGCCGGCTGCCGAACGATCCCCGCACGTTTCGCCGCGTGGGACGGCCGTCCCTCGCCTGTCGTACGCGGCGTTGCGGCATCACTCGAGCGACGTTGCAACGTTGCAACGACCTCTTGTGCCTCGTCGTCGGTCCATGCTCTCGCGCCTGGTCTTTCCACACTCGTCGAATACGCTCTTCGTCGCCTGGTGGGAGCACCGAAACCAAAGCACAGTATATCCAGATTCTCATCGCACACTATTTCCGTTGGTCGAGACCGCGCGAGACTTGAACTTTCAGTCGAATATTTGCACGCATGGGTGTGCTCCTCCACAAGATGAAAGGCATTCTCGCGTCGGTCACGTCGTGCATCGGCGGCACGCAGGAGCGCTACGTCGTCTGCGTCAAGTCCTCCGAGCGCGGCCTCTGGTACGTCTACAAGCTCCACGCGGACTTCGTCGCGCTCTACGAGACCCTCCTCGCGCTCGCAGCCTCCTCGAGTTGCGCGCAAGAGTGCTGGCTCGCGCCGCTCCTCATTGGCCTCAAAGCGAGCCTCGACCCGACCGCGGGCGAGAAGCTCTCGAGCCTCAACTCGTTTCTGCACAAGCTCATGGCGGTCCAGTCGGCCGAAGCGCACGCGGACGTGTGCCTCCTCCGGCCCAAGATCGATGCGCAGCTCAAGACGTTCCTCGAGTGGAAGCACGACTGCAGCGTCGGCGTCAAGCGAGCCGCGGGCTCCGAGTGCATTGTGCTGCAGCCGCCGCCCGGCGCCTTGCGACGCACGACCTTTAGCATCATCCAGTCCAAGGTCGTCGTGCCGACGCCGTCCCACCCCGGGTCGCCGCTCAAAGCGCGTCGCCTCCACGACCTCGACTGCCGCGACGCGCCTGCCCGCCGCCGCGTGTACACCGAGGTCAACTTTGACGGCCTCTAGACACGCCGTATTATTTAAGCCAAATCCTATTTATCCTCCTCCTCTCGTGTCTTGTGTAGTAATCAATGGCCTTGACACAACGGTGTCAATCGTCCCACGCGCGGCTGTCTGCGTGACGGGGCAGCTCGCGTTGACAGCGCGGCGCCCCGACTCAGATGCGGGGCGCCGCCATCTGCGGGCCGCCCGTAGCTTGACGCAACCAGAACAACAACACTCAGCAGCTCCCACGACGCTGCTGCTCCGATACTATATGATTATCGCATAGAGGAAGGGACGTGGAATCCGACCAGCTTTTCTTGGCCTCTGAACGACGACGACGGCGTCGTAGTCGATGCCTGCCCATCCCCGCCCGCGTCGTGCAACGTACTGTACACATACCGACGTTGCGGAGCATTCGATTACCGATCCTGGCCACGCTCGACTACGTGCCGTCCATATCACTATCCACAATGTCGTCGTCGTCGACTGTCTCAAGCGCCGACGCGTCGATGGCCGCGGACCGTCCATGGCCCAGCCAGCGCTGGTAGGGCACAATGTCGCGGTGCAACGCTGCACCTACGACGATGGCGCGTCAGTGCGAGACGCAAATAGCGTTATGGGTACCCGTGTGGCGCGACGCGAACGCTGCCTGAGCCTGTGCACGCACGTGGCGCGACGCAGCGTCGACCGCGTACGTTGACGGGCGTGCAATCGGACGAAACGCGGGGGGCGCAGGGTGCGCGTTGGCCACGCGAATCGCTCGCTCGATGAGCGTCTTGCCGAGTTGTTGGGTCGCATGGTAGTACTACAAAAGCACAAGCTCATCAGCATCCGCATCATTATCCTCCTCGTCCATCTCCGTCGCATCGACTTGGACAAAGCAACGATCGGTGATCAACGTACGTTGGCGTTCGAGCGGTCCCTGTACGCGCTGCGCAACAGCACGTCCGTGGCGCTAAACGTCTCGAACGCCGCGTACACGTCTTCAATCTCGGTGAAGACGTCAACGCAGTTGTGGTGGACGGTCGCGAGCACGTGCGCAGACTCGAGCGTGCACTCTCGAAGCACGTCGTCTTCATGGCGGTCTAGCCATCGCGATATCGTTGCATGTATCGCACGCGAAGCAGGTACATCACCTTTGGGATGCAAGACGCGCCCGATCAAGTGAAAGTCCGAGGCAAACGTGTCCCGGGCGCGGACGTCGTCCTTGACCTTGGACGTCGCTGCTTTGCGCTGGAACTGCAATGTATTGACGGCGTGCCGAAGGTCCCCATGGCTCTGCTCGACGATCGCTGAGAGCTGCGTGCTCGACAAGCGCACGTTTTCGCGCGCGGCGACGCGGCCGAGGTACTTCTTCATCATGCCTATCGTACGACGCACCTCGAAGACACGAGATCTAGCGTCGTGGTGTGGTACCTGACGCGACGGGGTTGCAGTGGATCGTGTGCGTGAGCGGCGACGTCACAACGTCCATCGAAAGACGGCGCCAAGCGACGCCGGCGTCACTTTGGTCTCGTGGACGTCGCTGTAGATGATGACGATGGGATATCGATGGTCGCGCGCGTCGAGGCGGTGCTGGAGCAGTCGCTGGACCTCGTGTCGGTGCTGGTCCTGGAACGCCGGCCACTCCTCGACGAGGATGATGTGTTGCTGCGGTGGCGATGCACCGACAAACGCGAGGCTTGCGTAGCGCTGACTGCGCTCGAGAAAAGACGCGAAGTCTTCGATCAGTGGTGAATGGCGAGATGAGGCGCCGAGCGGCCGCACGCCCGATGTGTCCTTCCACTGCTTGACGTCGAGGCCGAGAGATGTGGCGGCGGACCGTATGATCGTCGACTTGCCGACACCGGGTGGTCCGCAGAGAAAGAGCAGTCGCTGGGACTCGATCGTCGTGCGCTCGACAGCGTGCAGCTGGAGCCATGCGACGACCTCTTGGACTTTTTTCGGGTGAACGCAGAGCTCGTCCATGGTCACAGGCGTGTACTTGTCGTTCCAGAGCTGTTCGCTGGGTAGCTCGAGCTGCGGCCTTGCGGGCTTTGCGGGTACCATGTCGTCGTCGTCGTCGCTGTTGCTGTCGATCGTTTCGCTTGGGTGGCCCGGTGGCTTGACCGAGCTCGCGCGCAAGGCACCACAGACAGAGCACTTGAGGAGTCGCGTGGTATTGATGAGCGTACACATGCTACAAGTCCATTCGGAGGAAGCTTTCTTTGTGGTAATTGGAGCAGATGCTGGTAGCTTTGGGGTGGGCGTTGGTGCAGGCAGCGTCGAGGTGGTCGTTGGCCGCTTGCCGGGACGAGCACGAGTAGTCTTCTCTGACTGCGTCGGCGGGGCGGGCGTGGATCTCGTCGCGAGCCGTGTCGATGGTCGCTTTGTGTCGCACATCTCGCAGCTGCCATCGAGCGCCTTGTTGGCATACGTGCAACGAGGACATCGCCACGTCTCTGGGACCGGACTTCTCGGGATCGTGTCGGCCTGCGTGAGTCGCTTCCGCTTGCCCTTCTTGCGTCGGTACTCCTCGTCCGAGCTGGTATCCGAGTCGTCGAAGAGCCCCTAGTTGTGCTGCATAAGAGATCGTGGATCGTATGCATGGATCGTGTGGCCGTCGGCGCCTCCATGGCATGGCGCGCGCTTCTTCCACCCCGCGGAAGCGCCATGAAGAGAGGTCCATGGAGACGCTCTAGCCTCGACCACGCTCGTCGTCTTGGTCTCTTACCCTTGCAGCATCCTCCATCGTCCGCGCTCGTCCGTGGCTTGCGATCCGCGGGGCTTCGACGGTGGCGCGATAACTTTCGTATCCGGTGTCATCCGGATAAAACATCCACACAGCGTGAAAATCAATTCACACATGTGGAATTTCCAGTTTCCAGCGTGGGTTTGGACAGTTGTCCAGGGCAGCACTAGCACCGCCGACTCTTCGTCCTCGCATCGGTCGTTGGCAGTGCAACGCTGTTCCTCTTCGCGACACATCTCTAGTCCGTTTACTAATAACAATGCCAAGGGATAGGTGCTATTCCGCTCGGGTTCTGAAGCTCGACGATCTAGAATCGGTTTCGAAGCGCCTTTGCCTCGAGGCGGCGGAGACTGCCGAGTCTAAAGTACGGTATGTAATATATGTAGGGCGCGAAGAATCTTTTGGTTTTTGTATCCAGTCTCGAGCACCAGACCAAGATCTGGTAGGGGCACCGCGCCACACTCGCGTGCGCTGGTTCGTCGTACGGTGCAAGAACGTGCGATCGAAGACGTGGCATCTTCGGGGCACGAGCGACGAGAACGGCCATGGCGCGCGTCCAGATTGCCATCGCGTGAGAAACCCATGTGTATCCGGATTATCCGGAAAACGTGGCTCGGTTTCTCAGTTTTTATTCGTCGACGACACGCAATGTCTTGCTATTGGTATCGAAAGAGGCGGTGGTGAATAAAAATACACGGAAGGTTCGATATTTTTTAGATAATAAAATGCCGAAGTTTCTTGTTTTTTGGCGCGCGACAACGGGGCGTCCAAGTGACTTGCCGTTCGTATGGCATTGGCGGCGAGCGATGATTGGTGGGCCCACTTCCAGCAGCGCGCTGATTGGCGAGATCTTTACCTGTGGCAATCCCATACTGAAACCAAGTGTGACGCCGAAGCTGATACTATAAATTGTGTCAGGTCACTTGAAAAATACCCCGCTAAACCCACGAACCGCGGACGACACGCAATATGGAGATGAGCCTCGAAGCGACTGCGGGAACGCGGGAAGGCCGCGCGCGGTCCCGGAGCGAAGCGACGCTCCATGAGGTACGAGGAAGCCCGGGCTGCCTGCGCCCGAGGAAGGTCGCGGCTCATGCGGTCCATGAACGTAGCCCCGCGGCGACGCGAGCCCCGTGCGCTGCGCGGCCGCCGAGACGATGATGATCCTCTTCATGAACTCGTCCAAGGAAGCGGAAGAGCGCTTGACACAGGAGCAGAAGGACGACATGAAGATGGTCCGGAAGATTCGCCCAAAGAAGTACGCGAAGAAGGCGGAGGCGCCGGCAATGGACGACGTCGAGAACAAGAAGACGCGGCGACACAGCATGGACGCCAAGCCCAAGGGCAAGCTCTGCGCCAAGAAGGTGCTGCAGCCACTCTCGTGCTTCCATAATGGTAGCGAGATGGCCAAGGCGCCGGACGCGGCCGACATGATGACGCCGCTTGAAGCCGCCCGAGCGCTGCACAGCGCAGACGGGATCACGACCTATGGCTCGCCGTATGTCAACGAAAACCTCCGCAGCAGCCGCTTCATGGGGGACCACAGCAGCGTGCCCGCCGAGAAGCGCGCGCGCAGCCCCGAGCGCGAGGACACGTCAGCCAAGTACCGCTTCACGTCGGACATGAGCCTTTCCCTCGAGGACCAGCTGCACATGGTGTCCAACCCGTCGTACAGCCGCAAGGAAAAGTCGCTCGGGCTGCTCTGTGAGAAGTAAGTGTTCGATCGTATGGCCCTCGTCGTCACAAATCTGGTGCGCTAGCTTTCTCCGGCTCTACTGCAACGACGACGTGCAGGACGTGTGCTTGGACATTGCCGCCAACAAGCTTGGTACTTGAACGTTGCTCTCCTGCCTCCACTCATGGTCCGGTATCATGGTGTAGGCGTCGAGCGGCGACGCATCTACGACATTGTCAATATCCTCGAGAGCATCCACATTGTGAGCCGGAAGCGCAAGAACCTGTACAACTGGCACGGGCTCAAGTCGCTGCCGACGACGATCCACGAAATGAAGGTAGTAACCCACTTTTCGATCATGAGCTGCCTCTCATGGCTCGTCTAGGCGCGGTATGCGCGGACGCCGGAAGCGCTCATCGAAGAGTTTGTCGGGTGCAGCGGCGGCGACTACAAGTCGCGCCGGAGGGGCAAGTCACTCGCGCAGCTCAGCCAGCTCTTTGTCAAGCTCTTCCTCGATAAGGAGCACATCATCATTCCTCTGGACCTCGCGGCCAAGGAGCTCATCGAGCGCGACGACCCGCGCGGCGAAATTGGCGGCAACGTGTTGAAAAGTACGACGCGACCGATCGACGCTTGCCATCTCATTCGTCCCTGCGTAGCCAAGATCCGCCGGCTCTACGACATTGCCAACGTCCTCGTCAGCGTTGGCCTCATCGAGAAGGTGCTCGTGCCGCACTGCCGGAAGCCGCTCTTCCGCTGGTTTGGCGGTCGCTTCAACCCTGACAACGCGGCGCCACGGCAATGGGCGTCCGACGACGACGACCAGCGGTCGACCGCGACGTCGCCCGACTCGAGTGACTCGGAGGCGTACCCGAGCGCGGCGCCAGGTACACACACATCATGCATTAGCACAAAATCTGATGGGTTGCCTTCTAGCGAGCGCCAGCATGGCGTCCCTCTTCCAAGCCCGTAGTCAAATGCTCGAGAAGGACAACGAGCGTCTCAGTTCGCTCCTCGTGAGCGCCCACGGCGAGCTCATTAGCATGAACTCGACGTCGCCGCAGTCGGTCGCCGACTTGGCCGCGGCCGCGTGCATACCTGCTTCGTCCAAGGTCTAGCCTCCCGTCGCCACACTAAATATATGTATTCCATTCGCACGGCAGATATGGTCATATTGCACGTGTATTAAAAGTCCGACATGAGCGACTCCTTGAGATCCGACGGCGCCCGTGCCCGCGTCCGGGCCTCGAGGAGGTCGCCGAGGAAGCGGTAGACAAAGAGGCCGACCATGATGATCACGAGGCCAAGGATGTCGGTCGTGTGCAATGGCTGGTGCTCGGGCATGAACGAAAACGTGAACGCAACGTTGCCAAGCGGGACCATGATGGTCATCGCAAGCCAGAGGATGTTGGCCGAGCCAAACTTGAGCATGAGAATGATGAGAATGTTGTAGAGCACGTTGAAAAGCATGTAGATGGTCACGTAGAGCGTCGCCTTCTCGCAGTCGTCTGGGTGGGCCGTGCCCACGATCGTGTTCTCACCGAGGTAGCACTTCATACCGTCATAGAGGTTCTGGAGAAGGTCGGACGGCGCGACGGGCGGACTGCTGATCGAGGCGGCGGGGAACGCCAGCGGGATCGAGAGAAGGAACTGGAAGACCGCGACCCACCCGTTGAGGTACACGACGTCAAGCTCGGCCTCACCGAGAGCAATCTCCTTGTAGACGCTCGAGAGACACATGGGGATGCAGCTTGCAATCATGACGGCCGCCCAGATGACTGTGTGCTCGCCACCCGACGACGCCTTCATGGACGGCCCCAAGACGACGAGAAGCCCGGCCGTGACGATGAGCGCACCCAAGTACTGGAATTTGGAGTACGACGTCTTGAGGAGGAACTTGGAGATGACCATCGAGACCGGAATCGCGGCCTGTCCGAGCAAGATGAGCAGCGAGCCGCCGAGGTACGTCGCGGCAAAGATCTGCAAGATACCTACGCCGTTGCCATGAGAGGTCCATCAACTCTCGGCGTCATCGTACCGGCAACGCTGTCGAGGGCGCCCATGATGGCAAACTTGCGCTTCGGGATGTGCTGTTGATCCCATGTGATGGCACTGCCGTACTTGATCATTGGGATGATGTACGCAAAGCTGAGCGGAATCTAGCGATGCCATGCGTCATCCTGCCATGCTGGCCATGATGGCATTCCGTACGTAGACAAAGGTGCAGAGGAGGTTGATAAAGTTGGGGTAGTTGTGCATCGGGATCGTCTGGAGCTTCTGGAAGACTAATAAAGCAGCATGAGCAGCCATGAAGAAGACGAGGAGGCGTGCGTACTCTTGTTGCCGAGGCCGATGACGATGAGCGCGAGGAAGACCAGCGGCAGGCGGCTGCTGCTGCTGCCCTGCATCGCCTTGGCCATCCTGTCCCTCGATCCGAAATGACCACCGCAGAACCGCTGGGTCATCCGGATACGAGGCCGAAGAAGATCGCGCAACTGCAACTCGACCAAGATGGGCCGCCACCACCTGCCGACCACCGACCACCGAGCGAGTACTTGGAGTCGCGCCCTACCGCCGATGCTCGCATGCAGCTAGTATCGATGGCTGCCCCGAGGCTCGATCCCTTCCTTCAGTCGTCCTTCCGCAGCAACTTGCATTTTTCCAATGGCCTTCCACCCAGTCGGTCAGCCAGCAAGCTGATAGCCTTGACCTACGATGGACTGTAGCCGTGGCGAGGTTGATCCAAATTCGTTGCCAGCTTCGTTGCCGAGGCCATCATCGTCCGAGAAGCACATGGCGTTCGATGATCGTAAAGGTCATTTTCCGCAATCATCCATGGGGTGAGGAAGATGCTACGGTGATGACGACAGAAGAGTCGGTACTATGGTACCGGTACCGGTACGGAGACTACGGGTATCATCCTACTATTACTGTACTGGTAGTAGGGGCCAAGGGCCGCGGCCGTGATTGGCTTGAGTGGAGAGCCACAGGCCAGATGGTCGAACGCAAATCATTTGCACGCGCGAACCATCTGACAGCATACTAAAAGCAAATGAACGCACCGCTCTTCTCTGCAATGACCGCGAAAACAACACTATTTGCAAGGACACGGAGGACAATTCCATTTTGGAGATTCTTGAGGCGAGCGCAGCATGGTCCGCGTCAGCGTCGTCGGCGTCGCCTTCTTGGCCGCGCTGGGCATCACTGCGTCGGCCGGCGTCTTCATGGCGCTCTCGCCGGCCTTTGTGCTCCTGTACCTTCTCGGCCACCGCGTGCCACTCGCTCGGCGTATCTTTGCCTTTACGCAGCAGCTCGTCCAGGGCATGTGGCTCGGGAACGCGGCCATTCTCATGGAGAAGTGGCAAGGTATCCACGTCCAAGTCTTCTTGGCGGACGGCAGCGACGCGCCCAAGGCGCAGAAGGACGTGGCCGCGATGCTCTCGGGCGAGCGGGCCATTTGGCTCTCGAACCACCGGACGCGGCTCGACTGGATGCTTCTCTGGAGCTTTGGCCTGCGCATTCACGCGCTGCACCAGCTCAAGATCATCCTCAAGGCATCGCTCAAGGACATCCCGGTCTTTGGCTGGGCGATGCAAATGTTCCAGTTCATCTTCCTCGTACGATGCCATGCTGCATCGATCAACGTACGACCGTATCTGCGTAGACGCGCCATTGGCAAAACGACCAAGCCTACCTCAACGACGTCTTGGAGCATCTCACGACGACGGCGCCGAATGCGAGCTACCTCCTCTTCCCCGAAGGCACCGACTTGAGCGAATCCAATCTGGCCCGGAGCAACGCGTTCGCAGCGACAAAGGGCAAGCCGCCACGCCAGTTTACGCTCTACCCGCGCACGACAGGCTGGAACCACATTGTGCCACGCGTGCGCCACGAGATCGACGCCGTGTAAATCACTCTCCCTTCGCGGAATGCGTTGCTCAGCCTAGCGTAGGTACGACCTCAGCATGTGCTTTGTCGACCGCGTCGCCGGCCAGCGCGCCAACGAGCCCGAGCTGCTCGCAGGCGCGATGCCCAAGGCCATGCACATTTACGTCCGGCGGTTCCCGATCGCCGACTTGCCGAGTGACACGGACGGCCTCAACGCGTGGATGGAGGCCCGGTACGCCGAGAAAGAGGCGCTGCTCGCCGAGTGGTACACCCACGCGCGGCCGCCGAGTGACGCGTGCGTCATCCTGGACCACGAGCTCTCGTCGACGACGCACCTCATCCAAGCGTTTTGGGTCCTGCTCTGCGCGATCTTGCTCGCGGCCGTGTACAGCTACAGCTACATGCGGCTCTTTGTGGCGCTCTTATGCTTGGTCCACGTTGCCTTTGCCAAACTGTCGTCCGGTATCGACCGCTACCTCATGAGGATGTCATAATAAGGTCTCCAATATGCAATGCGGCACGAGGCGATAGTATGTCTAGTATGTCGTCTAACACGTGGAAGCAAACCAGCGATGGCCGAGGGCCTGCGTCGCCGTGAAGCGAGACGCCGGTTCCTTCTCCAGAAGTCGCAGAATGAGGTCCTTGGCCGCGTCCGAGGCAAGCGACTGCAGCTTTTGGCGCGGCCGGGGCACGGGAAACTCGACGGGCGTGTGGATCGACGCACTCGGCGGGTAAAAGGCTGCGTAGCCAAAGAGCATCTAGACACACACGCAAGCGTGAGTCCCGGGGCACACGCCCACATACGACGACCTCAAACAGAATCAAGCCCGCGCTAAACATGTCGACCGCTGTCGAGTAGCACGGCGCGGCCAGGAGCAGCTCGGGCGCTACGCGTCGTCGTGAGCACAGGGCCGAGAGACAGACGACGCCATCGGGAACATACCGATGTACCCCGGGGTCCCGTACACGCCCGAGAACGGTAACCCGGGCTCGGCCTTGTTGTAGGCGCGGGCCGCGCCAAAGTCGCAGACCTTGAGCGACTCGTTGGCGTCGAGCAAGATGTTTTGCGGCTTGAGGTCGTGGTGCACGATGCGGTGGTTGTGGAGGTACTCGAGCGCGAGGAGGAGCTCGTAAAAGAGGCGTTTGCACTCGGGTTCTGGGAGGCCGACGCGGCCGACGCGCTTCTCCAAGCTGCCATTGTCAGCGCGCTCCAAAATAAAGTAGTGCGCATGCTACAGACACCACAATGATGATACCCCGGTGCATGGCATGCTGCTGCTAGTGGACCTCGTCTTGGCACGTGTCGATGAGCCGGATGATGTGGGCGTGGCGGCAGCTGCGGTGGATGACCTCCTCCCGGATCACACTCTGCTTCTCCTCGGCCGACTGCAGCACGTACTTGGGGATGATCTTGACAACAACCGAGGCATGCGAGGCCATGACTTCGCCATTGTGCACCTAAACCGCCCATCAACCTGCATCTCGAAGCGGCTCGAGGAATGATACCTTGCCGTAGGCGCCGTTGGCAAACGACTCGCGGATGAGGTACCGGCCGTGCATGGCCTGCTCGCGGGGCGTGAGCGCCGGGGCTGGTGCACGCGAACCCGACGGAAGAGATGGCGACGCGCACGCGCATCGGCCGTCGCGCACGTGGTGGCATTTGTCGCACATGACCGTGGCGAGCGCGGTCGAAAAGTCCTTGAGCTCCTGCACGGTCGGCAATGACCGCTTGCGCGAGCTGAGCTCTGCGTCGCGCAACGCCGCCGAGCGCACTGATTTGACGTCGTCGTCAAAGTCGCTCATGCTGGCGGCGCGGGTGGTGCGGGCCGCGGGCTTGGGCGGCGCCAGCAACGTCGTCGGGTCCACGGCGCGCCGCGTTCGCCGGCTCACGACGATGTGCTCGCGCGGGACGCGGCAGAGCACGCCGTTGACCAAGATGTCGGTGTGGTCGGTCATCTCGGGCTTGCTGTGGCTGCGATGGAACCTGCGCCATGGGCTAAGCGGTCCGTCGGGCACGGCCGTCGCCATTTTGTCGTTGCAACGAAGATTGAACCCACAGTGGAGATTCCGTGTTTTCAACACTCTCCAATGGTTTAAAACACACAAGGATGTATACATCACGTGCTGTTAAACTGGATCCTATTATTTAGACGCCCTCCAATGTTTCGTACAAGCAGTGGCAAATGTGTTGGAATAGAACGTGGGGCCGTCCGATTGGTTAAAAAGCACTGCATTTTGCGGGGCGTCATTGACACGATGGCACCAGAATCTGGCAAGCGCCTTGACCAGATCGCGCAATTTCGCATGTACGACAGGCCACATTATCAGAAAAGGATAGCGCAGTCCTAACGGTATCCACATTCTTCCCAGTTGGAACGAGACCACACCTTTGGACAAGTCGTGGAATCATATCAACTTCACATCGGTCCATCGATAACGAGGCAAACGCAGACGCCGTAGTCGCGACAAGGACGCATCGAGCCCCGAGCTCATTACGGAAGTACGACTCGTTGCTGCCACGAGTTAGTGACCTACCGCCAATCAAGTCACTGTGCGTTGCTTCAAGTGCCATCCTCGACTCGAATGGGCGTCGCGAGAAGAGTACGTTGTTCATGGCAGGGGCAAAGTCACCCCTGGCCTCCAGCACGTGCAGCCAACGACGTGGCATCACTCGCCAGGTCACGTTGTCGTGCGTGAGGATAGCATCGGCACCCCACGGTATTATTGGCTCGTGTCATGAGCTGAGACCCAAGTCCACCCGACGCTCTGCAGCAAGCTACATGTCGTATCGACGAGCCCAGCTACCTCGCCCAACACGCAAAGGACATCATCAAGTAGCCCATGTAGCAGGCAAGCCACGAAGCATGCACCGAAGCCAGACTTATTACATCGCGCTCGTCCTATAACTGGCTGAGATGTCGTCTTCGACAGCTTTAGCGGTTGGCTTTGTTTACGACTCGCCCGCGAACTCGAGCTCTATGTATCCCTTCCTACTTGACTGGCAAGGTGCGTTACGGCCCACCAGATACGGGAAGACATCGACTCGTTGACGGGACGTCGTGTAGGCACTGCGTACACGTCGTCCCGTCAACCTCTGGTCAAGTTGTCATTGCACTGAACTGGGGAGAGCTGTCGGACTGAACAGTCAAACTGTTACCATCAGCCCTCTTTAGGGGTTTCACAACGGCGAGCAGGGGGCAAAGAGCGTAATGCCTTTATCCATGACCTCGGGTGAGGTAAGGCCTACATGGTAGGTGTCGAAATCTAGAAATCTAGAAATCTAGACTGCTCGCAAGATGCAGCCCTTCGCAAAAAGATCGTTTCGCCTTCCTACGCACCCAGAACGAGAGGCCTTGCTCGGTTGCCACAATCTGGGATAGTCTGGTAGAGTAGTCTGGCATAGACGTACAGTAGTAATACGGTGTGCCACGTGGATCACCAGGAAGGCGGACACTCGCCACGTGATTGTCAGGTATTTTATTACATGCATTTTAATGCACCTTTTATCGCGCTGTTGATACAACTCAAGGTAATATTAATCCCGATGCGGTTGCAAACCAGTATTCTATTCGCGCTTCAACGTGCAATTGCCTTTTTTGGCTTCCTTCGACACACATCCGCTCAATCCGCCACACTCCGACGACCACCATGGGCTCGGGCCGCAAGCATCAGTCGGCGTCACGGATGCCCATCGTCTACTCTGGATGCGTTCTCCTCGTCTTCGTTCTCAACATGTACTACTTTGGCTACGCTGGCAGCGCCAGCCCGCGCCTCAAGCATCACGTGGGCGAAGCGCCGTCCGTCGAACTCGCCGCCACGACGACAACGTCGCAGTGCTGGTTTGACGGGCCCACTGGCCAACGCGTGCCAACGGAAGACCTCGAGCACTTGAGCCTTCTCCACTCTGCGTGCATGGAAGAGTCGGACGATATCATCACGTGGTACTATGGGTCGCCCGTCAAGGGGCCGTACCCGACGCGGCTCAAGCGTGACGACCCGCGCGTGCTCGACGAGCTTCGCCGGTGCCCGGACATTGATATCTTTTTGCCCAACGGGCTTCGCGGCGCGGGCTACTGCGAAGACGGCGGCGCCTACACCAAGTGTAAGCCTTCCATCCCGTCGCCATCCCGTACATGTCCTGATGATGGTCTACGTAGATGGCCACTCGCGACTGCTGCCGCAATGGGTGCTGGACGAAGAGTTCTTTGACGCGCAGCGCAACCGCAAGGTGACGTACCACGACCTGTGCCCGCGGACGCCGATTATCTTCTTCAACCACTACTGGCCGTCGCAGCCGTGGCCCAAGCACAAGCCCATGTACCTGATGCCCAACATTGAGATGGGCCAGCTCAAGGCGCCCGACTACTGGAGCGCAGACGTGATCATCTGCAAGTCGCGCGACTGCCACCACCGCGTCACCAAGTGGCTCGAGCAAGAGGGCAACCCGCGCGGCACCGCTGTCTTCTACACCCGGCACACGACCGCCGACATTGCGGGCCACATTGCTCGCAAGCTCGGCCCTGGCGCCGTCAAGCCGAAAGACTATGGCAAAAACATCCGGTTCACGCACACGGCGGGTGGCAGCGTGAGCAAGGGCACGGACCAGGTCATCGAGTGCTGGCTGTCGCGCCCGGACTTGCCGCCGCTCGACCTCTTCATGAGCCCGGGTCTGTACAACCTTGGGTTCGGCGACAAGTTTGGCGCGCAGATCGCGGCCGCTTCCAACATGAACTTTCACCACACGGGCCTCGACGAGGTGTCGTTCGGGAAGCTCATGGCCGAGGCCGGCTTCTTCCTCTGCGCGAGCACGTGGGAGGGGTATGGGCACTACATCAACCAGGCGCGCGCGGCGGGCGGTGTCATTATCACCACGAACGGCCCGCCGATGAACGAGCTCATCGTGCCGCCGGTCAGTGGCGTGTACGTCGAGACGACCGCGCGCTTCCATCCGCACCAGATTCTGGGCGGCGAGTTTGACGGCGAGCACGGGCTGCGCGACGTGACGGGGCTCAAGGCCGACCACACCAAGGAAGCGCTCTGTGATGCGGTCGACTACGTTCTGAGTTTGTCCGAAGCCGACCGCAAGGCGCTGGCGCATGGCGCCGAGCAGGCGTACCACGACGACACCAAGTTCTTTGCCTCGGCGATGCGCGACCTCCGAGCGTTCGCCCGGGCGCACTTGCACTCGAGCCAGACGGCGGCCGAGGTGGCCGCGTCCAACACGTGGCGTGAGGTTGCGGCCGACCAGTTCCCCTGCGTTGGCAGCAACAACAACAACAACAAGAACTAGGTGGAGTAATAGAGACACACAGCAAGTAACCCATTTGTGGGATTTGAAAAATCCAAAAGACTTGAAACAAAATTGAAATTGTCTATCCACGCCCGCGCGGATCTGGGATCTGAAAAAGAGATTCCGGCGTGAAATCAATAGTCCACAAGTAGAGCCGTAAAAGGCGATGAAGCACGAAGCAATGCCAACGCATTGGCGCGTGCGATCGATGGCTAATAAATGGTTCTCCGAAAACTTTGGTTTTTGAATGAGTCAGCTGGGAGGGGTCGGGGACCCTACTGTGTACAGCACACACGTGCCGCTAGTGGCAACAGAGCGTCCAACCACCTTTCTATCGCTGGCCGGACGGCCTCTATGTAGCTCGTTCTAGTACCGGGTTTCTTCTCTCGAGAGTCTGTCGTGTCCTGCATCAGTACTAGGTCGATCCGTGATGGTTGATGGGTCGCACCACGCACCTCCTTGCCTTGGACAGCCGACGCTGCCACTACACCAAGTCGTGGTAGCTGCAGAGACGAATTTGTACTTGGTCTCTGCAGTGACAATATGATAAGCGGTGTAGCAAGCAACTCGAGTCATACGGTTACAGACCCTAGCCCTTGCATTAAATGGAACGTAGTATTTGATGGTTAACGTTAGTTGGCAAATCGAATGAACTTGGTGCGGTCTTCGTTCCACGCGCCGCGCTTGGTTTTCGCAGCCGACTCCTTTTCCTTGCTGTACGTCACGTTCACGAGACCTTGCTCGACGAGCTCGAGGACTTTGGTCTTGAGCTCAATCGCCTGCGCCTGCATCTTGAACGTCTCGGGGAACCGGTACGAGAGCCAGAGGTATACGTCAATGATCTTGGCCTTGATCTCGACGTCGCGGAGCGCGAGTTCGTTCTTGGGTGCAAACTATGATCCAAAAATGAATAATCCAAAAATCCAAAATCCAAAATCAAATCTACCCGAGGCAGGAAGATATCGAGGGGCACTTCGCGGCCTTCACTGTGCGCCATGGCGTAATCGGTAAAGATCTTGCGCGAGAGGGGGTTGCGGAGGTTCACGGGCGCCATACAAAACGTGAACCGCTCCTGCAAGTCCATCTTGAAGTCGACGAGGAGCGCGGCCGCCTGCTTGATGTCGGCAAACTTGCACATAAAGTAGGCACCGTCGAGGCGCGCGAGCGACACATACTTGTCCTAGAGATAAGGCATGAGCCTCTCACGTCATCGTTTACGGGAAAACGACGTACGAGGAGCTGGCCGAGATCGGTCGTCTCGGGCATCTGCTTGGCAAACTCAACCATTTGCTCCGACGTCGGGAAGAGACCCGCGGCCGTGAGCGCAGACGGCGCTTCGTGGTACGCGCCCTGGACGAACGAGAGGTCGTTGGGCGCAAGCGTGGTCGCGAGGCCGTGGTTGTAGTCACTGCCCGAGCGCCCGGCGCGGCCCGCAATCTGCTTGGTCTAGTGCGATCATGTCGTAAGACTATCGCCCTAGTAAGCACTGATGGATGTACCAAGGATGAGCTGATATCGACCATGTCGGCGCCGTCAAACTTGAGCACACTATCAAAGACGATGCGGCGGATGTTGAGGTTGAGACCCATCCCGATCGCATCCGACGCCACGAGCACGTCGTAGCCTACACGACTTCATTTCGTATCAAGATAGTATCAAGTGGAGTACCGTTGTCGGGCTCGTTGAACAAGCGCGCTTGCTGCGACCGTGTCTCGGGCGGGAGCTGGCCGTAAATGATGCAGCACCGGAGCCCCGTGGCCTTTTCGATCTCGTGTTTGATTTGAAACACGCGGCGGCGCGAGAAGCCGACGACGCAGTCGCCCTTGCGGATCTTGGCGTACGACCCGAGCGCCGCCTTTTCAATCGAGAGCGGACTTCGGCGCTCGTAGGTCTTGAGCTCAAACTCGTCGCCCGTGACTTGGGCAAACTTGCGCACGAGGTCGACAGCTTCCATGGAGCCGCAGACGTGAATCTCTTTGGCTTGCAAGCACGAGAGCGCGCTAGCATGTCCAACTTATCATGAATTTTCCCATCGACGAAAGGATTCAAGTGGTTACCGCGTCCACGCCCAGCCGCGCTCCGGGTCGCCAATCATTTGGATTTCATCAATGACCGCCACGTCGTACGATTGGCCGGCGCTGCACATTTCGACGGTGCACGCGACGTGCGTCGACATGGGCACCTCGCGCTTCTCTTCGCCCGTCACGAGCGACGTGTACACGCCGGCCATGTTGAGCGTCTCGTAAATCTCGAGCGCGAGGAGCCGCAGCGGGCCGCAGTAGAGACCGCCGCCGTCTTCGGCCATCTTGAGGCGCTGCAGCGCTTCGTACGTCTTGCCGCTGTTGGTCGGGCCGCCGTGGTAGATGATCTTGCGCTGGAGCGCGCGTGCCTTGGGGAACCACGTGTGCGGGAGGCGGAGATCCGTGAGCTCTTGCAGCGACGCAATGCTGTCCGTGCTGAGCTCGTTGACAAAGCCGTTCATGCGCGCAAACGTAAGGAAGAGCGGGTAAAAGAGCACCGGCCCCGTGTTGCTCTTGTCTCGAATGTCCTACAAGTATCGAGGTGTTGCAGGGATCTTAGGATGGCCACGGGGTCGCGTACGGAGAGGAACGCGAGCATCTCTTCGTTCGACTGGAAGTGCTGCGATGGGGTGCTGAGCAGCGAGCGGCGAAACTGCGCGGTCGCCGGCGCCCACTCGGCCGGGCTCACCCCCGCGGCCAGTGCCATCGACTTGACTTCGAAGCTACGCCCAAAGCTCTTGAGGCGGCGCTCGAGGTACTTGCGGTCCGACGACTCCCACGCCGCAGCGCCTAGCGACACGGTGTATAAGATGTCGTTTGAAGCGCCGACGCGAGCATACTCGGTGCAGCCGACGTCGAGAACGCGTGCGTCCACGCTGGCAGGATCGCGCGCGGTTGCAGCGCCGCATGCGAGAGGCCATGGATAGCTGGCAGCGCGGAGCGCTGCATGGCGAGCAGCGGTGCCGCATGCGTCAGCGACCGGCGGGCGACGCGGAGCGTGTGGCGGAACATGGCGTCGATTCCGCTGCGCAACCAACAATTGGCATCGCGAGCGCTCGCGAATCTCGTATCCGGATGCTCTGTGGTTGCCTCCCGGTGATTGGGAGAGAGCATCCGGATATGTTGCCACTCAACTCAATATTGTCGTTGAGTTTCGGAGGTGCGCATTTCGAAGTTTGTAGCAAGGACTACGATCTTCCATTTTCGACAGAGTTGAGAAAGATCCATGCGCCCGACAGCAGCTGCGGTGGTCGGCGCGATCGCCGTCGGCGCGTCCCGCCACATGAAGCGCACGAAGCTCAATGCGCGCCAGCTCCAGGAAGAGCTCGTCCTGCGCAACGTGAACCCGTTCGGCGTCGTCTTCTCCGAGGCGAGTGAGCGCGAGGCCGAAGCGACGACCGGCGCCTACTGCGCGACCGGCGACCTCGGTGCGCTCGAGTACTGGGAGACCATCGTCGAAGGCAAGGATGTCTTCTTCTTTTGCAAGGCGCGCAACGTGAGCCAGTGGGCACCGCCTTGCAGGTACCTCGAGGACGCGGCGCCTCGCGCGGACCCGGACGACGAAGACATGACGCTGATCTTTCCGCTCGCTTATGAAGAGCTCGATGCCTACCGCCCCGAGACGCCACATGAGGACGAAACGCCTGCAGTTCCCGAGCCGTCCGAGCCCGTGACGGTCGACTTGGCAACCAAGCTCGCGATATTGGCCACCTCGGACCTCGAGTGGGCCTACTTGCGCCCGCTCTTCCAGTTCAAGGGTCGACTCGATGGCGTCTGGGGCGTCGCCCAGCGAGCTCGCTATACAAGCGTACCCCACGGGCTCCACGACGATCAGGAGCACACGCCGAGCGAGGTCGAAGCCATCTTTGCGTCCATGGCCCGCAACCTCATCATCGCCGAACACAACATTGAAGTGAGCGTCCAGGAGCACTACGACATGCCCAAGATCTACACCGTCGACGACATCAACCTCGAGCAGCGGCAGATCTTTGCGACCGCGTGGGCCGACCTTGGGTACGCATCTCTCCGCGTGGCAGTCTCAGCATACTACATGTAGCGACCTGGCACTGGCCCGTGACGACGGCGCGACCGCCATGAACTGCTACCGCCGCTCCATCTTTTGGTTCCACGACTTTACCGCATCGTATGTGAAGGCAGCGGCGCTCTTGACGTCGCTTGCGTACACGGACGACAGCTGCGACGTGCTGGCGGCCATGCCCCGTGACGAAGCCACGCCGATCGTGGAGCTTGTGCCCGACCTTGTATCGCAGTTTCCGCATTGCAAGCACCTCACCATGCCGTGGCTATCGCAGAAGGTGCGCGTCGGCCTCCGGTACATGGTCGCGATTCTGGTGGGGACGGGCGTCTTGTATGGGCTCGCGTACGTCTGCATTTTGCGCAGGCACGAGGCCCATGAGACGTCGATCGACGCACCCGCAAGTGCCCTCCGCAAGCGCGCCAAGCACATCAAGAAGAAGACGATATAACTCCTAAGTAAACACGAGCAGCAACAGAGTTGGTGCGTTGCAGCTCGATGAGCAGCGAGGATCGATGGTCTGCAAGCATGGGTAGTGCGGCGCCGAGAGCTCGAGACATGCTTTCCTTCTACGTCGCAGCATCGCTCGCCCTCCACGTCCGCGCGGTTGATGGATGCAATGATGTGCCACCGTGTCAGTCGGCAGGCGATATGACGTGGCACCGTGTCCGGCCTCGGTGGAATGGTCTCGGTCAAGGCCACGCTACTTGGCAGCAAGTCCTTGTGATGTTGCTGTAGACTAGCATCGGTATGTAGGCTCGAGTTCGTCGGACTAGATCTGGTGTCGGAACCCAGCCAGTCGAGGTTCCAGCGCTGCCAGATCGTCGCGCACGGTGATTCTGATCGCCCATCCCCCTCGCGTCTGGTTCGAAGAAACAAATCCACCAATCATGTGCGGTTATCTTACGAGTATTGACCAATCGTTGGCGTTTACGCCCAAGAAAGATCGAAGGCTGTACTTTTCGATATCTTGGAGATCGCACGCGCCCCACGTTGGAACCGATGCAAGCCGCGCCCGTCGTCTCGGTGCCAACGCCGGCGCCGCCGCCGACCGAGGACCCTCAGATCAGCGCCCGCGAGTTCGAGCTGCCCGAGCAGGACCAAGGCTGGATGCCCAAGCCGGCGATGCTGCACTCGGGCAAGTCGCGCGCATGCGCCGTGTGCTTTGCGCCGCTGCAGTACTCGAGCATGGGCAGCTGGGACGAGTACTTGAAGAGCGAGCTGTACCTCAAGGATCTCCAGCGCAACTTGCTCCAGGATACGTTTGTACGCGGCCTCATTTGCGGCGACAACTACTTTGGCGACCTCCCGACCGAGCACCGCATGAACCCAGCTCGGCGCGCCAAGTGCCGCCAGAGCGTCCTGGACCACGCGCACCGGACGAGCGCCGGCCGCCTCGACGACGACAAGTGCCTCGTGCGCACGCTCGAGGGCCTCCTTCTCGACGCGCTCCCAACGTCCTTCTTTACCTACGTGCTCGAGCGGCGGCTCGCCGTCATGTTTCACAGCGCGACGATCGTCGCCAACATGATGCAGTCCGACCGCGTCCAGCGACGCGAGCGGGCGCGCGCCGAGGCGTCGCCGCACGTCGAGCTCCACCACGTGGCCATCCGCGCCCTCTCGACGCTCCTTGGGTCGTTCGACTATCGCCATGAGAACGCGCTCGGACCGTTCGTCGAGATGGCGCGGCTTCTCGGGAACTTTCCGCCGCTCTCGCTCTTCTCGTACTGGAGCCCCGAAGAGAAGCCACCGGAAGAAGACGTGCCGTTGACCAAAGACCGCGTTGACGCGTCGTCGTCATCGACGCTGCACCCGCCGTCACTGCTCTTGGATCCGAGCGACGCGGCGTATTGGCTCACGCCGCCGCGCCCGGGCACGGTGCTGCTCACGCTCTCGCTGGCGCAGCCCACGACGATCTCGTCGGTCGTCGTGACGTGGCACGGCAGCAGCCAGCCCAGCACGTTTGCGCTGCAGTGCACGACGACCGATGCGCCGACCCATTTTGCGGTCGTCGCCGAGTGGACGCACAAGCCGGGATCGCCGCTTCCGTCGACGCTGTGCTTTCCGCCTCTGCGGCAGTGCACGGCGATCCGTCTCGTCTTCTCGGGCGTGCCGCCGACGAACAAGGAGGGCACGTATGGGCTGTCGCACGTGCGCTTGCTGCGGCCAAAGGACGACGTCGCGTCCCCGCAAGCCATCATGCACGACCTCGAGCACTGGCTCTTGACCGCGTCTCGTGTCCAGCCGAGTACGTCGGACGTGGTCATCGAGGCGTTCAGTGGCCTCCACGCGTGGGCGCTCGCGACCGGGTCGCTCACGGCCTGTGTCCGCTTCCTCGAGATGCTCCTCTCGCTGCGTCGCACACCCCATTTGGAAAGCTACCTTCTCTCGAAAGGCTGTGCGTTCTACGACCAGCTGGCCGCGCACCACGAGCGCGAAGTGCTCCGCGTCTCGCACGCGACGCCGTCGCACGAGTCCCGCAAAGTCCGCGCCGGGTTCGAGTCGACGCTCTGCTCGGCGGGCACGTCCGTCGAGGACGGCGGGCAGTCGGTGCGCACGCGTGAGACGAGCTACCAGCACGCGCTCGTCAACGCGCCGATCGCATCGGGCAAGGCCAGTTGGAAGTTTCGCCTCGACAACGACACGGCCGACGACGAGATGACGTGCTTTGGCGCCGCGATCCTCCCGGTCACAGTCAGTGGCTACGACTCGTCGCCGAGTCTTTGGATGCTGCGCGGCTACAACGGCAACTTGTACGCCCGCGGCCACAAGCTGAGTCGGTCGATCGGCAAGGTGCACCCGGGCGACACGGTCCAGATCGACGTCGACATGACCGCGGGGACGATGGCGTACAGCATCAACGGCACGGACTTTGGCATCGTGTTTACGGACCTCTGCGGCCACGAGGTGTACCCGGCTGTGAGTTTCTATGGCTCGGGCAAAGTCATTTCGCTCCTGAGTCTGCACAAGTGGGGCGAGACGACGACGCGCAAGAGTGCGAGCGCCGGCGCCGACCCCGTGTACCTCTCGACGCTGAGCGAATATGAGTTTAGCGTCGGCCACGGGCGGTTTGGCCGCGGCAACGCGCTCGGGTATCCAGGCGAAAGCGCAACCGAGGGCGGGCAAGCCCCGACCACCATCAGCGTATGCGGCGAGCACCGGCAACGGTCGCTCTCGCTGCACCCGCCGGCGCGTGGCGAAGCATTTGCGACCTACGATCTCCACGGCGGCTACGCGAGCATCGAGGGCGCCGTCGGCATCAACGACGACGTGAGCGCCGACGTCTTGGCGCAGCGCGGCATCTCGGTGGTGTTTTCGATCCTCGGAGACACCAACGTGCTCTGGAAGTCGCGGCCCGTGACGTCGCCGGCGTCCCTCGAGCCCTTCCACGTCGATTTGCGCCACGTGCGCATGCTCGAACTGCGCATTAGCTGCAGCGGCTCCAACCACGGCGCCCACGCGATCTGGGTCGACCCGTTCGTGATGACGATCGATGACTGGGTGTGCCACCACTGCGAGTTTAGCAACAAGGGCGGACACGACCGGTGCGCCATCTGCCGCGTCGGGGCGCGCGCCGACGCCGCGTCACCGTCGTCACGCACCGCGTTGCAGGCGCCAATGACGGACGAAGATGACGTGCTTACGCTCGTGACAGCGCGTGACGCGCTCAAAGCCGTGGGTACAATTGGCGTCGATGAGATCGCCACCGCGATCCTCAGCAAGCTGCATGCGCTGAGCCACACGCTGTCGTCGACGCCGAGTTACCAAGTGCAATTTGAAGAAGCGTACTGTCTCCAGCCGCACGCAATGACGCTGGAGGTGCTCTTGTCGCAACTCAATATGACGTTGTCGGCGCTGCCAGCGCTGTGCGACCGTCCGTTGGCGCTGGCGAGCCACCGCGCGTGGCTCTACATTGAGCTGATTGGCTCTCAGCTCGCCAACATGGAGACGTACGCGCTGCCGTCGGATGCGATAGCGCCAACGCTCTTGACGTCGATCCGCACGACGCTCGAAAGCGTCGCCAGCGTCCACTTGAGCAACCCACTGTCGCCAGCGCTCAAGTCCAAGGCGTGGCCGGCCCAGCCGCGGCACCAGAAGCTTCAAGTGACCGCCGCGCAGACGCTCATGGCCGGCATCTCGCTCTTGTACCCGTCGCCGTGGGACCGAACGAGTCTGCTCTTGACGCTGCTGCGGTCGCACGCGCAAGTGACGTTTGCGCCCGCAAGTGCGCGCTTCCTCATGCTCAAGAAGCTCCTCCAGCGCATGGCGAGTCCAGGTCACATGGGCGTTCTCACCCTCTGCCCTGTCTTGCCCGACCGCACGCACACGGCGCATGTCCAAGAGATTTTGTCGCATCTCATGGCGTGCGACGGCCCGTTGGCGCCCACGGCGATCGAATGCCTCAAGATGTTTCAGCTGTACATCCTCTCGCAAGCCATCGAGCTCACGAAAAGCAGTGAGGACAAGCCGCGCCGCGCGCAGGACCGCGTCGTGATTCAAGACGCAGTGCTGCAGTACAGCACCCTCTTTTGAGCACGTGCCGCGAGCGCCTCGAAGCCCAAGAGCCCATGGCGTCGCTGCAGCAGTCGATGGTCGGCGAGCTCCTGCCGTGGTTTGTCAGCGGTCTCTGCCTCCTTCGGCGTCAAGTGTGGCTCGCGCGGCCGATGCTCCCCAAGCTCACGCGGCTGCTGCGCGTCCTCGATGTCGTCGCCGGCCAGAGCGACGTGTTGCGCAAGGCCGAGAAGCGGTTTCTCTCGCTCGACCAGCGCTTGCACGGGTACGCGGCTCGTGTCGACGACGTCGGCAAGTGGCAAGTCGATGCGTCGCCGCGCCGCGTCCAGAAGCAGCTCTACAACGTCTTCTCCAAGCTGTACACGGGCGAGAAAGACCATTTCGAGGGCCAAATTGGGTTTCAGTTCGAGGCCGTCGCGTCCTTTACGATTGTCGCGCTCGGTCGGTCGGTCAACCCCGCTCGGAACGGCGGCGTCCTCCTCCACGCCCACACGATTCGGCTCTGGGACGAAGCCAGCCAAGCGCTCTTGGCCTCGATCAGCGTCGGGCCGCTCGCCAAGCGCGACGGGCTCGGGTACGTGTACGAGCCGCTGCCGTCGAGCGTGCGCCTCAGCCAAGGCAAGCTGTACCGGCTCACGACCCAAGAGTTTGCCAACGGCGGCGACCCGTGGTACAAGAAGGAGAACCTCCCGGACGAAGAGTACGATGGCAGCTTTATCAAGATTCTGCGCGACTGCTACGCGTCCGGGTCGTCCGGGTTTCCCAACTCGCAAAACTTGACGGGCGCAGCGTACGGCGTGCCGACGTTTCTGGTCGAAGAAGACAATCCGATGGACACGCTGCCACCCATCGTCCCGATGGACGGCGTCCTCAGTCTCAAGTTCCACGGCAAGCGCAAGGCGCACTCGATGACGTTGGGGCACCTTGGGAATGCCGTCACGGTCACGGGCGAGTCCGAGTACTGGCGCTCGTGCTTTGCCACGTGCACGTTCGTCTCGGGCACGCACACGATCGAGTTTGTCGTCAAGAGCAGTCGCGTCGGCGGAGGCGTCTCGGGCCATGTGGTCGTTGGCCTCGAAGCGGTCGCCAACAAGCTTCGACACCCGACGGCCGCCGTGTTTCTCGGCCAAGACGCGCAGTATGCGAGTATCGGATGGATGCCGGCGGTCGGCGCCGTCTGGGTTCACGGGACGCGCCACCAATACGGCGGGCCGCCGATCACGCTGCACCACGGAGACATTTGCGGCCTCACGATCGATTTCGACACGAACACCATCTCGTTTGCCTACAATGGCACGTCGCTCGGGCCCGCGCCGCTTGGCGACGCAGCGTTTCCAACGGCGTGTTTGCCGGCCGTGTCGGTCTATGGTCTCCACGACGTGGTCGAGATCCGCACGGGTGGCGTGGCCAAGTCGACGTTGCAACTGCCGTGGCTCCTCGACGTTCTCGAGACGACGGCGTCGCTGGCCGGTCGCGTCACGGCAACGCTCATCTCGGGCCCGCCCGTCGACGGCGTCGAAGAGGAGCTTCAGCCGTGGTTGCAGTCCAAGCTGCTCTCGGGGGGTATCGCCGACTCGTCGTCGTCGACGACGTCGATGCCATGGGCCACTGCCGTCAAGCAAGAGTGGGCCGAGTGCGCCGACCCGCTCTTTGCGCTCGTCGACGAGAAGCGACGCACGCGCAAAGATGCGATGAAACAAAGTCTGAGTCGGCCGCTCGAGACGAGCCAGAGTCCGTGGAGCGACGTGGCGTTCACGCGGTCGCTGCCCACGGTCGCCCACACCATTGTCGCGTGGCTCGAAGCCGCCGCGCCCGACGTGTCCATGTGGCGTCGGCAGGAAAAGTACCCCAAGGCCGAGCACTTTATGTTTGCAGCGCTCATCAAGCACGCGCCGCCGCCGCTTCTGCAGGAAGCCAAGGCCGTTGTCGCGGCCTCCGAGACGGTCAAACGCATCGTGCCGTCGCCCGAAATGCTTGCGCTGTGGCGTAGCATCCTCACGCTGCGTCACTGGCTCATCAAGATGAAGCACGAGTACAAGGCCAAGCTCGGCGCGGGTGCGTTGGTCGTCTTTGATATATCCACTGGGTACGATATGCATGGTGCATCATATGTAGAGGAAGACGACAAGCGGCTTGGTCGAGAGGAAGCAACGTTATCCGAGTCACCGACGGTAATCTACCGTGCTGGTTGTGGGCAGACGAGACCGAGTCCGTATAGGGCCTCGAGGCCACGTTTACGCCGCCCCAGCAGTTTGACGCGTTCGTCGACCAAGTCGTTGACCGCGCCCGGTTTCTCTGCAGCGTCGAGCCACCGTCGGGCGAGTACACGCAGTGGGGGCTGAGCTCTCAAGTCGCCCTCTCGAATTTGGCCGAAAAGTGGAGCGCCACGCAGACGCCGCCGTCGCTGCAGCCCATGGTCGATCGGTGGCGGTCGCTCTCGGACTCGGACTCGCGCAAGTGGTCCGGCCTTGTCCAAGTGCTTCGCGCGCAGCATAAGTGGCGCACGGAAACCCGGAGCACGAAAAAACCACCGACCTCGACACGGCTGCCGGCGACGACGACGACGACGACGACGCAAGCACCAACGACGCCCACGACGAGGCCTATCTCAGTGCGATGGTCAAAGCCTGTGACCTCTACGTCCGGCACGGCGTCGGCGCGCCGCCTGCCATCTTGTACGCACTGCTCGAGCGCCGGTATGCGCGGTCGGAGGCGCGCATCTTTGGCCTCGATGCCATGCGCAGCGTTCTCGGCAGTCTCTCGTTCGACTCGGCGCGGTACGGCGCGCTGCTCTTTCTTCGCCCGGCGCTGCGTGGGTTCACCGAGGACGAAAAACTGGCGCGCGAGACGCACATCGAGCACTCGGAGCCGTCGCACCCGATCGCGTTCCGGCCGACGGTGCGGCACCACTACCTCAAGGGCCTCGAAGGCTGCGTCGCCAAAGTCCTCGACGACGTCCAAGCGAGTTTTACCGATCTGTACTCGCTACTGGCCTCCATGCTGGCGAAAGCTACCTCGCCACTCTTGCAGCAGAGCCTCATGTGCGCGTGGGCCCTCGACTTTGAACCGCGCGACCACGAATTCTTGCTGCGTGCGGACATCATCGCGCACCTGAGCAAGCTCTGGAGCGTCAGCGCGCGCCGCGAGGACGCGACCGCCGAGCTCTCGCAGCCGCCGCAGGTCAACACCGAGTGGTACGCGCTCTCGGAAAGCTACGTGCGCGACGGCATCCTCGCCAACGGCGACGTCGCGAAGCGCAACATCCTCACCGTGGTCCGGCAAGCGCCCGCCTTTGCCCAAGCGCTCTGGCCGCAGAAGCGCGGTAGTCTCAATAGCAGCAGCAAGGGTCTCACCGGCTCGTCGACCGTGTCCATGTATGCGGCCTTTCTCCGAAGCCTTACGACGCGGCTCAAGTGGTGCAAGCCGTCCGAGCTCGGGCACAAGGTGCTTCAGCTCAATGTGAGCGACGATGTCACAAGCACCGTCGACCTCCCGGCGCTGCCGCCGGCATTGCCGTCGTCGTTTTGCTTTGAGCTCTGGATGCTGCCGCACGAGCTCTCGGGGTACAGCACGTTGCGCAGCGACCACGGCTTCCTCGACGGGTCCGTGCACATTGAACTCGTCGAGCGGCAGCTCCAGGTTGCGATCGCAGGGGCCGTGCCGCGCGAGATGCTCTTTGCGTTTGAGTTTCACTGCGCACTCTGGCAGCACGTGGCCGTGACCTATGACCACGACGCCAAGACCCTCACACTGTACGTAAATGGTCTTTGGGTCGAGACAAAACGCTACACCAAGGCGACGACCAAGGTCATGTGGCGCGCCGCGCGGCTCGGGAGCTGGCTGCCAGACCCGACCAACAGTGGCGTTGTGCAGCGCAAGTTCAAGGGATATTTCTCACAGCTGCGGCTCTGGCAAGGCACGCGGTCCCAGACCGAGATTCTCGCCAACCTCCATCGACGCCAGCCCTTTGCGACAGCGCAACCCGTGTGGAGCTGGCACCTCGACGAAGGGGACGGCGAACTCTCGATGGTCGAGACGAGCCATGCCAATTCCGCCGGCTGGAACGCGCTGCTCACCAAGTGCCAGTGGAGCCGCACCAACATCCCGCTCTGGTCGCACGTTGCGTCTGCGCGCGACTGGCGCACGCTCCGTGACGGCATGACGCGCCTCCAGCGTCATTTCCGGTCGTCGCAGGCGGCCGCGTGGCTGCGCACCGTCACACGCGTCCAGCTGCAAATCCAGGCGCTCGAGGCGGTCGAAGAGCACTTTGTGTTTTCGGACGACGAAGGGGAACCGACAGGCTCGTCGCTGCTGCCCTTGCCGCGCAGCTACGACGCAGCGGTGCTCTCGCGGCGGCTCGTACAAGACGCGGCATACCTCGTGTTTCAGTACTTGGGCATTGTGGCCATCTCGGGCATCCGCGAGCGCTGCGAAGTCGAGGCGATCCAAGCCGCCTTGAGCGCCAAGAAGCGCCGGCAAGAAAAGGCGTCGGTGGTCGCACCGCTCCAGGAGAAGCGAAAGACCGACTTGAGCGACGCGGCGAAATCGGCCGCGGCCGCGGCGGCGCTCGAGCTGCCGATTGCGCAGCGGCTGTGGTTTTCGATCGAGCTCCACCGCAAGTGCTTTGAAATGGTCGAGAAGGAGCTCAGCGCCGCGACCCGCATCTTGCACGACGCCGAGCATCTCATTCGCGCGCAGCAGCCGTCGATGCTGCGGTCGCTCTCGACGCCGATCCCGATGGTCATGGCGGCCAACTTGAACGAAGTGCTCGAGCCGTTGGAGATTGAGAGCCTCGTGTTCTCGCTGCTTCGGTTCCTCTTCTCGCAGAGCCACACGTACCCCGCGATCGAGCACGTGACCAAGCCAAGCATGCTCCGGGAGTTTGTCATGCTCCTCCGGCTCGGGTCGCCCCGCGTGCAGCGCATGGTCCAGCTCATTCTTCGCCAATTGGCGCCGAATGTTGCGCCGAGTCAGATTGGCGCGCTCCTCGGCACCGACTCGGTGTTTCTCGACACGCTCTTGGACCGCGTCTCGGACTCGATCTGCAGCGGCGTCTCGAGTCTCAACAGCACCATTTCGCAGTCGATGACCGAGTCGCTCTCCAACCCGTTGGGGTTCCAGACCGGTCAGATCTACTTGACGCTCGCGTCCGAGGCGGTCGCGCTGCTTCGGCTGCTCCTCAACACGCCCAATTGGCGCACCAAAGTCGCCGATGTACTCGGACTTGCGATCCGCAAGGCCGCGCCGATTGTGAGCGCGCTGCCGTCGCTCGACAGTAATTTGCGCGCGCGGACCACAGTGTTGCGAGCCCTCGGGGCGCTCTGCGTCTTGGGTGCGCACTCGGACTGCTTCCGCATTGGCGGCAAAGTCCACGTCGTCCACGGCGACACGGCGCCGCCTCTGGTGGCAACGCTCATCCACCGCGTGCAAGCCACCGCCCGCGTTGTCTTTGACGAAGGCGAGAACGTCCAGGACGTCGCGTGGACGGCGGTGACCCCGATTGAAGAGATCCAGCTGTCGCCGACGGTCGGGCCGACCATCTTTAGTCTCGAGCTCATGCCGATCTTGCTCCAGTTTGCCAGCCTCGACGACGACGCGTCCTTGTGGCGGGCGCAGATCCGGTCGCGCGCGCTTCTGGCGCTGCAGTCGTTTTTGCGACACGCGACCATGCAGCACGAGGCGGTGACGACGCTCTCGAGTCTCTTGACGACCGCGCTCACGCCGCTGCGCCTCGCACGGTTCGTGAGCGTCGTCGATCTGCAAGAGCGCAGTCGCAGCATTCTCTCGCGCCTCATTGAGGCGTCGACGCCGTTGGGGCCGCAAATGTTTCGCGGCTTGCAAGAGCCCGTCGCGCCGCCCGTCGCCGATGTCATACCGCCAACATCGACGTCGACATCGTCACCACTCGCGTCCGTGCCACCGACACGACAGGGCTTTGCCTCGACTTTGGCGGCGATGGGCTTTGAGATGGAGCTGTGCTTGGCGGCGCTCGAGCACGCACGCGACGACCCGAACGCGGCCGTCGAGTGGCTCATGGGCGAGCCCGCCGAGCGTTTCCGGCAGCAGCAGCGGCAGCGCGAGGCGCAGGCGTCGGCGGCCCGGGCGACGGTCGCCGTGCAGGACGCATCGCGCGACGAGAAGATTCGAGATCTGCAGCTCATTTCGGGCTGCCACCCGCGATTGATCCTCGCGGCGCTCGACCTCTGCGGCCACGACTCGAACCGCGCCGTCGAGTGGCTCATGGAGCACGGTCGGCGCTTCTCGACGTCGTTGAATCTGCAATCCGACGCCTTTTGCCACGCGTCGGACGCGTCATTGGACGACGCATCCGCGCTTGAAGTCGCCGAGCAGCCGGACGCGCTCCTCCTCGAAGCCACCGCTGGCGTCGACGAAGCCCCGGCGTCGGTCGATACCGGCCTCATGGCCGCAACGCTCGCGCCGATTCTCGCGCGGCTGCCGTCGGGCGCGACGGCGCCGTTGGACCCGACGTACCTCCCGACCAACCTCGTCTTGACGGTCGCCGACACGGTGGGTCCGGTGCCGCGGCTCTCGAGCGCCGGCCGGTCCGGCACGCTCGTGCGCTGCCATCCGTCGCACGGTGTGCTGCTTGCGTTTCTCAACACGGAGAACGGCGCGATGGAAGAGACGTACGTCCCGCCGACGCACGCCAGACGCTGGGTCAACGTGTTTGACGAGCCGCTCGTCGACGTGCAGAGCATCTACGCGGTCGCGCTACGGACCGAGCAAGCGCTCTCGACCTACTACGCCCGCCACGCGATTGTGGGGCTTGTCATGGCCACGTCCGACCCGGTGCAAGTGCTCGCGATGGTCGGCGGCGCGACTTCGTTTGTGCAGCTGCTCAAGCTCGTGGCCGCCGGGTCGTTTGCGACGCCGGACGCGGCGTCCGTCGCGCCGCTGAAAGACGCTCTCGAGACCAAGCTCATGGCACTTGTCGCGATGGAGAAGAGCTCCGTGACGCCGGTCCTCGTCGCCGAGTGCATTGAGCACTTTGTCGCAGCGACCCAAGTGGCCCAGAAAGGGTCGCCGACAACGAGCGTTGACGTCGAGTCGTTGCACCCGTACTACCATCGCGCCGAGTACACGTCGGTGGTCCACGGCCCGAGTGCGCCGACCGTGCGCGTCGTCTTCGACAAGCGGAGTCTCTTGATGGGCAAGACGACGTTAAGCTTGTACGCGGACGTCGACTGCAAGCAGCAGCTGGCGACCTTCTCATCGACCAAGCCCTTCACGGACGTGTGGGTGCCCCAGGCGACGTTTTGGCTCAAGTTTCACGCGGCCGAAGAGAACGAAGCATCAACGAGCTACGGCTTTCGGCTGCAGGTGCAGGCGGTGCCAAGTATCCAGTGGCACAACGAAGCCGACGTGCTCACGCAGCCGTCGCTCGAGTACGCATGCTGGCTCCTCGAGTTTCTCTTGCAGCGCGTCGCGCCGCCGTCCGTGCACAACGACTGCGTCTACGGCGCCTTGGTCCAGTACCTGCAGTCGCCGCGGGCCCCAAAGAAGCACAAGGTCATCCAGCTCCTTCTGCAGCTCCTCGCCGACATCTCCGCGTTCCCGACGTTGCCCGACTTGACGCCGCTCGAGCGGATGGGCCAGCTCGCGCTGGCGCAAGCCCAAAGCGAGCTCAAGAAGGGCAAGCCGTTCGTGTCGGCGCATCTTCTGCAGCTCGTCGAGCTCGCTGTCGTGGTGCAAGAAGCGAGCGCCGACGTCCCGAGCTTGGTGGCGCCGATCGCAGCGCCGTTGCTCGTGCCGTCCGAAGCCCCAAACCTCTTGCTCATCATCTACGAGACGATGCAGCTGGCCGCGCATCTACGACAGCACCCATCGGCGCCGCTGTCGCAGGACCTCGTCACGCTTCTCTGGCTCGACGTGCACGGCGCGTCGACGGTCGTCGAGGACGCCACGTCCGGGGAGACCGTGTACCCCGGGGCCCACTCGCTTCGCGTCTGTCTCGATGCGCGGTTCACCGAGTATGACCGTCTCGAGATGGCGTCGGCTACGGTGCCTGACGACGGCGCCGACGACGCAACGATCGTCTGGACACCGATCGTCGTCGTCACCGAGGTGATGGAGATTGCTGGCAACGCCGTGCGCTACACGTTTGCGCCCACGACGACGTCGCGCGGGCTCTCGATGACGATTACGGCGGTCGGTCTGGCACTGGAGCGGCAGTTGGCGCGCTGTAGCGTGCAGTCGCTGCAGGCGAGCCAGGACGCGCTGCAAGCCATGCGATGGACGAATGCGATGGACGCCCAGCTCGTGGACTGGGTCAATGTGCACATGGAAAACCCGTCGCTCGACGGCAGCGGTCCCGCCACGGACTTGGCGCCGGCCGACATCCGCATCCATCCGACACTGGACGGGCTTCGGTGTTCGCTGCTGCTGCACCTACCGCTCTCGACGGTAGGCTTTTTGTTGGTTGCCGTCATGTCGCTGACGACACGAGTCTAGATTCAGCTACGGTATGCGCTCTTGCGCTGCTTCAACGCGCGTCTCGCTGCGTGCATGCCGCTGCTCGACCTCAGCGACGTCACGTCGTCGTGGTCGATTGCTCACAAGGTACGCGAGGCCCATCGTACGTGGCTTGGTACAATGGGCGCGTAGCTTCGGTCGCTGAGCCACTGCATCTTTTTCGAGGCCAAGCAAAAGGTCGTCGAGGCTGCGATCGAAGCGACCGTCGTGGCGACCGAGACGGCCAACGCCAACGCGACGGCGCGCATTACGCTCGATCGGTTGCGCGCGCTCGAGTCGCGCGAAGACCGCGAGGTCGAGCCCTCGGTCTCCGAGTGCTTCTTTGCCCAAGCGTTCCGGCAGCTGCAGAGCGTCGACACCAAGGCGCTTCGGCGCAAGATCGACAGCAAGGGCCGGCTCTTTAGCGTCAAATTCCGAGGCGAAGAGGGCGTCGACTGGGGCGGCGTGTACCGCGAAGGCACCAACTCGATGGTCGACGATCTCTTTGGCGCGCATTTCGCGTTGTTTCTGCTTTGTCCCAACGGCCAGCACAACACGGGTGCGCCGCGCGTGTCTTCTGGTATATGACAATATTGTCCTAGGTCTCAACCGCGGCATGTACCTGCCCAACAGCCGCTGCACGTCGCCGGTCGCGATTCAAATGCTCGAATTCGTCGGCAAACTGCTCGTACTGTCTGGATGGATCAAACTTGATAGATTGATACAACCATGGACTGTAGGGCATTTCGCTGCGCACGCGTGGCGACTTTCCGTTCGCGTTTTGCCCGCTGGTGTGGAAGAACCTCTTGCAGCAGCCACTGGACCGCGCCGACCTCGAGGGGACGGACGCGCTCCTCGTGCAGATGCTCGATGGCATCCGCGACTGCGAGGCCGACGGCATCACGAATGATGCGCAGTTCCAGACCGCGTTTGCCGACTTGGAGCTGCGCTTCACCACGTTTGGCTCCAACGGGCAGCTCGTGGAGCTCGTGCCCAATGGCGCCGGCATCCCCGTCACGTACGCCAACCGCTCCGAGTACTGCCGGCTCGTCGAGACGTATCGCTTGCACGAAGTCGACGTCCAGTGCAATGCGATGCGCCGAGGACTCGCAGCGCTCTTCCCGTTGCGCGTCCTGACGCTCCTCACGTGGCAAGAGATGGAGATGCTCACGTGCGGCAGTCCAAAGATCGACATTGCCGTGTGGCGCCAGCACACACGGTACGACGGCTACACCGAGCACGACGAGACGGTCCAGCTCTTCTGGGACGTCATGGCGTCCTTCTCGGACGAACAGCGCTCCGATTTCGTGCGCTTTGCGTGGGGCCGGTCGCGCCTCCCACGGGGCAAGTGGCCGCAGCCGTTCAAGCTCACGAAGAAGGGCGGGCGCGACGCCGCATTGAGCTTGCCCGTCGCGCACACGTGCTTCTTCTCGGTCGAGCTGCCGCCGTACACGACCAAGCAAAAGATGCACGAGATGCTGCTCGCAACCATCAACTTTGGCCTCGGTGGCATCCTCATCGCCTAGCAGTACGACGCTCTAATGATATACAGCGCTTTCTTGTGTGAGACCAGTCGTCGCACCATGGAGACTGTCGGAGGCGTGCTGGAGGAAGCGCCTTGTGAGGAAAGATTTCTCGGAAGAAACGAATAAGATCTGCCGCCGCTTGGGAAGATCCGGTATTGTGCGATTGCACACGTCGCGCAGGAGAATGACCGCGTCAGGCAAGCGGCCACGGGAGGCGGCGAATGGCGGTCGCGCCAAGCGTGTCTGTGTGGCAGACGTCGACACGCTGTCGGCAAGCGAGCCACTCGTCTCTCCGCGGCGACGCAGCAGCGTGGAGCAGGCGACGGAGAAGCGAGGCGTTGCGCCGCTTCGAACGCCATGGGCCGCGTACCTCGAGCAGTCCGCCGAGGTGGCGCTGGCTGTCGAGATGGCGCCGAGTTGGTCCTCGAGACGACCCACCGAGATGGCACCCGCAGTCTCTGTCGAGGCGCCTACACCCACTCCTCTCAAGCGCGCCCTCGAGGATGGACCCGACGCGTCAACGCCAACGTCCGTGCGTCGACACGGCACGACACTGCCATCGACGCCGCCGACGCACGCCGCGCCGACGCCCAACGTGACGCCCGACATGCTGCACAAGCGGTCCTCCTCCGTTGTTCGACCAGACGACCCAGCGGTCGATGCGACTCGACTGGACTTTCTCGGTGCGGATACTAGAGTCTCTGTCTCGCAGCTCATCGTGTCGTAGACGGTGGCGACGACGATGTCTTCGACCCACCTGGTGCCACGAGCCCACTGAAATGCACCAAAGGCGATGGCAAGCAGCTGCGACCGCGCCTTCAAGACGGTGCAGTGACCGACGAAATGTTCGTGAGCGTCCTGCCCGCCGAGGTTTTGCGACCAAGAGACGTGTCGAGTCGGTTGGCAGTGATCGACGCCTTGCCCGCCACCGCCGCGGAGGGGCGACGTTGCCGGCTTCAACCTGCCATCACCAAGACGTTGTCTGTGGCGAAGCTTCCAAGCGACACCACAGCGAGTCGCAAGCGGTCGACGACGAAGAAGAAGAAGGTGACCTTTGCCGAGGGCCAGTACCCCGGCGACTGGCGGACGCCCAAAGCCGACGAGCCCGCGGGGGATCCAGGCGTTCTTGAAGCGAGCACTCTTGATGCCTTGACCACAACCGACGTCGGCAACCGCAGCTGCTCCAGCGTCCCAGCGCGCTCGACGGACGCGCATGAAGACGTCCAGCGAAAGCAGCCGCCGGCTGCAGCGTCGCCAGCAGAAAGCTGCAGAGAAAAGCGTCCGCAGCTCGTACCGCTTCCGCTTCAGTCTATACCATGCGACCAAGCCGCAGTGCCCTTGTGGCAGACGACCATGGACGAGGTCTTCATTACCAGCAACGCAGACCCGGTGACGCGCGGCTCCAAGACCCGAACAAGTAGGCGTTTGCGCGAGAAGGCGTCGGACGGCCTCGAGGATGCAACGGCGTTTGGAGCACTCGTCCAAGACTCGTTCGATGTGAGCAACCACTAAGAAGCTCTTTTACTTGCTTGCTTCTGTACAAAGAGAAACTTTCAAGCCCATCGCTGGCAAGATTAAACGGGCGGCCTCGTTTGGTGAGCCTCTCCGAGGGCAGCCCACCGTAGCAACTTGAGCGTTTGGTGACGAGTGCTACGATTGCAGTGCACCATAGCAAATGCGACTTTAGCGCTGTGTACGCGACCACGTAAGAGAGACATCACCCTCCAACGCATCCGTTATTGTCATTTTCTCGGCAGTCGCCCGTGCAGTTAATTGCTATGTTTGAGTTTGGACCATCGAGCGAGAAGATCAAGCACACCTATACTTATATGACAGCGTATTCGTCATTTCTGGGTCATACAAGCGTGGGTGCATGCGCTGAAGGTTCTCGGTTCCACGCGCAGGCACGCGTGTGCTCAGCGCATCTTGGTGCACAGCCGCAAGGCAATGAATTGACCCTTTGAGACGACTCTGAAAATGAAATGAATTGAGTTTCTCGGACTGAATTTGCTCGAAAAGGCTTTGAGACTTTGCTCGCGACTTGAACACGTCGCTAATCGCTTGTGTCGAATCGACGATCGCAAGACAT